TGTCGGAGTCTCCGATATCTTTAAGGGTTTTGTGAGACTTTACGAAACCCTTGAAGAACCTCGAAGGTTCCGTATGATAAAGAAAAATGGTTTCGAATTCGTTGCAAATCTCGGAACCCTTTTAAGTTTCGTAGAGTGCTTATTTGTTTTTCAGTGTAGTCATCACAAGTATTTGGAATGACGAATTCGTCTTCATTTAATCAATTCACATGGTAAAATAAAAATTTTTCCAACATTCAGTTCAGTCAGTAACAACACAGTGTCCTATGGTGATGGGACTATTTATGTACGGATTTTTTATCTTTATATTTTATAGTCCCAAGATTTGGTTCTAACGTCAGAAGACAGAATTTTTTGCTCTACGAAATCCAAAATATCGTCCACTTACACTGTGTCATTTTGTTATTCATTTTCCTGTTTTTTTTCAAAATCTCATGTTATCCGAAACTGGTACGTAACTTGTATACTAAAAAGCGTTACAAGTTATATGAGCAAAAGAAAAAGCAGCATATTGCAGATGATAGCCCTGAAATCGATGAATATTTTCATAGAAACCTTGTCGCTCAGTTATCACATTATTTATCGAAAAATTACACAAAAGCTGAAGAGTAATGGAAATTTTGATAGTAAATCGCAGTTACACATTTTACCTGTCATTACTCTAGGCTATTTTCTTAAATAATTAAATAATATTTAATCCAAGAAAAAAATTGATTTTAAAGAGCAGAAAATTCTCTATTGAATGCGTTTATAACCGAGTCTTGGAGCCTTAGTTAAATGCTCGAGAAAAGGATAACAAAAGTGAGCCGTTTATTATGCACCACCCATTAGAAATTTATATGTACTTTTATTAAACAGATTAAGAAAGATTTTTTCAAGAAAAATCTGTCTTTAGTTCATTCGAGAATTGTTTATTCCTATTTATGATAATTCCAAGGTACATTCATATAACATTAAAGTATCTTCTAGTTTTTTAATATTATCCACTTTTAATAAACTAAAACAATTTATTAATACTTCATCTTCATTTTGGTGATGCGAAATAGCACTAATACATTTTGGTTTATTTAACAGTGTACAATCGGCTGATATTTCTAATAGAACACCCTTTCCATCAGTAAATTGTGTTGCCTTATCTCTATTTAAACTTGTTGATAAAAATGCTGGAAAAATAATAATATCCGATTGTTTGAATTTTCTTAAAAGTTCTTGAAAATCCTTGTCGTCTGATAAACATAATCCTCGGTATAATTTGACATTTTCTGTATTTGGTAGTTTATGACTTGTATCGGAATATTTCAATAAAGCATACCGTAATGCTTTAATATAATCTCCAGCTAATGATAATAATTCTTCATCTAATAAATTAAGAATATCATTAATTATTTTATAATAATATGGCTTTTCCAATGTATAAAGATATATGATATTTTTTTCTGGATCGGTTTTTGTTAAAGCTTCTACAAACATTTCAGCACATTTTAATAGATTTTCAATTGCAAAATGCTTTGGAATACCGTTTGAATAAATGTTTTTTGATACTAATGAATTATGTATTTTATGCATAATATTTATGTGATAATCAATATTTGACTCGATCACTGAAAAATCTGTAATTATAAAACCGTTATTAGTTGCTGATAAATAATAGTTTACATTTTGTAATTTTAGTATTATGTCATCCAATGAAAAACCACGATTTAAGAAGTAAATTTCGCCAGATTGTATATTTTTTATCTCTTGAATCACTTTATCAAATTTATCTGTAACAAGTAATACTTTCTTATATTTGGATGCCCATTCTTGATGATAATCTACCTTCCCACAAAATATCATTATTCCTTTAATGTTCCAATAGGATCCAATTTCAGAAATGATTTCTTGTCCACCTGATCCTGATGTGATCAATATGATATTATGTTCAGTGTCAGATATAATTGAATCAATTAGTTCATCTTTAGTCTCCATTTGTATCACTGCATAATTTTCTGGTAAAAATTCTTCTGTTAATTTGTTAACATGATACTGATTTGTTCGACTTTTTATTTGTTTATCATACCAAACAATATTTGTGGCTAAATTGTTATTTTTATCATTGCATAATTTTTCTTCAAAACCTTTGAAATAATAATGAAGCATTTGTAATCGTTTTATTTGTTCATATTCTATAACTTCAATTTGTTCTGCCATTTTAGAAATAAAATCTGATATTTTCTTTCTAAACATTACTTCACTAGCTACACCACCAACTGCACTAGTAACTAGAAGTCCCACACCAAATGCTGAGGCACCAGCTGCAATACTACTACTTTGCATAGCAGCTATTGCTCCTCCAATAGTGGATAACGATGTAGATAAAAATGAAAAAATAACTAAAAGTATGGCAGGTATGCTTGCGTTTGACACAGTATTAACCAGCTTATCAACATCATTGATTAATTGATTAAGATGATGTTTAAATCTTTCTGTATTGACACCTACTTCAAGATGTTTAAGTGCATTTAAAAGTATTTCTTTTGCATGTTCCTTCTGTCTTTCAATTTCATATAAAATATCACGAATACTTTTATCATACTGGCTTTGGATAGACTCTAGGTCAGATTTTAGTTGACGTAATTGATAGATACCCGAGTGATACCATGCATGTCGCTTTTGTAAATCTCCAATTTTTTCCTTTGTTTCATTTAAACATTCCAGAGCCTTATTAAACAGATTGGATATTAAACGATAGAATATTTGTTGCTGTTCTTTGGCTAATTGTAAGAGCCATGTTTCGACCTATAATTCAATAAACAAAAGGAAATAGGAAAATGTCATTCACTGATGAATATGAAAAAGAGGAAACAGATGAGTGTTTATTTGTGTAATATACAGTTAGTCAAAAACTTATTCGAGCATGTACAACTTTTTTCGTCCAAAAGATTTTTTGAATCAAAGAAAAGACTTTATATCAACTTTATTTTACATCAAAACATTTTGAGAAATACTTCATTCGATAGAGCAAGAAATTCTCTACAAGATGGTACGGTTTAAACTAAAATTAAAAAATTAAAACAAGCTGTAAAAACTTTCAAAATACCAATAGCAGCAAATGTCTTGCAAATGTCATAGAAAGTGTTGCTATTGATCATAGAAATCGTGGCTATTGGTATTTTGAAGTTTTTACAGCTTGTTTTTAATTTCTTATTTTATTTAAAACCATACCATCTTGCAGAGAATTTCTTGCTCTATCGAATGAAATATTTCTCAAAATGTTTGATGTAAAACAAAGATGCAATTTTAAAAAAGGCCACATTTGTCACAAAAAATAAGCAGTCATTTTTTCTATTCACAGAGCAGACTTTTTCGGAAAAACAATCATAAATCTATGAAACTTAGGTAGAAATTTTTGATTTTTATATAGGTGATAGAACAAACATTGAGCTATCAAATAGTAGAAATAAAGTTGATATAAAGTCTTTTCTTTGATTCAAAAGATCGTTTGGACAAAAAATGTTCTAGGTGACCGAATAATTTTTTGATTAACTGTACGATATTTCACCATTGTATGAACACTGTTAACTTGCTCGCTCAATGCTACTTACCACCCCTGTAAAATACGTAAGATCCTATTTCGTCGTTGCACGATTTAATAGCATGAATAGCAAACTACATTATGTATCTACTTAGTCATAAAATTCTTCTCTGGTGTGGAAAATAATCCTGGTCGATATATCTTTCTGATGATGTAGAATAGAATTCTGGTTTTTTCTGTTAAAGTATCGAATAATATTTCTTTAGAGAAACGATGAATAATATCAAAATCAAATGAGACTTACTTATGTAACTTTATCGAAACAATACTTAAATAATAACAGTGTGGATGCAATTGTTCAATTTTAGTATTTATGAGGAAAAAATTCTCTACTATCATATTACTGATTCCTAGGGGTCCATTTTATAATTTTTAAACTAATCTGAATGTAATATCTGTTGTTGGTGCTAGATATTTCTATCACGAAAATATCAATATTTGATTCTAGAGGTTGCTCTCAAAAGCTAAACAACAGAAATTCTATATCAATCATCTTATATGACCTGTCTAATTTCCTGTGTTGTTTCGTTTGAATTTATTTTTATAGTCCAACAATTAATTTATTCATTATACTCCATAGGTCCACAAGAAATTAAAGATATCCCGGTCTAACAAATCACATAAAATTAGCATCATGCTTGACTTCTTTTACTTCCTTTAGCCCCATTATTTCCTTTACTCCTTTTACTTCATTTAGTATTTTCAATGCTTATGCGTGTTGTACATTTTGTATTAATTGTAAAACGACGAAAATGACTAAAATAAGTAAAAATTCAAGTGACGAAGGGGAGTAAAGAATGATTATACCCTATAAGATTTGTTAGACTGCGATAACTTTAGTTTCTTGCGGATCCCTCAAAATATAATTAATGCTTGGTATTTTTGTATGGAACTGGAACTCAACTCATGATCTTCCTTTATCCAAAATATGAGTTCATTTGCTCGAATAATAGTGTTTCTGGATGTCTCTGAAACCTCTGCGTCATCGACAATATGGTTGTGACCCTGCCATTTCCATGCAGTGCAAGGTTCGTTTCTAAAACTTAAGGACATTAATGCTCAATTACAGGAGAAGATTTTCCCAGAGTGAGCTTTATCTATAGAACTACTTCTGAGTTATAGTGCCAGTTGGTAGGAAATAAGTTTTGTTTTCATATCTACAGTCATAGTATATTGCTCAGAGTTCTAGAAGAATTCACAAACTTTCATGAAATTAGTTGCGTAGATAACTGAAACATACCACTAGATAATGAACTGCCTGCTGACCGGCAGAGCCATTATTTTCGTGAGTTATAAAGTCCAAAGGAAAAATAGGTGCCATTCATTGCCATCAATGCTAATTCTCTTTGTTTTTGAGCAATCTAGGAAGAATTTTATCACTAACCAACACTCTTGGTGGAGTGTGTCCGTGCAAGTTTTCAGGCCTCTAGCATGTATGGTAGCTGACACTGGGAAGGCGAATATTTTCGTCCCCTACTATATTATTGTACGTTTTTATTGCAATGTAGCCAGCGAAAGAAACAGCACACCTATGAAAAATTCAAGCAGTATTAATTAAGGAGAATTTACCGCAGTCGAGGAACCATCGTCTTTACTAGCCATGTCGAATCGTCTGATCTTAAATAAAAAGAGGATTTGAACAGATGTCTCTCATTTTGTTTATAAATCAATAAAAGTACGGCATTTGCTGATGAAGGAATTTCACGAAGTGTCCCATCGCTCTCTAATCAAGAGGGTGTAGGTGTTTCATAAGTATTGAGGCTCGACGAAATTAGTTCTATTCAGACAGGGAACAATGCCTAAACCATATATATTTAGATCAGCTTTGAGTACTCGTGACGGACTATCAAATGATATATAATTGGGTGTGGGTGGGGTCAAGGAGGAGATAGCGAGACTTCATATACTTCCGAAGTATTTTGAAGTACGAGGAAGTATCGTGGAAGTACTAGGAATTATCATGGAAGTACGAGAACGCATCATGAAAGTACAATGGAAGTACGAGAACGCATCATGAAAGTACAATGGAAGTACGAGAGAAATACAGATTAATTATACGAAATTATAAGGGAAGAAACGATGAAGCACAACGAACCATGTTGACTATGAATGATCTCTCATAGCAATATCATAGTTTTTGTTAAGTACGCTGTTATTCGAAACCATGATACATAATACATTCAATAACAGCTTTCACAAGATAATTTTCTGTCGCAATTTAACTTTTGCGTTCCGTTTCAAGGAACAGGAATGCGACATGAATTCTCTTAACTTTTAATGAAAGGCTTCCGAATTCATTGAACGAAAGGCAATTTCTTAGTAATAACGATATTTTATAGAGTTTGATCGAAGACAATCGAGGCCGAGGAATTCGAATCTGTAATTCGTTTCTCAAAAATTCGGGTTTATTTTTTCCACTGAAAAACTTTTTACCAAAAAATGATCTATTGTTGCAAGAAACTTCTTTTTCTTAGAAACTAACTGTTTTAGTAAAAAATATATTTTTTATTAAAAAAAAATTAAACTCAAAATTTGAGAACCCGATGCAAATTTGGATTCCTCGGCCCCAATTGCCTTCTGTGAAACTTTATAAGAATCGTCATTTTTAGGACGTTGCCCTTTATTCAATGAATTCTGGAGCCTTCTGCTAAAAGTGAAGGGAACACGTGTCACGTTTTCATTCCCAGTCTTGGGAAGGGGGGGGGGACACTGAGAATCCAAACATAATAATAAAAGCGAACATGTCTAGAAACCTCGCCATTTTGAAAGAAACCTAGAAAATGCAATTTTGAGAGGCGTTCTCGTTCCTTGAAATGGAGTGCTGAGGAACGAGAATGCTAACATTCCTACTGAGATAACTTCTTTAAGATTGTTTCCACTCGACAACTATTATTTATTTCGCATTTTTGAAAGCTATATGAACTTACACTTCATTCAATAAGAAATTTATATATGGATGGCACAACGATAATACCAAACTAAATGTTCTTCATAAAAAAGTACGGTTTATTTAATCAGGGGTTTCTCTTAAAACGTGAACCCGTCTCTATTTATTAACATCGAATTCCGATGTGTCAGTAACTAAAAAGCTGATTCTAATCATCTCATGCAGTCTCTCCTTAACTGTGTAAAATACATTTCTAATATTTCGGATTTAGCGCCATTATCACAAATTATATGAATGTAGCGACGATTAAAGAACTCATAGAAGTCAGAAAGTGTTTTACCTTGATGTGAAATTGTGTACACCGGTGGAGAGAAACCCCAGGTTAAATATCAGTGAGATATAATCTAGGCATAGTGAAATGCGAATGAAGTACTGTGAAAGTAGAAATGCACTGAATCCGAGCTTTTCGACGTTCGGTCATTTCTGGAGTTCAGTCGTACCCGGGGTTCAATCGATACTAAGCTTAGGCTCAATCCAAATCTTCCTTCAATCTTATAAAATTCCACTAGCATATAAATTTCACTAGGGCATTTCTACAAAAGGAAAATGGAGACTGAGGAATTCGAATCTAGAAATAGATTTTGAAAACTTTGAATAGGATTTTTTAAGCTGGCGAAAGAAGTTTTTGAGAAAATAACGATACTTTATAAAGGTTAATGAAAGTGAGTCAGGGTTGGGAAATACGAATCTAAAGTCACTCTAAAGATTTTGAATTCGATTTTTTTCGGTTAGGAGAAGGAGTTTTCAAGGTAATAAAGATATCTAGTAAAGGTAGACGAAAGTGAATCGAAGTCGAAGAATTCGAATCTGCAATTAGACTTTCGAAATTTCGAGTTCAATTTTTTTTACATGGTTTTCTAGAAAACAGCGTTTTCAAAAAGAAAGATTTTTTCTCTAAAACAGAATTTTGTAAAATACACCAAGATGTTTTTATAAAAAAAAATTGTGGAAAAATTAACTCAAAATTTTGAAAACCCAATTGCAGATTCGAGTTCCCGACCTCGATTTCCCTTCATCAACCTTGATTAGAAATCTTTATTTTCTCGAAAAATCCTTCCCTAACCGAAAAAATAGAATTCAAAATTTTCAAAATCTATTTGTAGATTCAAATTCCTCGGTCTCCATATACATTTGGTAGAAATTCTTTAGTGGAATTTATATGCTAATAAAACTGTATAAGATTGAAGGGAAGATTTGGATAGAGTCAAAGTTTAGTATCAATTGGATCCCAGGAACAACCGAACTCGGAAATCTCGGCATGTTCTCGGGTTCGGTGCATGCCTATGCGAAAGTACTACGATTTATAAAGAAGTAAAAAGCGGTATAACAGAGTACAATTGAAGTATAAGGGAGTATAGCGAAGTATATTGGAGCTACAAGGAAGTACGCATTCTTGAAGTCGCGTTCCTTCCCCCTTGGTGTGAGTGGTGTGAATGTGAGTGCGAGTCGAGTCTTTAATACCTAAACTCTTACCCACGCTCTTGTATATGAAGAAGTAGAAGAATAAAGCTCTATACGTAGAATAATTAACTTTTCTATTGGAAATGTAGGAGAATCAACCTCTATACAGTAAAATCTCTCCAATCTGAACACCTTCGGGATCAGTAAAAAGCGTTCATAATAAGGAGTTGTTCATAAAGGAGAGATCGGTTCCCAGGAAAAGTCGACTTTTGGGACCGGATAGAAGCGGTCATAATAGAAAGGTGTTCATTAAGGAGGGGTCTTCACAAATAGAGGTTTTACTGTAAGCAGAATGAGAAACTCTTTCATATGAAACAGTAGAAGAATAAACCTCGATACGTTCAATAATAAACTTTTCCAACCGAAGTATACCAGAATCAACTTTCCTACGTAGAATAATACATCCCCCGAACGAAGAAATGGAAGAATGGACCTCTAACCGTACAGTAACAAATTTTTTCAATGAAAGTGTAGAATAATCAACGTATATACGTAAAATACTAAAACCCTCCTGACTGAAGAAGTAGAAGAATCAAGGCCTACGCGTAGAGCAATAAACCTCTGCAAATAAAAAAGACGTTGCATCAACTCTTAGACGACAGGAGGAACACTGTTACCAGTGAAAGAGTAGCAAAGTCGACTTTTAGCGATAAAATAATAGACTCTTGTCAACGAAGAGGTGTAAATCATAAAGCTTCACGTACAAAAGTAAACATTTTTAATTAAAAAGTAGATAAATCGATCCCTGTACGCAGGATAAGAAACATTTTGAAAGACAAGGTGCAAGAATCTGCCTCTAGGCGTAGAATAATGAGGTATTTATTGGAATGTTAGCGTGTCTTTTCTAGAAAAGCAGAGTAATATACTCATTTAATCAAAAAGTTGTGTATTAAAACTGAAATAGAACAATAAGACATTCGTGTCTTGAATGTGTACAATAATCTACCGATATTGGTTGAGAACACTTCATCCTTTTCTCTCTCTCGAGAGCAAATGTACAAGCGCTGGTTTACATTCCTTTTTTCTTAACGTCGTCCTCCTCTTCGTGTTAGAATGAGGGGAGGAATTGACAGTAACTACCGCTCTAATAAAAAGGTCAATCATCAATTCTGCAACTAAATACTTCAGTTATCAACGCAATGGGACAAACTAAGAATCAAACGAATGTGAAAAATATTAGCACAACAGCTGCTTACAATTTGGAAGAAATGATCGCATACATCTGACAAAATCCCAATATAGCACTAGGTATTCATCATCATCATCTTACCGAAGCTCCACATCTGCAACAACTCAATACCCCAATCGAAGTTTCAACACCACAAACATCTGAACGAAATCTTGATGCAAGTGATAGTAATGATACACAAATATCAAAACAACATTGCGTTCTATCGAACAGAAAGCAAAAAGAATATGGTCTAATGAATGTATCAACAGCTCCAAAGGCGTTACTTCCATTGAATAATAATCCTGTGCTAGATCAACACCAACCACAAATATCAGAACATCAACAAGGTCGTCTCCCATTTGAGCAGCTGAAACGAGCTGTTTCAAGCAACCTTCCGTGTTTTTTAATTGAATATGATCAAGATGTGAACTCGAAGAACCGTCCATCCGATATATCAGCAGCAAGTATTCTTGAAGATCACTTCAAACAACAAGGAATCTAAATCACTTTCTCGCTCGTCAGTCATTCAGGTATTAAATTAAAATTAGGGGTAAACAACAAAGAATCGTATGCAGCATTAATATCTACGGATAAACGGCCGTCTGAAATCAATAATATCAATATCACTGTCATGCAACCAAAATTTATTCCTCATACATTCGCTCTTGTAGTACGTTACGTATCTCTCCAGTACAATGAAGAATATGTCAAAGAAGAAAATGAATGAAATCTTCAATCAGCTGAAAATGTTAGACGTATTCAATATCACTTTCAACGAACAACAAATGATTTTCGATTTGTTATTAAAGATTTACGCTAATATAATTCTACGATAAAATTAGGTCGAATATCGATTGGAAATACACTCTGTACCATTACTCCATTCCTGACCGGGAATCGTACGACATTTTGTACTCGTTGCTGGTGTTTAAGTCATATGAGAGATAAATGTGAACTAGAAAATCTTATCAATGGTTAAACGCACGTATGTTTGAATAGAGCTCGCTGTGCTCAATGCAATGGTGACCATCAATCATTATCTAGTGAATGTGATAAAGTGGTAGAATATCGATCAGAATTAAAAGCTCAAGTCAACAATGCAATATCGTCAGGAAAACTACACCGATTAATACCTCAAGACCGCATCCAATCGATGGAGTTTCAAACGAAGAAAAATGAATTTCCATCATTACCACAGTGTATGTCTGGTGCTGCACCGTGGAAACTGGCTTCAGCACAACAAGCAACAACAACTAATATGAATGGAAGTGAAGCTGTAACAAAAATTTTGGTATCGATGAACCAAAATATCTTAGATATGAAGGAGAATACACATCGTATTGATGAAAAATTAGATCGTATTAACGATAAGGTCAATCAATCTGCTTTGGAGACGGAACTTCATCAAGAAACACTGGAGAAATTATTACCTATATGCGTATCAATCGTTTGTGACTTTATTTGGCCCGTGATGGCTCACAACATTGCTGGACTAGGTGACCAGCATTCACAATTGCAAAAACTATTAAGTAACGCGGATCTGTTATTGCGTGATCTAAAATCGGACTATTAAGCTCGACGTAAACACAGTACATCTCCACCACGACAGCTTCCGCCATCTAAACAACCTTCAAAATCGCCTAATATCACTACGAGCAATGAACTTGATCAAAATATGAGCAAAATAGATGAGTACCAGACTTTCAGATTTAAGAGTAGAAGCAAATTCTTTTTCTCCCTTTCAAACAATTAATCCTAGAGACTGCGATGAAAGAGTTTTGTCTATGGGGATTTCAGGAAAACGTCAAAAACTAGTGGAATAAAATCCTTGTAGAATGGTTTACATCAGGTACTCTAGAAAATATTCTCTTATAATGGGAAAATATTTCACCTAAAGAAATTCAGACAGAACGAACTCCATTAAATATCCTCTGTTGTAACGTGCAAGGATGGGTCCAGATGCCTTGAGGTATTTGACATCGTTTATAGAGTAAAGGCCTCTATTTGTGTTTTTACTGAAGTCTGTGGAATACATCTCGGGTGCCTCGTTTCAATATTTTTCATCAACATGGTACAAATAGCAGGGGAGGAGTATGTGTAGCTATAGGAAAACAGTTAAAAGGTACAAGAATAGAAATTAATGTTGCAAATACTGTTATTATTGATGTTAATGGTTTTTCTGAAACAATAAGAGTAATCGCTTTTTACTGGCCAGTAGGTCAGATCATGATGTTAGATGATTTAGAACCATATATCATTGAAAACATAATTATCACTGGTGATTTCAATGCATCCATAAAAGAGGTAGAAACTTGAAGGAATGGGTGGAAAAAAAATAATCTTTGTTACATTCCATCGACACTGCATTCTTCAAAACGTTCGAATAGAAACATTGATCTATCATTTACAAATATAGATGAGGTAAGAGGAGAGACTCTGAAAATGGGTACCAGTGATCACTGGCCACTGTTGATAACATGTGAGAATGTGGGTTTCGATAAGAATAAAATGTTCCCACATGTAAATTGGAAGGCGTATGAAGCCATTCTTACGCTGTTACAGGATTTTTGGACAAATGAGCAAAATAGAGGCATGCAAGCTGATGAGTGGTATATGAATTATGTACGTTTTCTTGCTGCTCTAAAAGTCAGACTTACACAATGGAAAGAAAAAGAAAGCTTCCGTCCATCACTACCGTCTTATTTTATTCAGAAAGTGAAAGAAGCAAAAAGAATAAGAAATAAATATTATTGTGAGAAAACAATATTTAATACAAATGAAGAGACAAGAGTGTTATTACGTGTGTTGTCACGTGAAGTAAAGATAGAAATTGCAAAATATAAATCGCGTAAATGGCAGGAGCTTCTGTCTAAAATTCAAGAAACACATGACAACACAAATAGAGTTTTTTGGTTATGTCTCTCTCGGATATATAAACATAAATCACTACCCTTTTCGAAATTAGATACCGGTAAAACAGTATTGGCAAAAGAAAACGAAATTAGTGATGAACTTTATCGTTGTTATTCGGAACAGTTTAAAGCACAAAAAGCGGATATGTCAGATCCCCATGAAAATCAAATTGAAACAGAGTATCTAAAATTGATAAATAAACTTCCGATATTAAATGAAAAGATTGAAAAGACGAATTTTACAGAAATAAAAAGGCACATTTTAAAGTTGAAACCGAAAAAATCATCTGGTTTCGATGTAGTGTCTAACTTTATAAGCAAAAAAATGCCACCTGGTTATATTAATTGTTAAGTAAATTGTTTTAATACTTTGCTAAACGAACACAGATATCCCGATATGTGCAAATTAGCTGAAGTAGTTACACTGAATAAGTTAAAAGCAGGAATACCTCGTTGTGACCAGACTCGGCCAATTTCACTTTTAGCAACACATTCAAAATTATTTGAAAAATTTATGCTAGAAAGACTGAGATACTGGTCAGAAACTAATAGACTAGTATCAGCTGAGTAGTTGGGATTTCGTCCAGGTTGTTTACTTCAGACGAGAGTTCTATCTATATATCAAGAGGTTCAAAACAATAAGACTGCAAATATTCCTACACTAGCAGTGTATGTTGACTATCAAAAGGCGTACGATATAAGATATGGCAAAAAGGTCTTGCTGTTAAACTCAATAGAGTGGACATACCCTTAGGACTATTGAAATTAATTAATTCGTGGTTGAATGATCGCCGAGAGTATGTTATGTTTGGAGAGAATAAATCGAAAATATTTCACACTCACATTGGTTTGCCTCAAGTCAGTAGTTTAGGTCCCTATTTTTTCATTGTCTATCATAGTGATCTTGTTACATGTTTAGGTGGTTTTTAAAACCATATTTTTGCTGATAATCTTAACGTACTAATATTCCCACCTACATGTCGAGGAGTTAAGCCGATGATTAAGTTTTTAGAAGAAGCAGGAACAAAAATATGTAATAAAATAGCGTATTACTCCAAGAAATGAAAACAACCAGTTAATTTCTCAAAAACAGTAGTTCAGGTCAATCACTCTCAAGTACAAAGTTCAGTAGTTGATATCTATATGGAAGGTAAAAAACTAGAAGTAGTTAAAGAATTTAAATATCTTGGTTTTACTTGGACAAATAAGATGTCTTTGAAATCAACGATAAATAAAACACTTGAAAACATTCAAAGAACGTTTAGTAAATTAAGATGGATGAAAGGTGATAAAACCTTCTCAAAAGATGTCTTGCGAAGATGTTTCTTTGCTTTCACTTTCCCATATTTTGCCTGGATATTTCATTTCTACCCCTTCCTGTCCCTTTGCTTGAGCAATAGATCTTCTTCAAATAACAAATGAAGAGTCATTAGAAGAATGTGTGAAAAGAAAAGATAAAAAACGATTAGAACGAATTGAAAAATCAAATTTAGGTCTTTCACCCTTCTACAACGATGTATTCTATTGGGATACATTTCATAAAAATAAAAATGATCATATGGGACACTTTTTTCGAATGAAACGAGTTGGACTTATGCGTGAAAGACATCAATCACTGCTTCTTCAATGGCTTGAGTATTTATGTGTGTGAAGTTCTGCCATGTGATTAATTGATATGTTACTCACATCATTCTTTAAATCGATAATCCTCCTTTTTTCTCTTTTTCTTTCTCCTTTTCGTATTATTACTAGCTTTTCTCTCCTTTCGTTGTCCTTCTTTTCCATTTTCCATTTCTTTCCTATGCTTACCATTGTATCTACAAAACGTGGTTTATTATAATTTAATGATGTTTCTTGTATGCTTGTATCGCACATGGCTGTGCAACCGAACAGCTGTGAATGCATAAACCATTGTTTGTAAGCACTTCCGAGTGTAACAATAAAGGAAGCGAAATTTAAAAAAAATTGGTTGAGAAACATACTCTTATCTCGAAATCGTAAAATAAGAAACCTCATATAACTATCATATACACTTTGAGCTTTCAAAGCGTACAGTTTCATAAACGCATCCAACAGTAAACCCTTAAATAGTTGATCAAATTGGCATAAGCCGTTGAAAGGTTTATTGATAAAATTCTCAAGTGCAAGAAAAGATGATTATGCGGATTTTTTTCAGTAATAATGCGCCCTTTTTATCATGGCGGTTGAGTGATCTATCCTTGGACGTAGAAGAATAAACTCTGCTTTCCGTAAATGTAGAATGGTCTAGCCTTTGGTGTATAATAATAAACCCTTTTTCTATAATCGTAGAATAATCTACCCTTAGATGAAGATTAATAAATCCACTCCCATAAAACCGTCCGGTGATCTACCATTTTCCTGTAGTCATCGAATAATCTATCCTTATGTGTAGAATAATAAAAAAATTCACACACTCCGCAGAATGATCTACCCTTATGCGTATAATAGCATACTCTTCTAATGAAAACGTACAATCATGTACCCTTGTGGATACAATAAGAAATCCTTTTGATTAAATCTTTGAGTAATAAAATCTCAAATAGGCATCAAATATCCTTCTCATTTTCATATACCCTTATTGTTATAAACCCTTCGACCCATAAACCCTTAAAGGGTTTATTAAACCGTATTTTGAGTAAAATGCTTGATTATTCTGCGGATTTTTTTCGGTGTAGAAGGTTTTATATTTCTACGTAACAGTCATTAATAATTTGCGCATATAGGCATCAGAATTTTTTTCGTAAAAAATCAGCTTACAATTCAACTTGACGACTCTTTTTTTCTGTAAAACACTATTAGGCACAGGAACGAAATAAATCGCACTATTTTAATGAGAAGTAGAAAAAAATAGAGATGCATATTACCTTCAATCGACGATCAACTGCTGCTGTTGTTTTGTCCACGAAATTTTTTACTTCAGACGCGATTTTTTTTAATGCCCATTTATTCATTCTCTGTTGTTTGTCAAATATATATATGACAAGATACAAATATTGACAATGAATCATATTCTCTTCGGATTTTTCAGAAATATTACTCGAAGGTGTTTTTTTTGCAGGATGGGTTTCTTCCCAGGCGAAAAAAAACTTATTCAAAGCTATTTCAGAGCTACCTCTGGACACGTTCGGGTGCGGGTGGACTTAAATCAATTTAAAAACAAATCAATCTATCTCTTAGCGAAAAAATAGATCAATTTGCTAGTCTCAACTGTTGCTTTTCAGCAACCGATCAAAGTCGAATTTTAGTTAAAAATAAAATAATTTCTTTCTGTGCTAAATTTAAGAAAATAATTACATAAATGTAGAGATTAATTTTGCCGACGCGTTTCGTGCTATTTATTTATTAAAATAATGAAACACTTTTCAGGGGCTCTACATTTTAATTTAGCAGAATAAAAATAGCAGAGCAAAATAGATTAAATATAATTAAGATTAAAATATAATGACAAACAAAAATGAAGGAACAAATACAAAATTTAAAAGACAACAATAAATTAATGCATGGATTAAAATGTACGCGGAGTCGAAGGTGATATTCCATTGTTCGAGCTCTCTTTCTGAGTAATATATTCAGCATTTTTTCGTTCCACCGTCTTTACTTATAGCGTATGCATGTTTAGTATATTTTCGTTTTGTTGTCTCTACGGATATCGTATCAATGCCGATATTTGAGATTCAACTAATTCTCTATCAAAATAGTTTAAATAATAGGACCAAACTTGATAAATTCTAGGATTAAATTCACTTTATAATTTAATTTGATAAATTCAATGTTAAATTGTATATTTCATAATTAAAATAAATTGAATTCAAAGAATGCATATAATAATTCAAACAAATTCAATAGTGAAATTTAAGGAAATTCAATACTGGAATTTTATAACTTAAGCAAAACCAATACGGACTTCGTAATTTTATAATTGGATTCAATATGTAAGGGAAGTTAGCGACAGATTTGAATTTTTCTTGAAATTATTCGTCCCATCAACCGTGCCAATTGTTGAATGTAGTGTCCCAGATAGAACTCGATGAGCTCTATCTAATGCTATGTTCAAAAATTACGATAACATGAAGGCAAAAGAGACACCTATAAAAATACGATTTATCGCCATGGGACAAAATGTACACTTTTCATATTTCCTAAATATATTCGATGCAGCTCGATGAGTTCTATCAAGTAGTGTACTCGAAGCTACCATCTTAAAAACTCATCAACCTGAAATACGCAAAGTACCACTAAAATTCGGCAACTTTTGTGATACTTCATCTACCGATTCGCCCTACAACCCATGCCAACACCAAAACTTAAATACGATTCAGAAGTCTACTTCAGCGAGTGCTGCCAGATTGATCATACATTTTTTTGCAGGTGACTCCATGTAATAGATGTGCCAGTGATCATATGATTTTATTTTCATACATCTCAGTTATTTCTATCGATTGATCTATGATTTACATTGTTGAAGAATACTGGGCAAGGAATCGGATCGGTGAAAGCGATTAGGTGAGACTAACTAGTCATTGTTTAATCAAGTCAGTTCATTTATGTGTGTCAACGAACAATCGTGTCGTTTCCGTTGCATAACAGTTCAAGAAAACCGTTAACCATTTGTCCGTAAATACTGACGCGTTTTGTAACCGATCACGAAAATGATCATTTTTTATGTGCGTTTATTAGTATTTTGGCGCTTTTGGTGTTATTGTGATACTCATCATATCAAGCAATAAATCTATCGATAGAACTCCTCAAGCTGCATCGAATGATATATAAATCATAATTGGCACGCATAGTCGGGCGAATCGTCAAAGAAAAGGAAAACTACTTCAGTTATATAACAACATCACAATTCGGGTCCCATAATTCATTTATTATTAGTTATCGTATAAAATTATACATCAATCGATAGGTCGTATTGAACCTCATCGAGTGGGGTAGACGTCTTTCGGGACACGTACTTTCCATCGAATCTGTGAATGATAATATTCGTGACTAATGCACTACGTTTGAATTTAGAAATGTTGTTGTTGTTTTAGTACTGTTATATACATCAAAGGACAGATCAATCGATAGCGCTCGTGAATCTAAGTCGAATCAATTAGGTTTTGGTGTTAGCATGGGTTGTAGGGCGAATCGGTAGATGAAGTATCACAAAATTTGCCGAATTTTAGTGGTACTTTGTGTATTTCAGGTTGATGAGTTTTTAAGATGGTAGCGTTGAGTACACTACTGGATAGAGCTCATCGAGCTGCATCGAATGATATAAGTTTTGAAAAGTGGCACGGTGAGGTATCGAATATATTTAGGAAATATGAAAAGTGTACATTTTGTCCCATGGCGATAAATCGTATTTTTATAGGTGTCTCTTTTGCCTTCACGTTATCGTAATTTTTGAACATAGCATTAGATAGAGCTCATCGAGTTCTATCTGGCACGCTATATTCAACAATTGTCACGGTTAATGGGACGAATAGTTTCAAGAAAAAACTCGAATCTGTTGCTAACTTCCTTTACGTGATAATAAATCATTTTATTGACTACAAAAATACTTTTCCACTGAGAAAAATTGATCAGAGAAATTGTGTTTTTTGTAATTACTTGATTTGCTAAGAGTATTAGTTTGCATTTATTTTTTGAAATACTACTTTTCATATTATTTATATGTTTGAAACAAAAATGAATGTTTCATTTACATTTAAAAATAAGGATTAGTTGCAGATAAAAGTAAAGTTTCTTCCATGAGCGCAAAAGAAACAGATAATTGATTCAAGTAATATATTGGACTAATTGGAATTTTATAACTTAAAAAATGGTTGTCTAAAAGAAAATAATTGTAGAGGAAAAGGAAAAACTCATAAGTTAAAATAAGCTTCTTCTATTGGGCATATAATTAATGAGTGTAAGTATTTGAGTTAAGGAAAGATACACCCACACCCTCAAGAAATAAATTCAAAACTCCCTTGATCTAATAGACGTGATCTCCCATTTATGGAAAAGAACTAATATTATATTCAATCATTTACCCAAATCATTTGATCAAATCGTAGCTAACCGACTAGAATCTGATAAGTTGCTCCTTGTGCAATCTATCCGTCAAACTTCGTATCTATTGCAAAATAGCGTTTAATAAAATCAATGTAAAGCGAACGATGTAGCTTCCTAAGATTAACAATCGACTTACTCGATTATTCATATCTGTTTATTGCACGTTATCGTACGTTGAGTTAAAGTTGGGCGTAGTTTAGATGTAAAGAAGATCTAAATCCCCGTTCCAGCCTATAATAGGAAAAAAGAGGAAGTCGTCACATTTAGAACAAATCTATGCAAATCAGATGAGCTTTCAAATGGAGAATACACACGAGCTCAACCAGCAATCTATTAGAATATTCATTTAGGAAATTAAAAGATTACAAAAAAAACTCAGACTTAATTAATGGTAAATGTTTTGAAATACTCTCTCGTTGTCTATCCTAACAAATTGAAATAACGCATTCCCCAATAACTTAATAAGAAAGCGGCTGGATCATCTTCATTGAATCCACTGCCACTATCTAGAGCGTAGATATCTGAATTCCATTTTTGAGAAGTTCGCTCATCAGGCGGAAGCAATTGTAATGAATGCTGTCCTGCATTGCATTGAGCTGGTGTATTAAGTTGAATATCTAAGCGATCACTATTGAATTGTTGCCAATCGATAAGTTCAAGTGGCCAACGTTGCATATACCATATACCATCCTTGGATAATGAATTACAATCGAAATCAGAAGACGTTCTAGATGATAAGTCATACCTTTTAAATAGATTTCCGGTTTGATTCACCTGACCACTGACATAACAATAAATAAAGTTATAGAATGGTGATTTTTCCATTATTTTGTATTTATGTGATAGATTCAATCCAATCTTCATATATTCAAACAGTTGATCAATCAATACTTTTACGCGTTGTTTCTGTTTTAGAGAGAAACTAGTTGATGAATCAATAGTCTGAAGTGCATGAGCGAATGTAAAATACGACAAATATGCTAACTCATCATCAGAAAAATTATTATCACAAACAGCAATTGTCTTTTGATTAATAAGATTGACATCATACTGATATGATTGAACGAGAATATAGGCACCATCGAGAAAACGTTCTTCATGACTATAGGCATAGGTTTGTAATAGAAATGCTAATATTTGAAGACTATTGAGGCCTCTACTTTCTTGATAAAAACTATCATCATTTATTTGAATAGGATTCCAAATACCCCATGTTGTATAAGTATGATTTTCGCCTACTAAATACCAGTTATGAGTTAAAATATGATTAGTAATATTATAAGCTAGTATATAGGCTCGTTGCCGCTCACTATCATTTTCAGCCAATAAATCATGTACGAGAGGATAGACAAATTCGTGACCAACAATTTCATCCGATGATGTATCACCTTTGAATTGTAGATCTGAATAAATGGGAGAAGGATGCCAGTGTGGATCCGGAGGGAAATCAGTACGTTTTGCTAATGAACGACTAGGATAGCCAAGAATACCTGATAAGAAAATAGTAAAAAATTAATTAGTTATGAGATATTATTTCGATGATTTATAGACTACCTGAAACTTGATTAAGTAGTTCTAATGCTTCAAAATGTTTCCATGCTTGACTTTTAATCGCGGGATCTCTTATCACTGCATAGCGAAAGACCTGACTTGCCAAATACATAGATGTCCAAAGACCATCATTATCATCCGGTCCTTTGATACAAGTACGAGTATCACCCCAAGATGTCATACTGCAACCCGATACTAAACCATATTTATCATGTCTGCCTGGTTGATCGAGAAAATTTTGGAAGTATTCTGCCTTTTGGGATAAGGTCCACTTTTCGAATCGTAAAACAGTTAGACCTCGATTCGTGATTGCTACTGCAGTACTACCTATGTTATTTAGTGTATCATCTTCACGACTCATTGCAGCTATTGAAGACACGTTGACTTGTGATTCATGATTTGGCATGTATCTAGCACTATTGAAAACTCGCCATGCGTTTAAATCACTTGTATTCGAATCGTAACGCATTACTCCATAAACACCACCTAGCCATACACTACTTTCAGTTGATTTTGAATGACTGACACTCAGTTTAGTTATATTTGCAAATGGCAAGTGTCCTATATAGGATCCGGGATTGGAAATTTGTCCTGCTAATCTAGAGAAATACCAATGGAGACGCCCCGTTGACATGACCATTGGAGAGAGTAAAACTATTCCTGTATTTTGTGCGATCCATAATTTATCTTGTGCATCATTATATACTAATGAAGTAATCGGTACATCTATGAATGCATTAATATGTTCAAAACGCCAACTTTCATTACCATTATCATATTGTTGAATCCAAAGTTTTGTTTCTGTACCAGCAAATATTGTCTGCCGTTTTGAACTCCATGCTAATGAAGATACAGAAACATTTATCCCATGAATATAAGGACTAATTGTCATATTTGCAAGGTTCAATCCATGTAAGCCTGAATTACTAGCAATATATAACCATCCAGCAAGCCCAGAATCTTCTACAAATAAGCCATCATTGATTTTAGTAATATTGTCAAGAACCGAGGGAAAATATATTGTTTGTACGACTCTGCAAGATGTAGCATTTGATATATCACATAATATCAACTGTACACTATTTGGTGTGATAAGAGCAGCTGAATAAGACGAAGAAGTTATTGGATTATGTGATGAAACTAGGAAACTGTTATTATTGTTCACATTAATCTCGGATAAAACTACCAATGTAGCATTGGCAGACAGCAACATCCAGGACATTTGATATTGGCCAAATGATGAAGTCATTGCTTTATCTTCATTAATAACTTCAGATAGAAGCCAGACTCCTTTGGAAGCTTGTGAGTGATATCCTGGTAATGAAATAGCTTGCCATGCATATTTGATATTGGTGAGTATAGGCCAAATAGTAGATTCATTTGCAAATGAAGCAAAAAGATAACGCTCAGCGATGACTTGTTCATACTCAATATCGGGAAGTGCTGATATTTGCTCTTCATAGAGATTAGCTTGAGTGTTTCTGTTCGTCAATGATTGTGCATTAGTTACTAACAGCAAAAACAGCAGCCGAAAAGGAGCTACTCTCAACATAGTTAATATAGTAAATGGTTACTAAAACAAATTCTAAGAAAATAAATATCAATCTTTCAACACAACCAAGACTAAATATTCAATGTTTGTTGCAGCAAGCGAACAAGGCTTTTACACACTAACTGATTGCTTAATGCAAGTCAAGAGCAACACAACTTGAAAGATAAGAGATAACTACCAAACAAATGTAGGTGTATAAATATCCTTCAAGTAACAAGATGTTGCGCCGTGCTTGATATAATTGTAGAAACAATTATTTTTAAAAAATTCTATATTTATCAGCTAGAAACATTGTAAAACTTTCATTCAACTCAAGAATATAGCATTTAGGAAGATGTTCATACATTTTGGATACATTACTCATCATGTGGTTGCATGGGAGAGTTTTTAAATATAATTAGCAATATAAGATAACTAGATTAATGTAACTGACGCCTAGAAATAGATTTATTGCTGAAAACGTTTTCTCTCAAATACATAAAGAATATTTTTAAATAACGGCGCTGCATACTTGGATAAGGTTATATCAATCGAAAAAGAGAATATGTAACCACTGGCATAAGTTGCCTTGATAAATGCGACTACAGACCGTGTCCTATTACATACTAACTGCATTGATCTTTCATAGATGTTTCTTTGCTGATAGGAAAATATTCATGAATATTCCACTGGCAGAAATTTGAGGGTGTGGCTAAAAGGTTGAAAATTTATTGAAAAGGTCTATTCACATGCGTCAAGACTACTTTCTTATAACATCTCACAAAATACTATAATAATAGGAGTCCTGAAGATAAACTGACTATTTCTATCATTTTATTGTGATTGATAAAGATAATAAGAGAACAAAGAAATTGGTAGTCTTAAACAATATCAAGCATCTGGAAAACATATGTTCATTGCTCCAGATTCAATGCAACTGAGAAATTGGAATGGGTAAAGACATGAATTTGAGGTTTTTGCCATCTTGATATGTCTTTGAATGAAACTCTTGCGATTTCTCCATGTATGATATGCTGAGCTGTTGTCATCAAAATCTATTTACTGTTGAGCTTTCAAACTTTGCAGGAAATTTTATACAGTTATTACTAACTAAGTAACGTCTAACAAAGCCAATTACTACAGAGGAAAACGTTAAAGTCTAACATTAGTTTCAGAGAGTTCAAACAGCCTTCAATATGCGAGTCATTTGGGACAATTTTATTTTTTTCATTTGGCTAATATGAAGACATCAGTGTTGACTTTACACTAGATCAAATATATAATTACAGTCCACAAATATCAAGAACGTGCCTCTTCAGCTTCTATTTCACTAATAATTCCATTGAAAATATACATGAAATCGTCCATGTCAACATGGATCGGTGTAGAATAATCACCATGTCCTTTGCATATCCAATAGTGCTGTTCTAAATGAAGACTCATCTCAGCATACATTTCAGGAAAAATCATTCCAGTCGTATATCCAACTTCGACTACATGTGTTCCTGGTGATGACCATAGTATATTCATCATTCCGGCACCATGAGGACCAATAATGATAAGAGCTCGACGAAACAAAGCAATATGATCGCGAATATGTCCTCGTGCATCGAAAATTTCAATGCGAAGATCTGACGAAAGTTTGGATTTATTCAGGGCTGATGCCATGAATGCAGCCATATCTAAATGTTCAATGATTGATCTTGCATGTCCGTTGCTTCTTTTGATAAGAATAATACGATCTTTTTTTTCGGCCAATGACAATTCATCCGTAGCCATAACTCGATGAACCAGCTGCATGTCTGTTCGATCATGTAAATAATGGCCGCCATCTTTGCTGTTTAAATAGGGCCATGATTCACTACGATAAACAATATTTCCAAAATGAATTGGACGAATATCTTTATCAAAATGAACAATACGATCACGTGTAACAATATCGCGCTCAACAAGAACATCGATCAACATATCAGCGACACCACCTTTAGCAACAAGAATTTTTGCTGTTGTTGGTACAGTTGCAAGCAAACGTAATAATCGTGGTAACTGCTGTGGAGCAAAATGTCCTGGTGCTTGGAGATAATTTCCTATTGAGTCGATTAATTCAGTATGTCTATATTTAGTTTTGACTTGTGGAATATACGAAATGACGTCATTACCACATTGTTTCTTAGTCCAGCGTTGAAGATGAAAAGTGGCATATTCAGTGAAAACTGTTCCTGGTACATCTGGATGACAATGGCCCGTGTCGATGAATGCATTGAATACAGCAATGCTTACAAATCGTTTAGTTGATGGAAGCCAACTATCAAGTTCTGATTGGTTTTTCTTGCATAAAATCCATTCATGGTCAATGCGAAGTGAAGAACATGTGTCGGTCAAAGAGCGGGTACGAGGTAATCGATGTGGAATCACATTAGGCAGACGAGCTACATTATCAACGATGCATCCTTCGTTGGGATGAGAACGAAAATAATCAAGAACATCATTGACAACCATTGCTGATGTAGTTCTGCATGCGAATGCTTGCAACGATTGAAATATTGATGCTCGACAACGTCGAAAGTCACCGTTCTTGTGCCAAGTCCAATCGAAAAGGTGACTAACATTATACCGTTGGACCCATTTTGGAATATGCCATTGTTGAAATGTTATTGTCTCTAATTCCGGCGACGAGAAGAGAAATGTCGTAGAGGATCTATGTGGACATATAGGCACACGAAAGATAATGAACCAAATCAATATGACTAGTATGATAAATGCAACGACTAGTTTTGTATTAAGTTTTTGCTTCATTTGTCAATATAAATATTCTCGATCATTACTACCGCTATAAATTTAATGGCATAGAACCTAAAACATTGAAGCATATAATTACATTAAAGTAATATTGTTTTTTAATCCAATATTTTTATTATACGCGCCACTGTTTAACAGAGACTCTCTTGTGCTGTTGTGACCGTTAGACATCTATTCTAGAAGGGAGTGATCATTTCTCAATTTAGCAGTGAATCGTACTTTACAGACAAAAAATGCTGGTTATAATCATAGAACAGTCAGTAAAAGCGCAAGAAGTCGTTGTTATGTCTAGTTCTTATTGCAGGAGATTCATTTTAATGATTTCTTTTTTTTTCTTACCTTATTCTGTCTGTATCATGTATTGATATAACTGAATTCCTAAATAAATACATGTTTTTTTCGTTCTTTTTTTAGTTGACGTGCGTGTCATAAAAAATGAAACTCTTTATATCAATACGAAATACAATGATTGATTTTAGATGAAATGATGTGTACTTTTTATTGTCACATTCAATAATTAGTCATACACATTGAGTCAGTAAAACTATCATATTTAAGAAACACAATTTAACTTACTATATTTTCTGCAGACTCTTACTATTTCTAAAATAGGATTGTTTTAATGCTTTAAGAAGGAATAGGAAAACTTATTAAATTTTTGTCTCGTTTTGTCTGTTACTGACAGTCAATAATAGAGGTTCCTTCGAAATATCTTATGGTGCCTTTCGCAAATAGATCTGTATAGTACATTTCATTGATTTTAAGTATTTCATTAATTTAACTTCATTTAATATAGTATATCGATACTTTCAGGCTGCATAGTAAAATAAATTATATAGCTTGTTATTGTATCACAAATTCTAGAATTAAAAAATATTTTAGTCGATTGATAAAACATTGGCATCTGCTGAAACGCATGAAAACCATTCAAGCGTATGAACCGATTCTCCTCGAATGTGCCCTTCAATACAAGCACTTATTCATACAACTGTATAATCACTATCGATGTTACGACCGAAGTGTTCCCCTTCGATCGTAAGACGGAACAAACGAATAATGCACACTCCTTTCTAGTACAGTGGTTAATACGTCTGCCCGGAAAGCAGGAGGTGCATGGTTCGATTCCATGCGAAGGGGGATTATCCTTTTGTTCCGTTCTGTTGTCATACCATCACGTTGCTGTCTCGCTGATAACTGAGTATAATAATGTGAGCGAGAAGAAGACATAACAATCGAATTAAAGCGTAGCTAATGCATATGCCTGTAGGTCGACTGAGCGAAAGACTCGGCATTTTTTGAAAAAGATTGTCATACCTTTTTCGATCATCTATATGAATTTATCTTTTCTTAAGCTATTTGTAATTTCTTTATCCCGGTTTCTCGTCTATTCTTGAAGACTTTGTCAATAGGTCTATACATGTGATCTTCTGAGTTATCAAATAACTCGGTGTAAGTAAGACAGACAGCGCCGTAAGGTGAACCCGTCATATCAAAATAAATCACGCGATAAACAAAAAAAAGTAAATAAAAGAAAACATTGGTATCTATATTTTTAAAATAGAATTTCTCCTCAATAGAAATTGGTTCACAAGTTACTTGACCTAGAGGATTCAAATCTGACACAAACTTATTTGAATCATAATCATACTTGGATCTTATTGTTGTTATCCTCGAATCATATGTATTATGAATTTTAGTTGAACTCGTAAAATTGTAATTATTTAATCTTAAAGGCAGAATTATCACAATCATATTGGAGCATGTGTCATTAATGGGACTGGGAACAATGTCTCTCAAAGGGTACCTCATGTTTTACTCTAATTTATCTTGATTTTTTTTACAATTTACGAAGATTTTTATAGTTGTGTGTATTAAAAAGACTTAGAGCAAGGACGAGTACACCGAAAAAAACTGAAATTGATACCTAACTGCGTATCTTTGTTGCCTCTCTGTAGAGTAAGTGATAAGAAATGATTTTTTTCGTTCTGCAGTCTTTTTCCTCTCGTATGTTTTTCTTGCGTCTCGTTGGACCATTTGTCAATATTAATCTTACTCTGAATATAATGTTGTAGCATAAATTGTAAGTTCTACTCTTTACGTGCATTGATCGAAAAATGAATACCCATCAAGAATAATCAATTTTAAATGAATGATAATAATAATAAATGACTAAAGAAGTAGATGATTTCAGAAGAAAAATAGCTTTCGTGAGATTTTCAAGTTATACATGTGTATTTGCTAATCAAAAGTACCAACTTTGTACATATGGAACGAGAATAAGCAAACAAATAGACAAATAAACATGCTCGTAATTACAAAGAGCCTCAGTCGAACTCAAACAGACACGTATAAGATTATTTTCAGGAGATTGAATTCGTTCGTTGTATACAATCGTCTACATATACTATATCATGCCATGAATCAGGTCTATGATATATCTCATTGGATCGTTTGCTCCACTATGATTGGTTTCAACGCACAAAATTTTCGCCGTATATCATAATTCTCTTTGTGATGAAAGTCTGTGGTTTATCTGATTAAATCCCCACCATTAGATTTTCAGTTGACTGAGACTTACAACTGAACTCCGTAGACACTGTTACGTTTTTGGTTTCGTTTAGTCTCTCTGAAAAAGTTACTTAGCAGCTATTCTATGATAAATTATAGCAAGAGAGTATAGATTTAAATGCTGATTTAAGAAACCTTTATGATAAGGAGCCAATACAGTATGAATCCGATAGCTTTATTTGATAGTTTTATCACACTGTGTATAAATAAGGCTTGCATACGGCTGAGGGAAGAGACGACATATTTACGTTAGGCCGCCAAAAAAACACCGTATTCGACACTGTAACACGATGCACTGTATACAGTCATTTACATACCATATGTTTCACCTTAGTTTTGATTCCATAATTAGGTGAGTTGATTCTATCTGAATCAATTCATTCTGCATTTATCTAGTATCTCGTAATTTTTCAAACCGGTGTATTACACTTTTCGATTCAGATTCATTACTAAGCTTGTGTTTACACGATATTAACATAGGTGACATCTAATAATAGTCTGTTTATTTTTTGATCCCATGGATTTCAACATTGCAGAGTATCTTTATCTGTGTCTCTGAATGTACAAACAATTGAATGCAGTTTTACACCAGTCACTAAACTATCTATTTATTTGAATAGTTGTACCAATTATCGTAATATGCATTGTACAACTATTGATGAGCCATATATGTCAAACTTGAAACTTGAATTCAGTTGAAAATTGAAAATTTCAATTTTCAACTTTTAAAACAGAAGCATTCTGAAGAATCGTGACTTACACATATATCGCTATGAGTTGAACGTTGAAATTTTCTATTTTCAACTGAATTCAAGTTTCAAGTTTGACACTGCTGCACCGAATAGTGCCAACTTCTATTAGCTCAATTCAATCGTGAGATTGTTCAACCACATGAAGAATTTTATGATGAAATTGATAAATCGACTGAGATTGAGCAATAGGAAGCGACAACAATAGCTAATATTAATCAAACAGCTGAGCTTGTTCGTCGTCAGCTTATTCAACTGTTCTAACAAGAAAGTATAACTTTCACAAATAGATTAATTAGTTTGAGTGAAGAAATAAAACACTACCGAGAAGAAAATAATATAAACGAAGATCAAATTAAACAGTTTTGAAAAAATTTTAATCAACTGCAACCAACATTCATTAAAAAAAGTAGTAATATTAAAGTGATTATCAAGCAAAGGCGATCCAACCGATTGAAATATCTGTATCTACGTAAAAATCTGCCAAAGCATAAGTGAGTGTGACGATGAAACTGCAACTAAAATATCATTGTTAGAACGTGCAAGTGTGTTCAATCAGCGTTTTCAGCAATAGAGCAGTGTGTAATTGGTGAGACTCAAAAATAACTATGTCAAGTTTACTTAATGTAAAACAAGTAGATAGTCAATTCCCTATGCAAAAAAGCCACCGTAATTGTTTTTTCCTTTTGCGATGTCATTAAGTATTTAACTACTTTCATATATTAATATATATGATCATTGCGAAATTGACTTAGACTAATATGGATTTTCTTGAGAACGAAATAATCTTTCATTATTCATAATGATCTGTAAAGACTAATGAGAATCTCCAATGATAACTTTGTTGAATCAGAAATATAGGTATAGTTTGCAAGATCTCTGTCGCTTTTGTTCTTTCCCACAGATTTGTATATAAGCTTTATTGTTTCTCGTGTCGTTCTCATAGCCAGAAAGAAATGAACACAGTATAAACCAGGTTAAAACTTCATATAAGATAGGTTAATGATCTATACCTTCAAGCGTTTGATGAACTAGTACTATGAGCACGTTTTCCATGTATAGTGAAATGATTATTAATTTGGATGATTGTTACTTCTTAAAATTTAGATAAGCCTCTTTCGAGTATTACCGCTGATTCAAAATGGGCTCAAAATGGTGTTATAGTAATTAGTGACGATCAATCTAATTGATTGTCATATTCTCGAGATCTATGTATAGATGAAGATGAAATTATACATATACCGCTGGCTACCGCAATAATATTATTGTGGAATTGAAATCGAAGCAATTATCTGCAAAATTGACTGCTACGGATTGACAATAGATGAACAGGGATCTTTATACATTTGTGATTGTGCCAAGAACGAAGAAAAATGCTACCTATTGGGATAGGTTGAAGGGATCCTGGTTGTTGGTGGGCAAGGGTAAGATTGACAATCTTAATCAACTCAATTTTCTTGGTCATGTCTTGGTTGATTAGGATCCATCTATCTTCATTTCTGGCACTGATAATCATTGAGCAATGAATTTGATTAAGGATACTTCTGAGGTTACAGTCATAGCTGGTGGCCAAGGAAAAAGTAATGATCTAAAACAACTGTCCTATCCTCAAGCAATGATCGTCAAGTATTTCGGAATAATCTATACAGCAGAAGATGGAAATCATCGAGTAATGTGTTGGCTTTGTAGAATGACACAAAGTACTGTGGTTATGGGAGGAAATAGAAAAGGATATCAAATGAATCAGTTTAACCATCGTGCCAATCTCTAACGTTGCTGATTTCTACGATCATCGTATTCAATGCTTCGATATCGGAACTAACTATATTTTATGATTTTTTTTCTGGACTGTTCTTCAAATGCTTCAATCTTAAAATTTATCTGTTGAAGTCTTAACTTGTATTAGAAGAAAATGAATTAATTTCTTCGTTCCATTACAGGATCGTTAAACTAAACATATAGGAGTGGTCTTTTGTCGATCATCTTGTTTAACATTATTCATTGAATGCAATCACTGCATGTAGAATGTTTCGTTTAATTATTTACATGCAAATAGCTTTTAACGGTAAAAACGATTTTGACTTTAGTACGAACTCATATTGAAGAAAGCACAGTGAAGTCATGTCATGAAAAACTACGGATAAAAACCTTCACTAGATTGACTTACCACCATAAAACTAATCAATGGGCGTCAAATTAATTCTATTAATAACGGAACAATAATGATTTCTAGTCGTTCATATTAAGTTTGGAATAGTCGAACTTTATCAACATATTAAGCTACGACAGAAATATTTCGTAGTTACCTGTTTCATGTATGTTATTCTCGAATTTTATTTAGCAACTTACAATGCAGTGTTCTCATTAGGAATCGGTATTAATGCATTTGATAAATGAACGATACTCACACAAATTGGTCCGCCATTTCTCTTTCGTCTTTACCCGAATGCCTTTTGTTAAACATCGCTGAAGAATCATATGCCTTATTTTGAAAATATATTTCAATTAACAATAAGCAACTAAAGGTGACCTTCTCATAGATACATCTTCAAACGCATTCAAAAAGCTTACCAAGTATTAGTTGTGATATTTAAAGTATAACATTTATGCACAAATATCAAAAATTATCATTTCATCTGTCGACCGTATTCAAGGCAAAGCTTTCTATGTTTTTCAAAGCGCTTATCACAAGTAAATATACACTTTTTACCAAAATTTTCAAATTGATAAAGGATAAATTCCATTAGTACTAGTTATATTGAGCAGTTTGGTTTCAGCAAAAACCGATGGAAATGTACCCATTTTGGTATACGTTGGAACTTACACTGGGAATACTGAAAATGATAGTAAAGGTATTTATGCTTTTGCTTTCAATAGTGAAGATTCATCGTTAAAACCATTGGGACTTGTTGTTGTTACCCAAAATCCAACTTTTGTTCTAATACATCCATCACAAAGATACATTTTATCTGTCAATGAAGTAAAAAATGGAACTGTCAATGTTTTCAAAATTAATTCGAAACAAACATCTGAATTGACCATAGTCGATCAACAATCTTCTGGTGGAAGCTATCCAATTTATCTTTCATCAGATAGATTAGGACACCATATTTTTGTTGCAAATTATATGTCTGGTACAGTAACTGTATTACCGTTTGACATGAACAGTGGCCGTCTTCAATGTACAGCTAGAATTTACCAACAAATGGGATCCTCTGTGGATCCTGAGAGTCAAACATCATCCCATCCTCATTGTATTTTGTTGGATAAAAAAGAGGAGTATGCTATTAGTGCTGATTTAGGATCAGATGAATTGTATGTATATCGATTCATGTCGATGAATGGAACATTAAAAAAGCAGTACATTTCAAAATCGATAGAGGCTGGTGATGGTCCTAGACATATAATATTTAGTAATAATCATAAGTATGTTTATGTGATAAATGAACTATCATCATCGATTACTGTTTTAAATCACTATCCAGCTATAAGAGTAATTCAAAAAATTTCAACAATACCGGAAAATTTTACATCGACGAATTATGCTGCTGAACTTATTATTCATCCTATATTGGACAAATTTCTTTATGCATCAAATCGTGGTCACGATTCCATAGTTGTTTTTGCTGTTGACAATAATACAGGACATTTGACTACTATTCAACATGTACATGTACAAGGACGCACACCTCGGCATTTCAATATCCTTCCGGGTGGAACACATTTGATTGTTGCCAATCAAGATTCAGATAATTTAGTCGTATTTTTGATCGATTTAACAACAGGCAAGTTAATACTCACCAATTCTTCTGCTCAAGTTAACAAACCAACATATGTTACATTCCTCTCACCGTAGATTCCTTTAAAGTATTTAAACAATTTTGCTAAATAAATCAGCATCATAGTATATCACATTCGAGCTATTATGATACATAGTTATTTCCTTTAATTTAATATAAAGTAGATCTTGCATAAAAATGCTGTTCGTTTGAAGGAAATGGGAGAGCTTAGAAAAACTAATAAAATTATATGCTATGTGAGCTTATTTGCCTTTAAGCTTTTTTAAAATTGTTTTCTATCTCGTAAAATGCCATTTATAATAACTTATATTTATTCGATTATAGAAACTATATTTCATGCATATCAGATGTGAGTTTATTGAAGGTAATAGATAATGCGGAAAAAACAACGATTTAAAAGTAGGCTATGATTTTCTCCTAAATTTTCCTTACATCTATCAGTCATGCTTGAATAATTACCATAGCCATGTAAAGTTGTTAATGATATATCGATTTGTTCGGACTAAATGTTTCAATACATTCGAATTTTCTATGAGCTCTTGATTTTGAAAAAATTTTGACATTATCCCTTGGGTTATCCACGATTGAAATACATGCTCATGCAAGATGTTGACGAAATAAGTCATTGGTGATTATATCAAAGAAAGATTATGACAAATAAAACCTTTTTTCTGCATTCATTTAAAGGCAAATACGTTTTGAAAATCGATTCTGGTGAATATGTCGTCATTGTTAACTGTCATCATATTTTATTTTGTCTCCTATAGTATCAGATCTATTTTCAATGATTTCTTCATTTCACCTATGATTTAATTATCCTTAGAAATATGCTATTGTTTAAGATATTGTGTTGTCATATAAGATCATTCATTAGCATAGCTCAATGCCCACTTACTTCATTTTTCTTTTCCTTCTCCTGCTACGATTTTAATTTATTGGATTTTGCGGATCGATATATTTTGTCTATTTTCAATGAAATATACGTACTCAGTAAATGTTCAGCCAAATTATTATAAACAAGTGTAAATAGAGAGAGAGAGAAAACCAGATTTCTAATATACAGATACGAATACAAAATATATTTATATGAGGTACTATTCAAGTCATTTAGAGGATGGTCAATCTGATATGGCATGATTCTTGGTTTATGTGTCTATTAGAGTGTCGGAAAGTAAGCAAGCAATAAAATATTCATGTGTCCAAGCAAGAAGTATGAATTTCGGTTGTGTTTTATGATTTGTTTGTTTGAGTATCTATCTGCTTAGTATAATATTTTGTTTTTTGGCGTTGTAGTGAAGAATTAGTAACAGCGATCATATAAAAGCATACTTCGAAAGTTCTCTCAGTGAATGCATGACTAGTAACAATTTCGCTGTTCTGTTTTTAATAGTGAATTATGAAGCTATTTTGGTGTAAATGAAATGCATATTTTCTTTCAGGTATTTAGTGAAGAATATCCGTATCCTTAGCAATAGAAAATTCTTCATTGATGTCATGAACGCAAGAAAAAAGTAATGCAATCTAGAGAGCAATTATTGAAGGCATATTGGTGACTCTAGCAGTATTGTTTAAGATCTATAACTGCAATTCTAAATCAATAAAAATAATTTTGTGAAGAATCTATATGTGTTCATAAGTTATAACAAGAAAATCTATGCGAATCAGTCGAAGTTGTGTCGGATTCTGAAAATACTCGAAGTAAAATGTCTTCCCTTTAAGTATGCTCTTCAATCACAATACGAATATCTTCAACATATATGTTCAATTAGCATCAGTAAAGATCTATTCAGTTACGTATTGTTTACGAATGGGATTGGTTTAGTATTTTATATTGGTATTAAAAAGTGTCTTTCATGGAATTCTACTTTTACTATCAGAAGTCATGTTATAGAGTAAAGACGTCTATTCATATGTAACATCGTCCAGTTGGGTACAACCACTGGGACAGGTTTGAATGCTGACCTAGATGTTCGAGTCCGAATGCAGCTGCTTGAATCAGATTTTCATAGCCGAATTTATGGATATTCGCTATAGTATCACATGGTAGATGATAACATGGGTCAAGAATGGCTCCTGCGAAACCGGCATTATTGTCTCCAACAGAATTACGATACTTTTCGCGTTGCACTGCCGTTTTTATAGCATCTGATCCAGTTGCAACACCTCCAGCAACTACACATGCTTCCAAAAATGGACCATAATCACTGCGACCATTGAAATCTCTATAATCCCATGGTAAATTCTGCCCAATGAGCCAATCACGATATAACTCTGTGACTTTTCTGCTACCAGGCAATGCTTGCACTGGTGTCTCGCTTGGTGCTGTATTTGCGTCATAGATTCCAAAAATAAAATTAGGTGAACCTGCCATATCGAAGTTGAGATTGATCAAATAATCAGATAGACGTTCACCTGGAGTAATTGCATTCTTCGCTTTTTGAACATGGTAACTTGATCCAGCTAAGCCAATCTCTTCTGCACCCCACCAACAAAAACGAACACGATACTTGTATTTAGTGTAGCTCGTTGTTTGATATAGACGAGCTAAATTTGTTGCCAGAACAAGATTAGCCGCTGTTCCACTACCTAAAAAATAAGTATATATGGATAGCGTAATCATTGATGTTGTTTCAAACTTATTCATGTGCTGATGTAACTTTGAAAAGGATAAAAAATATTTAATGTCCACTTTCAATGGATAAAATAATACGTACCATTATCGTTAATACCTGGTCCAGCTGGAACACTATCACTGTGACTTCCTACGACAATGGTTTCTGTGTTACTTCCTTCGATAGTATCAGCACAAATATTATCAACTGGGAAAGTTCCTAAATCTTGTAATTCAATGGAAATCTTAACCGTGACTGAAGTTAGAAAAGTAGCATTAGCAAGGGTTTGTCCAGCCGCATAAGATAAATAAAGTGCAGGTAATTCATTTGTATGACGTAAACGTGCAATTATTGGTGCAAGGTTGGCACTGGTTTCGCCATTATTATAAAATAATATAGCTCGAACGCTATTGTTTCTCGCTAAAATACCCTTTTCGGCATATGTGCATTTGCCCCCAGCTTTGACAAGCGCAACAAAACCTGCTGCATTCTCCCATTCGCTTGCTAAACAGCCAAAATTCGGAATATTGATTACACGAACATAATCTGGAAAGTTCGCTGAAGTCGAATATGTGACATAAGTAAAATCAGATCTAGCAAGTATTTTTGAATACGTGTAGTTTTTTATTGTTTCATTTATTGATGACAGTAAGATTGGATCTGATGCAATATCAAAATTTCTCACTTGAAAAGTTTCTCTCATCACTTTCAAGCCAGTCACATGTTCATTTAAATATTTTTCTATATAGTCTACAGTTTGATTGAATCCTCGCGTATTAATAGCTCGTGTACCATTTGATTCATCGGCTATACGTTGTAATTGTCTTAAGTGACCCATAAGATCTTCGATTCGAATGGTTTCAGCCAACGTCGATTTGAGATTCGGCCTATTCGTTGTTGTTGTTTTCGAAATAATTGAATCAAAACGTTTATGGAGGGTACCAAGAGTGGCAGCTGCAAGAGCTAGTGTGGCTATTCCGAATAGTCCAATTATACATATTAGGATAAAAATACGTTTAATGGTGGCATCACCAACCGCCATATTGTGTTGCGATCAAAGTAACTGAAAAAATATACCTGTTCGATAGATAAATCTTTTTCGCAAATGTTATATTGATGATCTATTACTATTGACATATAGAGGCATATATAGGTAAATACTGATAAGATCTTTTGTAGTGGGCATTTTATTTCTCTACTGCAATGGGTGATGCAAAAGAAGAAAAAAAAACTATATGTGTAACGTTTTTGAGTTACTTGTGATTTATTCTTTCATATATTTATGAAAGGATTACAACGAAAAGAGAAGAAAGAGGATAGGAGAGGAAGATTGAGTCAAGAGTAACTGGTGAAGAACAATTGAACAAGGGTATTTATATGTGCACGAGAAGGAGAGAGAAAGAGAACAATGATAAAAAGAGGCATTACTCCTAGGGATAATTGTATGACAGGTGAATCCGTCACAGATATATCCTCAGAATTGGAATATTTGTGTAAGTGTTGTTCTTCTGATGCATTGTTAATAGAATGCGCTACATTTGTCTGGGATGTCTGTGACTTTTAGTGCAGATATTTTACTATGTGTGTTTAAAAGCGGCCTTTTTACTATTTAAAAAGACATTTCATATGATAAACACGAGAACATTCTCATTAACACCGACATCAACACATGCACAATTATAAGCTCACAGTAAGTATCATGTCTACATTTCTTAGTGTGAATAGAGAGTGAATTGAATATTGAATCACGCAATATGTTCGTTTCAACGACGCTTGTTACTGATTTCACAATGTATACCAATATGACGGTTGAAAAAAATACAGTAGAATCAAAGAAAATCATGCGACAATAAAAATCAAGGATATTTGCTGTGAGTATTACTCGTAAATTACATTTGAAGAGAATGTCACATTAAGCATGTTGAAGTGAAACATTTCTTGATTGGGTAGATCATAAAAATACTCGAATTTTTATTGAGTTAGCAAAGCAGCTAATATGGCTTCGACGACTCATACACGCAGTCAACAATAAAAAACAAAGAAAATTTAGAATAAAATTCGATTATAAGATTCTGTCAATAATAGGTGCAAGAGATAGCTACTAGTTTTGCATCATCAAAATGAATCTCTTAATAAATTGAAAATATTTTACATCAATACATAAAAATCTGCCTATTGATCACTACAAACTCTGTTCCAAATTTAAAAAAGCACTGAGTCTAACTTCCGCCAATTTTTTTTGACATTAGAATACACTGTGAAAAAAATTTCCAATAGTTTTATTTTTTTCATTTGGCTAATATGAAGACATCAGTGTTGACTTTACACTAGATCAAATATATAATTACAGTCCACAAATATCAAGAACGTGCCTCTTCAGCTTCTATTTCACTAATAATTCCATTGAAAATATACATGAAATCGTCCATGTCAACATGGATCGGTGTAGAATAATCACCATGTCCTTTGCATATCCAATAGTGCTGTTCTAAATGAAGACTCATCTCAGCATACATTTCAGGAAAAATCATTCCAGTCGTATATCCAACTTCGACCACATGTGTTCCTGGTGATGACCATAGTATATTCATCATTCCGGCACCATGAGGACCAATAATGATAAGAGCTCGACGAAACAAAGCAATATGATCGCGAATATGTCCTCGTGCATCGAAAATTTCAATGCGAAGATCTGACGAAAGTTTGGATTTATTCAGGGCTGATGCCATGAATGCAGCCATATCTAAATGTTCAATGATTGATCTTGCATGTCCGTTGCTTCTTTTGATAAGAATAATACGATCTTTTTTTTCGGCCAATGACAATTCATCCGTAGCCATAACTCGATGAACCAGCTGCATGTCTGTTCGATCATGTAAATAATGGCCGCCATCTTTGCTGTTTAAATAGGGCCATGATTCACTACGATAAACAATATTTCCAAAATGAATTGGACGAATATCTTTATCAAAATGAACAATACGATCACGTGTAACAATATCGCGCTCAACAAGAACATCGATCAACATATCAGCGACACCACCTTTAGCAACAAGAATTTTTGCTGTTGTTGGTACAGTTGCAAGCAAACGTAATAATCGTGGTAACTGCTGTGGAGCAAAATGTCCTGGTGCTTGGAGATAATTTCCTATTGAGTCGATTAATTCAGTATGTCTATATTTAGTTTTGACTTGTGGAATATACGAAATGACGTCATTACCACATTGTTTCTTAGTCCAGCGTTGAAGATGAAAAGTGGCATATTCAGTGAAAACTGTTCCTGGTACATCTGGATGACAATGGCCCGTGTCGATGAATGCATTGAATACAGCAATGCTTACAAATCGTTTAGTTGATGGAAGCCAACTATCAAGTTCTGATTGGTTTTTCTTGCATAAAATCCATTCATGGTCAATGCGAAGTGAAGAACATGTGTCGGTCAAAGAGCGGGTACGAGGTAATCGATGTGGAATCACATTAGGCAGACGAGCTACATTATCAACGATGCATCCTTCGTTGGGATGAGAACGAAAATAATCAAGAACATCATTGACAACCATTGCTGATGTAGTTCTGCATGCGAATGCTTGCAACGATTGAAATATTGATGCTCGACAACGTCGAAAGTCACCGTTCTTGTGCCAAGTCCAATCGAAAAGTCGACTAACATTATACCGTTGGACCCATTTTGGAATATGCCATTGTTGAAATGTTATTGTCTCTAATTCCGGCGACGAGAAGAGAAATGTCGTAGAGGATCTATGTGGAGATATAGGCACACGAATGATGAAAAACCAAGTTGTTAACAATAGTGCAGTAAATGCAATGAAGATCTTTTTACCAATAGCTTGTCTCACTTGTCGATAAATGCCTCGAGTGATTTTCACCATTACACATTAATTATATACGTACAATTTTAAAGTTCGAAGCACTATAATTCGGGGAAACAAATGTTTTGCATTTAAGTATTGATAATAAATATTGACATAGAACTACAAGCACAAATTTATAATGTCAAGATTACATGATTAGGGTTTACTATTTCATAACTAAGAATTTAGCACTTAAAGCTTTCAGAAATAGTTCTCATCACTTTCTATGGTATGACTTAGTGTTATGTATCAGTAAAAAGAATTGAGGAAGATGAAATTTTAACATAACATTGTATCCTTTTTTCCATTGTATATCAATTATTCCATATTTTCTTAAGAATAATTTTAAATATAATTCTGAAAATTAAATTATTCTACCGTTTATTTCAATGATAGAAAATATAATAATTGTCATTGAGATAAGTCAAAGAAAACTATTTTGTGTTTATAGGCTCCGTACAAATGTATACAAGGTATATAGGACACCATAAGAAATTCGGTCGTTCGGTACGCATACCATTTCCTCTTAGTTATATCAGTTCAAAATTTTAAAAGAGATACTAATAGAATATTTACAAAATTTTATTTAGTAGTCAATCTGGATTAACCGTTTAATCCTGTGTAGAATATATAAATGTGAAATCTTATTGGTTTAAATCAATTTAGCATATCTACTTTAATACTTACATGATAAGAACCGAACGTATAAAATGAAGTGCTATCATCTCAGAACTTAAGCCGCATGCTTGCCTAAGTTGTCTATTGATTTATTCAACGAAGATAAATCTGAGGAGTTAAAAAATTCAGTACAGAAAATAATATTTTTCATGTCGATTTATTTTCGTTCGAAAGTATAGTGGTACGTTCAAATTAAATATGTCGATTAAAATATCACGTTTAGAATTATTTTGTATGCTAATTTGAAGATACCATTGCATTCATCAATCAAAATACGTCTTCAAAAGGAAAATTATTTCATGAAAAGGCTCTGCTTCTTTTAGATTCATTTAGATTCGTTTTAATTCAAAAATTGAATCATACGATCAGACGCATTCTAAACCTTGTTGTACTCGTGCGCAAATTGTAAACGAAAAAATTTATAAAAATTTTGACATCCTATAAATAATGTTCATGATTTGTTGTATTTTCATTAACTGTTATAGTTTTTATCATTCTACCCTTTTTCAAATTGCTGGTGCATCTTTGTGCCAATTGTCTACAAAATATATTTCGAATTCGACCACATAGAGAAAATAAGTTATTCAACTTACAATAGTTGAAGTCAGTCGCAAGTAATTATAATAGTAAAAATCTGAAAGTGTGTATACAAAATGAGATCTACTACATATTGTGTTGATCTGAAAGATTGTTACCTAGGTTCGTCAGCACCATGGTATATCTTGTCATATTCAAATCTCAAACCGTGCTTTTGTCTCTCTCACACCACCCTGTTTTTATAGCAGACAGAGAGCGATTATATATGGTGGCTTTTAACAAAATGACGGTCACTAGGTCAAAGCGTAGACGTGTAAACATATTAGTGCGGATAGCGTACATAAATTGAAGCCTAACGGCTAAATACCAGTACAACTATAAGAATGCCAGTAATAGAATTAGAATGAGAAGTAGAAGTAAAATATTTTGATAATGTACTTAAAAGAGAAAGGATTTTTAACTTTTTCCTGGAGAATTATTTTTAAAGTGATAAAAAACAATTCAGAAAATATGACGCGCGTCTACAGAGGACCTTAAAAGTTCGAGATATCCCAGCTTTATTTTTAGTCACAACAAAACTTCGTAATCAAAACTAGACTATCGGATAGTCTCCCATTGCGTTTGGTAAAAAAAGAATAAGTGAGATAAATCATCATGTGAATGAGAGAAATGAAAAATTTTCTAATGACCATAGTAATAAGTTTGACTGATGAAAAAAATTGCTCCACTCTGCATAGACACTGCGGAAATCATTTTTGTCGCGCGCAGAACAAATAGTAACATTAGAAGTAATAATTAATGAGTAGGCTGCTATAACTTTAAAAAAAGAATATTGATGTAAAAAAAAGAAAGAAAGAGAAAGAAATGTTGATGTAAAAAAAGCAAGAAAGAAAAAAAAATATTTGGGAAAAAATACTGGGAGGGGAGAACGTATGTTAGAAAGGTATTGAATAAAAAAGGAAAAGCGTATAGGGAAAGAGTTAAGTAATAAAAGAGAACGACAAAGAAATAATAATCAACCATGTACTGATGGATACACATGGCGTAAATAATTCAAGGAAACGGCCCTTGAAACGCATTCCATCTATACTCAGAAATGTTTCAATACGTTTTTTGTAAGATGTAATGCATTTCACTTCGTTTTTCTTTCGAAGTAGCGCATTTTGCAGCGTTAACTTTTCGAAACGACTCGAAACGCACACTAGACAAACATCTTGTAAGCAAGATCTTGGTAAAGATACAAGGTACAGATATGTTAACAGATCTTGGAAATTTAGGTACAAGATAATACAGTTATCTTGTACCCAATATCTAATTACAGATGTTACATAAGAATCCATAAAATCTTGGATGCACACTAAAATAAAACCTGCTGCATTCTTTAATATTTTTTAAATTTATTTTCATTTTAATTATTCCTCTCCCGAATAATTCCAGCAGGCCAAATGGTGGGATCTGACTGGCTATAAGTTGGTTCGATATCCGTCCAGCCAATTATGGCAATCCTCTCTCGAATCATCGAGAAATAGTTGAGAAAAAAAATAATTTGAAAATTTGTGTTTCATATGTTCAATCATGCTGTTTATGTACAGCTGCAGATGCATTAAAAAACGGCGAATGACTAGAGAGCATGTAAATACACTAATGATGTCACTTTCTGTTTCGCTCAAGATCTTGTCGGAAGATAATAGTACACGATATTTTTTCCATGGTCTTGCCAAGATCTTAAGTAAAGATTTTTTTGATACAATCAAGATGTGTACATGCAAATTATGTTTCCAAGATCTTGTTTATCGATCTCAAAATTTGAAGATCTTGCTTACAAGATGTTCGACTAGGGCGAGACTTTGAATTTGACGCAAAATGCACTGACCAAAATGAAACAAACAGCCTGAAAAAACCGAGTAGGACATAATTATATGATTATTGTGGAGAAAATACCCAGGGCAAACAATCAGTTGTTAAGATCTGATAAGATTCTGCATCTGATCTTATATGATCGTGTAAGATCCGACAAAAAATCGTACAAAAATCGTACCCAGGTCGAAAAATCTGACATAAGATCTTATGAAATACATACAAGATCTTTGAATATGGGCAAAATCTTACAAGAATCTGACAAAAAATCGTAGTCTCTGACATCTTATATCAAGTCGCACAGTCAAATTCTTAAAAGATCTTACACATTAATAAGATCTTTCAAGAATCTGACTATGCGACTTGATATAAGATCTCAGAGACTACGATTTTTTGTATGATTTTCGTATGATCTTGTAAGATCATACAAGATCAGATCCAGATTCTTATCAGATCTTAGTATCTAATTGTTTGTCCTGGGTAGTCTCTGAGATCTTAGATCAAGTCGCAGAATCAGATTCTTGAAAGATCTTATCAATGTGTACGATCTTTCAAGAATTTGATTGTGAGACTTGATCTAAGATCTCAGAGACTACAATTTTTTGTCAGATTCTTCGACCTGGGTAGTCACACTACCTTTGTGGAAAATGTTTGGAAAAAATGAATTGATCGATTTTATTGTTGCCGCTTCAAAATTGCGTAGTATTGTTTCTGGATTGAAATCATCTTCGTTCATGATACGCGGAAAAAAATGGTCGTAGTCCGTGGTTTTTTCCTGCAAGTAAACCATATACCAGTGGAATAATTTGCGATTTGAACAATCCATGTAACGTGATCATTTGGTAGGAATCGTCTGGGCACATCTAAAATAGATGTTTAATTAGTAAATTGAAAGTCTTTGCTTTTGTTTTACCTTAAATATTTTATCGACAAACCAATGTTTACACGTTTTCAATACTGAAAGATTCGTCGCAGTGATAAAAATGATCAATTTTTCATCTTCGCGAAGTACGAAGTTCTCCCCACGGTCTGCTTGTTTTAAATGATCAGGCAGTTGATTGCTGGAATTCATTGGGGCCTTTTGACGTTGTCGACGAATAGTTCTCAGAAGTGTCTCACTTTGAGGTAGTTGACTGGTAGCATCTAAAGAAAAGATCTCATTGTAGAATGTAAAATTGTATTTGATGGTTCTTCAGTTTCAGCAGCTCGTGGTTTTATTTTTGAGTTCCAATACTGGAACCAGATCTGCTTTTCGTGCGTAGTAGTGCTCAGTTGGTCCAGAAACAATGGCATCCATCGTTGGATTGGTATGACATCGACCTAAAAGAAGATAAAAATGTAGTTCAAATAATTATTTTATTTTATTTTACCTTTGCAACCTCTATTCTGACATCGAAAAATCAATTTAACATCATTTTCTTGTTCTAAAGTATAAACATAACTTTCATAACCAAGCATAGATTTCCCCTTTTCACTTGTAAATTTTTTAATTGTATGTGTACTCACCGCTTTTTTCGAGCAGATAATTGTAGAAATATTCAGAAATGTCTTCTGTCTCTGAACACAGTTATTTTATATTTATTTTTAAAATTAATTGGCTTTTTCTGATTTTTCCAAAATACTATTACATTATTCCCTTTTTCTTTGAGATTCATAACCCAGTCTGAAAAATTCATGGGCTTATTCAATTAATTAAACATATTCTACTTGATTCAATTACATCAAGCGACATGTCATATTCACTTCCATCACTTTACATTGCAACAAATTGCCCGCGATGAGTTGTATCGCGTCGAATTGACCTAGTACCGAACAGTGTTATAATTTAACACGGTAGAAAAAGCTACTTTTTCTCAGTATCAGTCATATTCCTCCAAACAAAAAATTTTCAAAAATGACCTAATAAAAGTATTCACTTTTCACAAAAAAATTACACTTGGAATCGTTGAGCCCTTTCTCGCATACTCTCTATCGAAATTTTCGTTTTTTCTTTTAGTGTAGAATTCATTCGACACTTAAAAATCTTGGAAGAAAAAATGTTGTTTAAGAAATAAAAAAAGAAATCAAAGTGTATTTATTGTTACACTTCAATGAAACTTTTCGTTCCAATTTTTTTTCAATTTGTACATGAAATAAAAATGATATCAGCAAAAAAGTATGGCTTTGATACAAAGGAAAGGAATGAAAAAACAAAAGTTCACATCGTTAATATGTTCGTCTAGGTGAAGCATTCACCGATGCGTATGGACTCGCATCAAGTTTGTGTGGTACTTCGTAGGCATATTTATTTGGATCTGTATCTGTCACAGGTGGACGCAAGACACCGTGGGGCTATTATGATCAAAACAAAAAAGAAAATTACCAAAATAAGAAAATATAGATCTTATAACATACATCATGGTAAATATAAGGTTGAGTTAAATAATTTTTGGGTCTTCGATAGCTTAGATTTGTTCCAGGACCATAATCTTGATATGTGGTTCTATATGGCTTAAAAGGTCCAGATGGTTCCCACCAATCTAAACGTTTTAATTTATTAGAATTTTCTCACGGAAAATAACAATAATTATTATTATTTATATATATCTTACATTTTATTCTTTGATTATTTGAATATTCACCGTTGGCATGAATAGTTCGAGATGTTTCTGATTGTTGTGGATAGGTATAATGAGTGACGATTGGTCGAGAAGAGGTCATTGGTGTATATAGTCCTTCACTGGTCCCTTGACTTTGAGTAGATCGATATGATTGATTGCCCGGGTAATATTGATTATCCATTGCAACAGAATCCACAAGCAATTATTTAAATGAATATTATTCGAAAGAAACGCTCAAACACAAAATAATTTCTATAGAAGCAAAAAATGACTTCAACATCAGCAATACCTTGTTGATTATATAACCTAACTGTGTTTTGTTGTTCTTTTTTAGTTGTTACTAAGAAAAAATTGGATTAAAATGTTTTTTCTTGCTTTCACTCTCAAAAGGGTTTTATTAAAATAAAAGAATAGTAACAAAAAAATCAAAATATGTTGTTGTTGTTGGTGGTGGTGTTCTAGATCAAAGCAGACAAAATTTGAACGGTCATCCAATCAACAAAAAGTATAGAATATTCTCGAACAATCCCCTAACATAGTGCTGATTGATTGTATGAAGTACAGTAGTGGAAAATTTCGATGTATTCTTTTCATTTTCAGATTTTCCTCCAGTGACAACCCATTTGAAAAATGCTAATTATAGTTTGATAGTTTTAAAATTGATCTCAACAAACTGAGGTGTAAGAGAATATTTCGAGTTTCTAACATCATTTGATCGTTCGGAGTGTTCATTGCATGAATAAACAAAGGTTATTGGCTATCTTGAGCATATTGACAATTATATTCGAGTTTTCTATTTCAATGTAGGCTAGTATTATGAAGAGAATTTAGTTCAGTACGAAAATAGTCTCATGACAATTCACGAAGATCTTTTAATTGAATATAGCGATAAAAATGAAAAAGAAAAACTTTATATTTATTCCAAAAAAATCGATATGATGATCAATTTTATCGCCATAATCATCACTAAGCAGCAGTGCATTTACATCAATGTCGATCTGATTATTTCTTATTTTTCAGCATTATTGCTTGCAGATTTTAAAATATTTTTCGTGTTTATAGATATGTACTAAACTATTCAAAATATTTTCAAAATTTCATCGTGATAGCTATTAGTCGAAACGATGAGAAATAAAAGCTGATTGAATCTACTCGACTTTGGTCGTTAGAGGTACAAAGATCCTTTTTATATAATTTAATTTATTTCTTGTTCCATGCAAATATAAATGTCTCGGCTGGTTCTGGCTTAAGGGTATTGCTTCCTGTGGCAACTGCAGCAAAATCATTATTCGTGTGTATTGAATACACACTTCATTATACTTGAAAATATCCAGCGAAATACTATGAATCAAAGTACGAATTACTTTCAGTTAAACGACTATCGATTGTAGAATTTTTTTTTCTATGTCAATCATAGTCATAATGGTTATCATCAAATTTAAGTCAATTTTCTGCATTTTTCCTTGGGTAAGTGACATCATAGCAGTACAAAATTGAATTACTTTACACAATAACTAGATTTTTTCTTAGTCATACATACAATTGACATTCGAATTCTATTCAATACATCAATGAAATATCTTTTTGACATGTTTCTTTTCTTCAATTACATTAGCAGCATTATCAATATTTACCAAACTCGTTCGTTGATTTCATGTCTATTTGATAAATCCATCAGCATGCCTAATGAAAGTTCATCAAATAATATATTCACCAGATGAGCTATATTCATGGTATATATAAAACTCATAAAAAACTTTCTTCGATTGCACATCTCTAAAAATTCTTTCAATAAAATTGAAAAATGAAATTTATTTTAATATGCAAAATTAAAGAACCAATGCTAGAATAACCCACAAAAGTCGGAAATCAATATCCTTCAAACAATTCAATATATAACTTTAATAAAATTAAAATCATTAGTTTTTATTTACTTAATATTTACAACGAAACTATGTCATGACTATACTTATACTCGAATCGTGTGCCCTACGACGACTAAATACGTTTCGACACTAATATCTCTATAGCTAAATCTGTTGCACCTTGATAAGATATTGATCCGGCGAAAGATAATGACTCCATAATGGTTTCACTAGTTGATATGTCAACCGTTTGAATGTTGTGTAAAATTTTTCATTGAGTCAGAATGGGCACATTTGTTTGGAAATATCTGTTCAAAACAAGCGATATTGCTAATAAAATGTGCCAAATGAACGAACAGCATTTCATTGCGAACGATTTTGTAGGACACGATGACTCTCTGATGACAAATATTCGAAAAACTTCATCTTGCTATATTTTCTAAAACATATTTTTAATTTTCGCAAATATTTTCTGATATTTTAGTCGAGGTGTGTTCTCTAATTCTGTTTTTCTTTTGTTTATTTGCTTGTTTCAACATGATAACAGATAAATGTGATATGAAACCAACGTGCAGTAAATATTTTCTTCGCATTTTTTCCTACGTTACAAATAGATTAACTCTTCTTGAGTTGATATAGAATAGATAGAAAATTTCTAAATTCTTCAAGCAAACTTATTTAATTGAATCGTTGGTTGTATTTGTATTTATATGAAAAACTCTTTCGAATTGTTATAGTGATAATTTAAACTTAAGTAGTTTTCTCCTAAGATTAACCAGCGAGATGTAACATAGGTTCATGTAAGAAATTAAAGAATTTTATAATAATATTTAGATATGCCTTACGTGACTTTACCAGTGTCACACCAAAGTGTTAACTTATACTATGAATTACATGGTTCGGGTCATATTAAAGTCTTGTTTATTATGGGTTTGAGAACAGAAGGTCAAGCTTGGAAATATCAAGTAAGAAAGAAAACTATACTGATATTATAGGCAACTTCATTCTTCTCTAATAGACTGATTTTTTTCGCGAAAAATTGAACTACCAGGTAAGAGAAAGCATTGTCAATTAATAAAATAATTTCAATAGTGTGTGAGTTATGACAATCGTGGTTGCGGTCGATCATCATCACCATTTACACTCGAATATACAACAGTTCAAATGGCTAAAGATGCCCTGGAGTTAATTGATCATCTGGGTTGGTCACAATGTCATGTAGTAGGTATCTCTATGGGTGGTATGATTGCATTAGAATTCGCTCTACTAGCGCATCGAAGAATTCTTTCGCTTACACTCATGGCTACACACGCAGGTGGTCTCCTTGGGCAAGCGCCATGGATTGGAATTCATCATATTATGCAATCGCTGATCATACGTGACGATGATCAGCTTGTGAAAAATGCCCTTCAGATGCTGTATGGTCAAAAGACACTTAGCGACCCAGTCAAACATCAGGTCAGTCACTATCAATGCAACTTAAAACTATTTAGGTCAAAATGGTTCTTGAAAAATCTATTTCTTCTTTTAATTTTTTTTTGAAATAATTAAAATTTTAGTTTTTCTATGATTATCATCATGAACGATACAAAACTCGTGTCCCACTAGCACTGACCGGTATATTTGGTCATATTTTTGCTGTTCAACGACACTATATAAGCTATGCTGATCTATTGAAAATTCGCTATTCAAATTTTCCTTGCTTAGTTATGGTGGGGACTGAAGATCGTCTTGTACGCGAGACTAACTCATACATGTTTCAACGAGTATTTTCTCTTCTTTTATTCTATTTGTCACAAATTCATACAACCACTTTATTTTAGACACTCGGGTGTCGATTGGTCAAGCTCGAGCATGCCGGACACGACTTAGGAGGCGAGTGTGCTGAACAAGTCAATCAAGAATTGTTAGGTGAGTAGAAGAAAAGCCTACTGATGCTTATTCACAAGATCTAAACTCATTGAGAAATAATTATTGACTGTCTAAATAGCATTCTTTGAATCGAACAATGTAAAAGATGACGTTGTACACATATCTACTGGATATACTACAGAAGTCCAAGCACTCGAGCTTTGTTGTCAACATCGTACTCATTGCTTTATCTACAATCTGGTTGGTCTCATTAAGGTACTATAACAAAATAGAATTTTATTGTATTGACTTTCATCATTTAGGGTTTATTTCTTGGTTTGCTTCTTTATTGTGCATTAACTAGTGGCTTGGCGAACAATGAACTTATGGGTATTCATCTATGTACTCGTTGTATGGTACTCATCGGCTGTTTGAAGTATGGAAAAGCTGAATTAATTTTCCATTTTTTAACGTTTGTTTTTTAAAGCGGTTTGCATCGTTCGATGGTTTGTGTCTTCAATGCATACCGAGCTAGGTGGTTCGTCCGGAAAAATCGGCTTATACGTGAACGAGCGGTTCATCATGGCGGTGCGGAAATTACTTTACCAAGTCGATTTAAGAATGGGATACCGAATGGATGTGGTTTCGAATTTCCTATTTTATCACTTAGTTTTACTGTATGTCTCATTGGTCTTGCTTGGTGGACAAGACAATATGATTGATAAGTCGCGTCTCTTGAGACTAGTATACATATTTATATAGCTAATTTATATTAATTAATGTTGTTTCAAGCGAATTGATTAAAAATATAATTTACGCATACTTTACAGCAATGGAAATTTTCAGTAGAAAGATATTGTTTTTTTTCATCAAATCAATATTCACTGATTTCATCTGGTTAAATATCGTGTCAAAATCAAACGTCTTGCATAGTTTGAGACTTGGCCAGAAATATACACAGTGAATTATTTTGACGGAATCTGTTAGTATGACGGGAGTTCACAAAACTGTTTGGGATACCGATGAACTTTGAAAAGATAAATAATAATGAAATTTCTCCCTAGATACTCTTTTGCAATTGATACTTTCAAAATTATTCATTTTCTACCTAATAAATACTAATAGATGATTAATAAGTCATAGATAATGAAATGAGAAAGAAATATTACAGAATTTTTAACATAGAACTATAAGGGGGAAAGAGCAGCATCCATAAATCCATGAATCCACTTGAATCCACTCTGATATGAAATTCTTAGAATTATAAAAATATGGTAGTTTTCATTTTCTCAATTCTCTATTAAAAGTAGAGAAAAAAAATTAACAAAAAGAATATTTGCGAAGACTGCAGGAATCAATCAATAGATATTTATATTAAAAGTTTTTTTTATTATCAATAATTATATTATTTATTTGTTTAAAAACCAACTGTAAAATGTAAAAAAAAATAAAATAGAACGAACATAAAAATATAAAAATTCAATATTTGATAGAACCGATTAACTATAAAAGAAAAAAACAAGTGAATTATTAAGTTAAACACATCAATTTAATATAAAACCTTGCTGTATAAGAGAACATGAAAGAACCCTGTAATCGAAGAAGTACAAACAAGACAATGTTCAGCATATAAAAATTATCTTCTTGTTGTTTTTGCTGATTCTCTTGTGTTATGTGAAGATTCTATTGCTTGAACTTTTCTTTTCACTTCTCTTTTAGTTTTTAATGATGATGGTTGTTCGATAATATTTTCATCGCAAGTTTCATCTTCTGTTGATTTAGATATAGAAGATGCTGTGACTGAAGTTGAATTCGATTGTATTGTATCTGGTGGTAGTATAATAGGTATCGAATTTGGTTATGCAATTTGTTGAAGTGCATTATCTAGTGTGGCCAATGACTGCTGATTATTTGTTGATGATCATGGTGACAATGATAACGATAATAGAACAGCAGCTAATCTTAGCATTAATGGTGACTTTCCTCAAATGATGATGAAGATGAACAAGGTGATATTCGAAATTGAATAAATACAGCAAAAGAAGAATTTTCTGGAATGAAAGTTTTTAATATGGTGCATCCACATATAGAACATTCTTATTTTAAAGCTACAATAAATCATGATATAAAATATATACATAAACAGACTGCTTGCTGGTTATTAACTGGCGAAAAAAGTAAAATGTCAAACGATCGATTGATTCGAGTTAGAGCCTATCGGGTTCGGCTTCGTGTCCAAAAATTTCTTCTCATCGAGTCCAATTTAAAAATAATTTTAGCTAATGGGTCAGATCACAAGAAAAATTTTATGCATATAATCGAGTGAAAACGAAGCTGATGTTGTTGATGTTGATATTGAAGTTGTCTAAGTTAAGAAACAATATAAACAGTTTAATATAATCATTCATTATTCCATCCGAAGCTGCACATTACTAGCGAGTCGCTCGGAGTCAGAGCCCATTATAAATTAATTGTTAAAAGCTCTTTATCGGATAGTTGACAGCGCGTGTAAGATGTACTACTTGCATGACGAAAAAGGCCAGACGTATGCTGTGTCTTTGGAACGATCACCAGATTCAATTAGAAAATTTGATTACAAGTTTAAGGGTACGCTTTGTTCCAGATCTATTTTTGATTAATAAACTAGGTATTTGTCAAGAGTACCAGGTTAACTTTACTTTCAAGTTGAAAGAAGCATGATTCAAATAGATTTTTTCATGAAACAAATTTTCTGTTCAGAACTATTTGTGTTTCATCAAAAAATAATTTTAACAAAAGAAAGATTTCTGAAAATTTATTTTCTATAAAATATACTTTAAATTTTGACTTTTAGAAAGTTAAACCTCAAGATATTCTTGTTTTCGCTTTTAATTTAAAGATTAAAATTAAAGTATGCTGGGGGGGGGGGGGGGGGGGGGNCCCCCCACCCCCCCCCCCCCCCCCCATCATAATAGAATACTCCCTAAAAAAGTAATCTGTTTCCTATAAGAACACCATTTTTCAAACTCTCTGGCGGTTTTGCGTGATACAAGTTGGGAGTCCTCTAATATGGTAGGGTGTTTACTTCAATTTGAATAATCTATCGGAGTAGTTTCAAAGTTTTAGTGTCACCACAAGTATGTGTTCAAACGCTTTGATGTGCAGAGTTCGGGCAAGGGGGAAACAACAGAATTCAGTCCCTTGGATTCAAGTGGATTCAAGTGGATTCGAGCGGAGTTACATGAAGTCTCGTAAAATGATTTCCTATTTTTCTGAAATCCATTATAAAAATTCGATACTTCTATTTTTTTCTGTTTGTATCGTGTGCACTATTAGATAAAATTTTTATTAGTCTTGATTCGAATACAAGCATGCATAATCTTTTTTATTCTCATGCAGTACATTCTTTATTTCAAGATTTGAAAGCCAGTAATAACCAACAAGCAGTCTGCTTATGCATATATTTTATGTCATCATTGATTGTAGCTTTAAAATAAGAATGTTTTATATGATATTAAAAGCTTTCATTCCAGAAAATTCTTCTTTTGTTGTATTTATTAAATTTCGAGTATCATCTTGTTCATCATCATCATCGTAAGTATCATTTGAGGAAAAACCATCATTACTATTAAGATCAACTGCTGTTTCATTATTGTCATCATCATCAGCTATTTCAAATTCTCCGTCATCTGTCTGGTTGATCTTAGATGAGTAGTCGTACATCTTTGAATTTTAATTTAACTGTTTAAATACATATTCACTTAAGGGTTTTAAGCCAAGAATATTTTTATCATTCAGTAAATTCAATATTTCTAAGCCATTAACATTATCAATTGTTTATGATAAGCCTCGGTAATGATTTGTTCGACATCTATTAGGTCGACCTCTATTTGACTTTGTGTAGCTAATGATTGATGATCATGTCGATGTTTGTAATGAACTGGAAATACTAAATTATTAACTGATCTATCATTTAAATGCTTGCATTTAATATCATTAATTATAGTGACAATCTTTAGGCACGTCGTAAAAAATCATGTACAGTGAAGTTGACTATAGTTGAATAGACTCCATTTAATGCGCACGTGTTTCGAAAAATTGATTCACAGGCTTGCGAGCATAAAGTATGAATATATAATGATTGTGGTGGTAGTTGTTTTTGTTGAACAAGTAAAATTAAATATAATAAATTATGCGCATATAATTCCACAGACAAATACGCTGGTCTAGAAATAAAATATTTGCTTTTGTTTTTTTCTGAGAATTGTGTTGTATTGAATGTTTTCAATTTGATCCATGTTAACCATATTCGACAGAAAAATACAACACACCAAGCAGATTGAAGACCTAAAATAAAATTTTATTAGATGTGATACATCTGAAGTGAAGAGTTTGACGCTCTCACTCAAGCAAAATTTAAAAAAAGGGATACTCACGCACAGCAATCGTTGTTTTTTTTTATCAACATAAGCCATTATAATCATTCTTAACATCTGTAGATAAATCAAGGTTCCCCTAGTATCGACATTGTCTTTTAAAATTTAAAATAGATCATCAGATGTTAATTTTACACAGGAATTAAAATTTTGACGATCTTTAGGATTAATATCAGATTTCGTCAAGTCATGATCAATTTTAGTAAATTTTCCATTATCAATAATGCTATACCAATGATTGATCATCAAGACGTAATTCAGTCGTAGACGATAATAAACGATTACGCCATTTCGTCGCTAGATGTGTCGCATCTTGAAAAAATAATAATAGTTGTTGTTCGCGTAAAAAACCACGACCAACGTGATTTTAATTTTACTGTAAAAGCTTGTTGATGTTGATGAACTGGAAAATTTGGAAGAGATGCAAAAAATCCACTCATTAATCTCATGACACGTACATATTTAGCATCAGCATCTATAAAGAAAAAAAAAGTAACTCTTTGATAAAATTTGAATTAAAAATACTTAGTTATTTTCTCACCAGTAGCAAAAACAATAATTCTTATATTTCTTTGTCAATACTGATTGAATATATACCACCATCTTTGTAATATATCATTCGCTGTAGCCGTATTATCAATACAATATGCTGATAGTAAAAAAGGACTTGGAATTGTGTTGTGAGTTGTTGATTGTACTGGTTGAATCATATGTACATTTAATAATGATGCTTTATCAATTGAATTGAACCATAACTTCAACGTATCCAATGAATCAGCATGATAATATTCTTTAATTGGTACCCCATGATCAAATGGCGTAGGAAATCCAATAAATTTATTTGTTATTGAATCATATTTTTTTTTAATAACATCAGTGACATCCTCAGAACCAAATGCATATTGAAGATTCAGATTCTTAAAATGCTTTTGAAACTGATCGAACCGAGATTCTGCTTCACTAATTTTTAAATTTGAATTTAAAATTAATGTAGACAATATTGTTAAACTTGGTAAAGAGCCGGGTATATTTAATCGAATAAATTCATACGTTAATTCTCCACCTAAAATATATAACGATAAAGCAAACTCCTTGATTTTGTCATTGTATCGAAAATGATTGCGTGATTTTGTCAAGTTACTAGTAACAGTATTAATAAAATCTATTAAAAAAACATTTTTGTCTGTATTAGTAACACCTTCAATTCGCATTCGCTGATACCAAAGAACCAAATTTTTTAACAATGGATGTTTGTTGATAAGATCGAATGTTACGTTTGAATCTAACTTACATCCATATAACGATCTTCACTAATTTTATTTTGTTGTTGCTTTAAAAAATCAAGTAAATAATTTTAATTATTAATTAATCCGACTTTTACGATAAATTGACCATCTTCAAGCTCCAAACATGACTTTTTTTAATCGACAAGCAATCATGCTCTGAGCATTTCATATTAAATATATCAAAAATATTTGGATATCGAATTAAAGATTGTGTAGATGTCATTGATTGAAACTTTAAAGTGCAAGGGATGTTCGATCAATTCAGCATCTGTCTCAAAATTTGTCGGGGGAGAAACTGCTCCTATTAATACGTGGGATTGGGCCGTGTTTATTATAATTGAGAGAAACAAACTTTGCGGTGGTTAAATTTTATCAAGTACTTGGGTTCTTACAGCAGCACACTGTGTTCAAAATGTCACTGCGTCGTAAGTAGAAGTATATCCATCAACAAATCTCTTGGCATTATTCGGAGCCATGGCGATTGGCATCTGTTGCTATTCCGCATCAAAACTATGATAGTATTATGTTCACCAATGATATTGCTCTTATTCAAGTTTCACCTCCATTCAATATGGCAGATCGCAGAATTTCAAAAATATACTTACTTATCTCAACAAAAACAGATTATCCACCAATAAATTCCACAGTATGAAAAACTTCTTTAAAAATCCATTGAATCCAACAAAATTATACTTTCTATGTTTTTATAAAGACGGAAAATATTTTACAAACCAGTAAATAATCGAAAATTTATGAGAAATTCAGGAATAATTGTAGAAAGATCTAGATATTCAAGTCTAGTTCTTCCCACTACCCTCACCTACTCCAATTGTCCATGTCTACTGAAGATTCAGTCTCTCAGATACAATTACTAATTTGACTTTATTCTTGCTAACTAATAAACTAAGTTAAAAATTGTTTCTATTTTCTTTTTCAATATTAAGCTTGTCGCTATTGGATGGGGCGGGGGGTCTGTCATACAATGGTAATCTATCGACAACGCTGCAACGCGTTTCACTTCAACGTATTGCATACAGTAGTTTCAACTGTTATTCAGTAATTACAAATGCAACAAGTCCGTTTTGCGCAAGTAATATCAATGGTACTAAAAGTAAACAAACATCATTTAAGATATGTTGATAATATTCAAATGACATTTAATGAATCCAGACACGTGTAGTGGTGATTCTGGAGGCTCTCTGATGTTGTTCACGCCTAACCATTAATGGGCTGTAGTCGGTATTACATCCTATGAATATGGACGCGCAAATCCACAGGCTGCTGGCTTTTATACTCGTGTTGTTTACTATGTAAGCTGGATCCTCTCAATGAATGTGGCGGATGCCATAACTGTTGATATGATTACTACCACCACAAGTACAACTGTACTCACAGCTAATATGACAGAATCATCAATATGCGCAGGGCGAAGTGCTGGCTTACATTGTTATCAATATTTTTTTTATAAATTATGCATTAAAATGCCAATAATACTGTATTTAATCTGTATTTTATGATAGTACACTGAAATTATACGAAAAGCAATGAAATTTATATCGCACTAAAGGGAACAAAAAAAGATTGATAGAGAATATATATTCTTATATGCTTGTAATCCTCTTTGCATTTTCTCATCGACATAATCATTGTTTTCACAGAATAAAATAAAATGTAGTCTATCAATCATATTCGTTCCAACTCGATCTCATCGTATGTATATTTAAAATATGAACGAAGTCAGTGTATTATGTTTAATATTTCCTTGACAGCTATAAAGTCCTACGTTACAATGGTGTTGAATTGATCAATATTATTTCATGAAAAAACTTAGCGAACGTTGTTTGAAAATTGTATTTGTATAATTTTGCTCAGTACAATCATGATTGAAAACGTCTTTGATTTTAAAACATCATTCTATATCATATGTTTTACATTTTCAGCTTCACGTTCATTCGCCCTGTGACATGAAGATAATCCATTGAAGATGACTTTGACAATCTTTTCATAATACACTAATAGAAGAAAATCACCATTGAGTAATACGAATGCAGTTCAGTTTTCAATCGGCCGATCTCCAAACGTCATACGTGTAAAAGTGTTATAGATTTATTAAATCAAGCACAATTTGTTATTTTTGTTTTGTAACATAATCACGGATTCCAGCTAAGCTTCCTTACCAAAAATAAATAATTGATTATGTTACAATAAGTCAGACAAACGTTTTTAATACTTGAAAAATCAAAATCTATGGCAAATGGTAGAAAACTAACTATTTTTACCGATCGATAAAATAAAATATAAGTTAAGCTCTATCTAAATGTATTCTTCAGAATTTATTTTGGATTTTGGTTAGAAGTTCTCACGTATTCATATTAATAGTTAAGACTATAGTAAATGGACGTGTACAATCTCATTTATGAACAACTTCGGAGATACTTATCATTAGGGAGAAAACAACTGACTGTCTTTCGATTTTCTCGTGATCATCAGAAAAAAATAAGTAATTTCAATTTAAAAAAAATAACATGTACTGACATGGCTGTTTTTGGAATTAACTAAAACAAGTACTCATTGTAGCAGTTTTCTAAGAATTAATTTTAATCAAGCAAAAATACTTTTAGTTTAAAAAATCATACTTAAGTTGGGCAACTGTTGTTAGGATTAATCTAGATAAAAATAAAATATTTCACTACTTACAAATTTATATAAATCACGCATTATAGTTGAATTTGCTGAGTTATTATTAAATGATAAACGCAAATGTTATTCCACAACGTATAGTGATACTTTTTTTTTCAATAGATTGTTTTCTAATTGAATAATATTTACAGTCTTCTTTCGTTTGTTTTTACAAACGAAAGTGAACACTTCAAAAGAAGCTTTCTTTATCATAGAGATAAAAGAAACAATCAACACAAGTTCATCAATCATTTCTATTCCGTGAAAAGTCTGAATAAATCGATATTCGCTAAATTGTTTTTCTTTCAATATTTTTAATTTACAACTTCATTTAGGCTAATCGATTGAATTTCTCTTATTATTGCTAAAAATACATAAATCTATGTTGAGAACAATGGACATGAATTTATTTCGGATAAATCTTATAATGAATTGTATTATTTAAGTAGAAAAATATTTCTTTCGGTCTTGTTTTTCAAATTTTCAATAAAAACAGTTTACCGATAATATGTTAAAATAGTTGTAGAAAAGCTTTTAAATTCCAATCCATTGACACAAAAGAATGCAAGTGTGGAATTAGTTGGCAGTCAAGAAAAATGTAACAAAAATAATTGTGACTACGAATCGATGAAAAAAATTTTTATAAGCATGCCTACACCCTAAAATTCAATTAGCATTATGTTAAAATAGTATTGATATCGTTTTAAAAGGATCATAATTGGTTCCACACTACTTCAACATCGTTGGGGACACTAACAATAGATGTTGGATAAACACCCGTATGATAACTTTCCTGATCTTGCAACTGAAAATCTTTGAGTAACTTATAACGTACAGCCATCCATGCACGACGTTGCTCAAGTAGAGGATAACGTTCCAAACGAGCTTCTCCAGTTTCACTTTTCTTCTTGACATCTTCAAGCCAGTCCGATGCTTCGGATGAAAAAAATTCTTCCGGGCTAGACATTGCAGTATCGCCTCGAAACAATGTTTTCGTTTTCCACTGTTGATAGCACATAGATAAATGTGGATGAAATTGATCATCCCGGGGCCATCCATTAAAAGCCATAGGAAGATGATGTTGACTATAGTGATGATGTTCTTCTGAAAAGTCAATTTTGGCTGGCAGTTCACATTTGATACCACAACCAGGGCACCGTGATGTGCAACCAATGGATCGATAGATTAATGTTTCAAAACATTCGGGTGATAAAGTTTGACTAAAGTCTTCTGAAACTTTAGCTAATTGTTGTAATAGAACACTATCGTTCTCACTTTGAAATAAATCAAGGTCTTTGAAATATTCTTGAAAATGATCTGGATCGGCAATTTTTCGTTCTAGTTCAATTGTACGTGAAGCTTGAAAATCAGGTATTTCAAAAACAATCTAATTGAAAAAATAGTTGGTATTAACAATTTTGATTATTTTCTAGATAATTATTTAAATGCAAAATCAGTAGATGATATAAAAATTATTCATAGTCAAGTAACCTTATTTGAAGACTACTTGAACAATTTAAGCTATCCTATCATTTTTCTCATGTATTCTCAACTCTAAATAGAGCATGAAGTAAATGTAACAGATAGAATCTGCGTCTATGGTCTAGCATACAATGCATTGCATGATGAAAAATCGAATTTTCAATTGATGTTCGAACTAACCTGTTGAAGTATTTTATTGTGTAGTACATGAGTGTCAGTACATTTGTCACTCAAAATAATGTCTCTAGTCATAGCCATATATGCAGCGTACGCGGAAGCAACATCATTCCAATAGAGATCAATATTTTGTTGAGAAAATCTCTTGATTATTAGATAAATAAGTTCGAAACAAAAATAGCTCGGATCTGCAACAAGTTTCAGTATTGCGGAAGGATTGATTGGTTCTGAAGCAATACTTTCTGCATAAATTTGCCGTGTAATATCCGTCGGATGAATTAAACAATATTCATTGAATTTTGTAAGAATCTCTTCGATTAAGTTTTGTCGATTGATTCGTTTTACTTGATGAATAATTTCTTTTCCAACTATGCGACGGAAAAGTTGTGCTTGACTATTTGATGTTTCATCTTTATTTATTTGATCGAGAAGATTTTGTTTTACTTGATTAAGATCATTTAGTGTGTCACTTAATAATAGATTAATTTTGAATTCGAATCGTTGATTTGTTTTTTCAACAAGCATGTATAATATTAAGATAATAAGGTCATGAACCAATACTGTTCTATTGATATGAGTCAAATCTATTTTAGCTGAATTAATTTCATCATCAATCGTTTCAATAAGTTCATTAACCATTTTAGGATCTGAATATACCAAATGTAAAGGAAAAATCTCAAGTCGATCGTTGATTCTACTCAATAGGACACGAAAAACGAAATGCATTGTTTGTTGCTTTTTATTTAGATCATCGATATTGTTAAACCATTTATATACATTTAAATCTTCTAACGGATGAGAAGAAGGAAATATAGGTTCAGCTAGTGGAAAAGGTGACTGAGGAGTTGCAGTTTCTTGTGACAGATGGAAGCGTCCATTGTTCTCAATGTACGACTTCATATATCTATTAATGATATTATCGAACTCTTTAATAGTTTCAACATATTTGTTGTAGTCTAGTGATTGACATAGATTATAAGCACTATTACGATGCTTTTTTGGACTTTTAGTTTCGCTAAGATTTCTGTATACATCTAAAACAGATTTCGCAATGGCTTCTTTACTTCGTCTATATGCTTGAAGACTGTCAGTGATTTCTATCTCTAATTGTTGAACACGTTGATTCAATTTGGTAGTAAGATCGTTGAATTGTTCTGATTTTACTTTTATATCAAATAATTCTCTTCGATAATAGTCTTGTCTCATTTTTAATGCCATTTCTAAAGCACGCGTTTCAAGTTGTTCGTATAGATATTGTCGTATATTTTTAATACTGGCCTCAATCGTTGCCTCATGACTTTTCATTTTTGCAAAGTAACTATGTTGTGTTTGTTCATGATAATCTTTGAGAGCACCTTCAACTTGTTCATCAATAACTTTATTTAATTCTATATTTCCGTTCTTCACAATATTTTTAACCCAACAATGAAGTTCTAAACTGGTATTTGTATTTAAATTTGTGTACATACATTGATCATTGTTCTTGATCAATGTTTGAATTAAATCACTTCCTATTCTTTGTAATCGATTTTGTCGTTCGACAATGATATTACCAGCAATAGATCTAAGTTCATTTTGAATACTCAATTCATATAAATTCTGACATTGAAGTAAGCCTACTCCAAGATCATCAATTGATTTCCAATTTGTTGTTAACTTTGAATAAAGATAAGTATCAAAATATTTGCGCAATATCGTAGCATCCGATGAATTATGTTGAATATCCTTAGTATTTACTGTTTCCTGTATGTGTTCTTCAAGACATTTAAATACAGTCTTTCGGAATTCATTGATTTCCCTAGAGAACTTTTCGGTACGCCATTGTTTTACCTTACCGTAATCTGAATTAATATCTTCGGTGTATGCTCCAGGCAAAAGAACAATATTTGCCATGTCAAGTTCATCATCGATACAGATTTGTAGAAATTTTCCGTTTGTTTGAATGTTATCTTTAAATGTCCCAAGTTGTTGTTGAAAAATGTCCATATTTCGATCGTTTTGATCACGTAAAACAAATAGAAGTGCTGGCTTGATTGGTGAACTTTGAATTTGAATTTTAGCGTACAAACTCATACCTATGAGACCTTCGAGGCTAGCGCCTAGTTCACCTTTATGATTGACAATTACTACATTGGAGGAAAGTATTGCCATTGTGACCATTTGATTGTCGAAAATCGAGCCTGACTCTTCTAATGACATGAGTCCTTCACTATCAATAATTATAATAGCCATATTTTTGTAATACGCAAGACCTAAAAATGAAAGAATTAGATAAGTTTATTTCATTTCTGTTTCACTTTCATTTGAATGAATTTCGATTTTTAAATATTGCACTAAATGAGAATAGGAACTGTTGCGGGCCTACCCTCACATATTATTATGTCATTCTTTTTCTTCTTCTATCTAGTCATCCGCCACATCTATCGTCATGTATATAAATGTATAAATATGTATTTTGTCTTCTCAGCGGAGGAGAGAAAGAGAGATATGTCTATGTATACAACGTGTTGTTGTTTGTTTTGTTGTGAGTTATCGATTTTAGTAATAAACAAAGGGAGAGCATCAACCCCTAATAGAAACGCTTACCGAGATATAAACCAAGTGTGCAACGACCAGTACTGACACGAAAATTGCAACCAAATGTTGAATTCAGTAACGACGATTTGCCCGATGATTGTTCTCCTACAACAGTTAGAACGGCAACAGACTCTCTTGAAGTCAATTTTTCAATGCACATTTTTAATAGTCGACTATGACTTTTTAATGGTCGACCACGAAGAATATGTAAAGCAAAACCTTTATAAACAAGTTCTGTTAATTTAGTTGCAACAAGATCAAACTCTTTTTGATATTTCTTTATTTCATTCGATGATTGTGTTCGATGAATAGTATCCCAGAGAGAAAACAGTTCATCACATAATAAGCCAAATGTTAAATCAACATTTGCTAAACGAATATCGACTTCTTTTAGTTGATTAAGTAAACTTTCATAATTTTCACGTAAACTAGTTATTTCAGATGATGTTACATTTTCTCGTTCGGCTTGTTTTAACTGTCGCAAAGCTTTTGAAACTTTTTCACGGAATTTCAACTGTGTTTGTCGTAAATTAGGTGCATAAGCTGCTCTCCACTTTTCTAAATAGGCATCGACAATAAGCAATTCAATGTAAGTTCGATCGTTCAATAATAAAATAGTAAAAGCATGATATTCATTGAGGATACAACTTGTTGGAATACGTTGAGAAATGTCATTACTAGAATAATTTAATGTGATTGTTTCAGATGGAAGCAATTCAGGCAATGATGCATTTGGTACTCGAGCTATTGATTGTTGATAAGTATGAGGTGTAACTAGACGAAGATTCTCTGTCGTATCCGAAAGATTAGAAAAAAGACGATGGAGTTTCTTTTCGATATCGAATACAAGCTTGATTGGTGCTAAACCCGCGTTAGCTAACAAAGAAAAAAAAATAACCAATATAATTCCTTGCACTATTTCAACTATTTACTTTCATAGAAAGACGATTGAATTTGAAAACAACTTCGAAATAATGGTTCTTGACCATAAGGTTTAATTTGTTTTAATAAGTGATCAAACGTCTCGTACAATTGTTGATTACGTATTTTTTTCTTGATTGCTGATAGGTTATTGGATGTATTGACCATGGGCGCTGAAGCCCATTGTGTATTAGTCCAATGTTTGAATTTTTCTTCGAAACTCTTGATCAATTTCATCGATAGTTCATGATTATCATAATTACGATCAAAAATAACTACAATAGTTGAAATATGTGGAGCATTACCCATAGCATTTTCTTCTAGGAAATTCGTGTTTAAATCAGCTTCAGTCACATAAATAATCTGAACATAAGTATAAGGTTGTATTGACCGAATTAATCTAATGTCTGTGGCTGTACCATGAACATCAAAAACAGTAAACCGGTCTGTAAAGAGAACATCCATACAGCCATCTCGCCAAGACATATCAGAAGCATCAGTAAAAAGTGATTCAAGTCGTTTATCATGGCAGAAATATCCGATGAGACTTGTTTTGCCTAAACCTGAAGCCGATGGACTTCCAAATTGTAGAATCGCATGAAGATCAGTCAAGCATAATACTTCCATCAAGCAATTAAAATTGATTCGATGGCTACGAGAATAAAATAACAATCGAAAAAAAATGTTATGCTTTTCTAGAAAAACTCAGTTATCAAGCAGAATCAATGAAATTGACAATTATAATGGTTAAGTTTAAGAAGGATTAAATTTCGAAATTACTTTTTTATAACATCTAATATCTGATTTATGATCAAGAATATATACTTACTACATTGTCTTTTCCGTTGAATCCCAGATTCGATATGATAATGGAATAGGTAAGTCATTTTTTCGAATGAAATTACATAGAAAACGTTGACTATCATATGGCATATTTTCAAGAGTTTGAACAAGTAGAACTCTTTTTGTAAGTTGCTCAATCAATGATGCGCATTCATTTATAGTATTTGCTTTTAATAGCGAGTATAGATCATTGGAAAGAAGAGTGATTATATCATTGAGAGCATGATATCGTTTAAGACTATCAACAACATATACTGTGAGAGCATCAGCTGGTACAACTCGATTGTTCAAAATTTGAGAAAGTGTAGTTGTGTCTAATGGTTGATCGACAATAGTATTGAATGTAGGATGTAAAGGACCATCTGGATTTGTACAATAAGGTTTAAGAAAATCGAAGCATCGAACAATTGAAGAATCATTATAATTAACTTTGATGGAATAAATACAACGATCTGGTTTTAAAAAGTCAACAATATTGATACTACTGATTCGTTCTTCTCCACTGGGTTGTACTGAAAAATAAATAATTGCAGCACATACATTGAAGATCAATGTATATTCTTGACTGTCAAAATTGTCGTTATATTTCAAGATATTGTAAGTTAAGTGGAAACTGTAAGTATTAGCAATTTTCAATGCAGTACTAGCTTTCACTATATATATGATTATTGCCGAAGTCCGAACGAGATTCCAGTCTCCTATATGGAATATAGGGATGAAAAGACTTACAATCTAACATCCTTAATAGTATAGACTCTCAATGGGCACATTAATTTCTAGATGATAGATTAGTCAATGACATACCGGTATCATCTACGATCGATGTTTGCACTGTTGAACTAACAACAGTATTTTCTTCCGAACAGCGGATCACTTTGATTGTTAACTTATCTCCAGTATTTTGAAGCAGTGTTACACATTCTACATAAGATCTGGATCTGACGTCATGTCCATTGATCTATAAAAAAAAGAATGTAAAACTCGATGAAAGATATGGTAAACTGTTTCTTTTTGTATCACTTCAATCAAACAATCACCATCACATAACGAAGCTTTATAAGCGTGGCCATGCTCTTTTACATTAACTATTTTATGTAAAATTAATAGATCTTGATTAAGTTGATAGTCAGCGTCATCTTCTAGAATTCGAGACATTACTATGTAATAGTTTATCATTATCTAAATTCTTACCAACGGCACGCCGTAGTGAGAACCCAAAACTTTCGTTTTTCTTCCTATAAATTGTTATTGTTCGATAAGTTTCCTGTCTATCCATCAATTTAGCATTTAAATAATTAATAAAAAGAAGTGAATATTGAATCGTAAAATATATATATTCTTCTTTTTAATCAATTCGTAGAAATTGACTGTATTATGTTGGTAAAAAATAATTTTCAATCTAGAATATTAATCATAAACTTTAGAATCACATTTTTTCAATTGATGCTGTTACACTAAATTTATTTCTGAGTATTTATCGTTATTTTATTTTGAAAAAGTTAAGTAACATCCTTGACATACTTACAAGTAACGCTTGTCGCTTCGACTCGCTTGACCCTCGACTGTATGTTCTGCTCTTCCGATATAATTTACTGCTTTGCAAGCTTCAACAACGCTACTCTCCAGTATTTGAAAAAGAATTGATACGATTTTAGATCCTGACATCAAAATCGATGCTAGATTACTGCATCTTACACACATTTTCACGCTTCTTTCTGTCCTGAATTCGTCTGATAACACTGTTACTCAAGAACCAACAGATCGCTAAAATTGGTACATTGCATACAATGTCATGCTAATACTAATCGCATAGACAGCTGAATAGTAATCTTATCGAGCTTAAATCCCCTCTTCAACCGTTCAAGAATGATACCACTTAAGATGTTTCGATCAGCCTGAGATTTTCAGACACGCGTGGCACCATTAAGGAACACCCACAGTACAACTTTCATCGTGATTTATCATTGTAGACATGATCTGCGGCTAATAAATAGTTGAATTCCACTATTTCAGAGAATCATTGTAACTTCGTTATCAGAGAAGACGTAGAACCCACGACCGCTTAAAAATGCAGTTAGCAATACCGCCTAAGTCTTCGTCAAATAGAATTGCTAACTGCATTCCCGTTCAATATTTAATGTCATTTTACTGTGCACCACAAGAGAAAGGGCGTAAAACTTGCCACTTGATAATGCCACATCCAGTTTTTTTCAACTTAGGAATGAATCATAGAAAATCGGTTTGGTGAATAGTTAGCCATAATTTAAAACTTAAAAACAAAATAAAATAAGTCGTCTCGAACCTGTGGAGAAAGATTTCAATTTTCGTGATCGAAACTCTTATTTGAGCAAGCTGCGAAATAAGTAAATGATGAATATACCAGGGGTGGCACTTTACCTTTTATTTACTAGTAAGTACGTAACTTCAATAGTTACCTAGTTACTAGTAAAAGTAACTACAATAGTTACATAGTTTCTTGTAAATAGTAACTACTGTACTTACTTTGTACTAAAGTAACGATCGTAGTTACGCAGTTACTTGTAAATGGTAACTACTGTAGTTACATAGTTAACAGTAACTACGGTAGTTACATAGTTACTGTTACCTAAGTAACTTCTAAAACAACAGTCTGTAGTAAATCAATGAATAAGACATCTAGAGTCTGTTGGCGTTATGACTGCCATTTCTTATTTTTCAAATGGGGTTTTTGAAAATCCAAATGGGGTGCATTTGGGGTACATAACTGTGGTACATTATCTGCCTCGTAAAGCAGGATTTAATTGGGAAAATCGATCAAATAAACACCACCATTATAAATAGAAACGTCTGATTTACATATAGAACAATGAGCAAAATATTTATTAATTCGACATTCTCTGAGAAATGCTATATATTTAGGAGCTTTCAACCATTTTTGGTTGAAGGTACAACGTCTTTTGTGAAACACACTCTGAAACGAGTGTTGAAGTATAGAGAGCAGAAATTTGGACCCCTCCTCGGGGGCCCCCCCCCCCCCCCCCACAGACCGTGACAGAGAAATTAATTAATTACTCTGTCACAGTCTGCGATGGTCTCTACGACTCCATAGATCAAAATACAGCCCGTGGCTGAAAGGCTGTATTTATGATTACAGGCAGTGGCAGAAAAGCGACAAAGGCTCATACACCGTGGTAGACAGATTTCAGAAAAGAGTTTCCATCGTGTTTCACATTCTAATTCCACAGGGATAGCCCTAAGAGCTTTTTGGCGTTGGCGAAATTTTTCTTTCTTTGATATTGGTAGTTGGGTTGTCTCGGAAACTGGGAAATTTGGGTGTGGGTGTGAGTGTACAGATCACGACTTCTTTAATATACCCACACATCCTCAAACTACAAAAGTAAACATTATTATTTTTTCGAATTCTATCAAAAATAACGATGACACTGAAAACTAATTTCTCAGAGGAAATAATGAGTGAGATTGAATGTTCGCCTTCTATTAAAGATACTAAGTAATCGAATATTGCCTTTAGCAATGGCTGTTTACGCTGCCTACCTATCCAATGTTGATCGAAGAATAATCAAAAGCTTCAAGCGTGGTTTAATTGCTTTGTGAGGAAACGAAGAGAGAGAAGAATAGAAAGAAAAAAACATCGTGCAGGTGACTTGTTGAATGTGAGTAGCTGTCGTTGAAGAGAACATAAACATCCATACAGCCACGCACACGAACTCGGATGCCCACACAAACACACTCCCACTAACATCCACACCCTCAAGGAAGAACTACACTGGAAAAAAGGTATAAAACGAAACCTTGAAGGTTCCGTGGCGTTTTACTGTACTATATAGTTTCCGTAGAATCATTTATCATTGAATTTGCTAAGTATGTCAAATTTTGATTAATTATAAAATTAAAGTTATTGCTTGACAGAAACTGTCACGTATTTCGAATTACGTAATAGAAATAGAGCGGCCAACGTCAGTAATGTATTTTATTGACTCGAGAAACAGAAACAGAAACAGAAACACAAGATGAAAGAACAAAAACACGAATATTAAACTCTATTCCTTTAGAAGAGAACACACACATATATATATATATATGAATATAGATATGATGACTCATTCGAAAGGAGTTCAAAGAACAGAAAAACAAACTAACACATATAATGTAATATATATGTTACTATATCACAGAAACGATACGCACATCGTTCAAATAGCGAGCCAAAATGGCCAAGGCGATAGTATCCTTATCCAGTCTGTCGTACACTGCAAAACAATCCGCAAAATAATAAGCGGAAACAACGTTCTTGATAGGATATTCAACACAAAAAGAATTCAGTAATGTGCAACGGGACACTAATTCTTATTTTTTGCAATGTACACTTACTTTCATTCTCTAAAAAATAAGGCTTTTATCTTGACGGAAAGCTAAATCAACAGAACTTTATCACAAAAAACATCACATTTGAAAGCATAATCATCTTGAGACTCGCTTAAAAAAATTCTTTTCGCGCATACCGATAACATGAGTGACATCAAAATCGCCGAAAGACAAGAGAGCGATAGAAAAGAATGTAGAACACAATAATGACCAAAACTAATCTGGATCATATTGTTACAGTGACCCCGCTGTAACTTAAATCAATTCACAAAATAGAAATTCACGTTTCTATTTAACAAATCAACAACAGATTTTCGATTTTCGATTTTCGATTCCTAATCTGAATCATAATCTGTGCCCTAATCTAATCTGTTTTATTATTCTTTTGTTCTCTATTTATACTGTACAACACACACACACACAAGAGAGAGAGAGAGAGAGAGAGAGAGAAACAAAGGCAGAAAGAAGAAAAGGCATTTGTTTCTTCAACTAGACTATTTTGTATACAGAGATGATCGTGCATCATTCTATAAATGCACTTAATTCTAGTCGAAGCAACAATGCCATTATTTACATCGTCACGCGCACGAGAGTAAAGAAAACACAATAGAGAGATATGAAGAGAGAGGAAAGAAAAAATGAATGAAAAAAAAACGGTTGACGTATGCGTACATCTCGAGTTGGATTGCACATATAAGAAACACAACACATATAAAATGAAACAAGAACGTATAAGAGTTAAATAAATAAATAAGGTTTGTTAGAGTACTCTGTAACACATATGAAAATAGCAAAGAATATATTTTCCTATAAATTTTTTGAAAGTATTTTTGATCCCATTAAGTGATACTGTATTCATATGTACTCTTGTGTTATGTACTTTTATGGGCTGGCGTTTTTTCTTCAATAGTATCACTTCCCTAGTGAAAGGACTCGCCCAGCGAGTATGGCTTTGTAGCATGAGCATTCAAATTACTCAAGTCAGTAATCGATGAATTTTATGTGTAACTATACTTTTCGTGTACTATGACGAGTACTCTAATGAGTTTTCTTTTTAAGAATTACACGTACACGAAAATACGAGTACTCGACATCGTACTCATCGTCATTTTTCCTAACGCATTCAGCAAAACATCTATGCACTAGGATGCATGAAAATAAAATAATATTACGTAATTAAGAACAACTGTATAATGAGCCGAGATTTTGGAACAAACTTTAAATAAATTATCGGTTTCATCCTCTATATTTTGTGATGAGTCACTCGTGTGGCTTAATTAATTGGCTATTTAAAGAATTGAAAAAACAAATTCAATTCATGTCAGCTATTCGTTTCTCGAGTAAGGCCAAATATTTATTTGGAAATATAAAATTATGTGTTACATTTTACGTCTTCAACCAGAGATGAAATATCGCTTTAGCTAAAATGCTTTTTTGTGAAAATTAATGATACACGAGACGAATAGGAAAACTTTTCCTAAAACATGAGATTCAATATTCTCAAGCAGCATCAATAATATAGAAGACAGTTCATACATTTTTTTACTTTTTACTTAACGATTATAGTTTTCGATTTCAAATATTCATATTTTTTGTAACGATCGTAAGTGAATGTGTATTTTTATTGCGTATCGTAATTTGATACATATAATTTATTTCTCATTTGTGTTTGCGCTTGTGTTTACATATATTTTAGTGCTCTTAATACAGATTTCTATTCATTTTCTCTCATGAGATGCCTAGTTCGAATTCGAATGTAAGTGGACATCCAACTACATGGTATCAATTCGAAAATAAGTGGTAGAAATAGATTTAGCTTAAGATGGAGTGGGTATGGATTGAGGGGAGGGGGCTAAGGGGTAGCTGTGAGTGGTGGTGCGAGTGAGGGATGGGTAGGATGGGTACCCTGAAGGGGTGAGGGGATACTCGGAGTGCGTCAAATGTGGTTGTGGTTGGTGGATACCATCGAGGAGTGCTCAAATATGGCTACCGGTGAGGGGTATATATGTATTCATATGTCGCGTATATCGGAAAGTTAAACTAAAACTAAATCTAAAAATAGATTTAGTTTTAGGTTAGCTTTTTCTTTTCTCCATTTATATTCGAACACGAATTAGACAGCTACTCTTTTCTCTTACATTCTGTTGAAAAAATGCTTTATCTCTATGTCATAATAAAACAAATTTTTTAGACGATGAAACATTTCGCTCCTCAGTTTTTTATCGTGTAAGTTACTGTTCTATATCATTAGCTTTTGAAATACATAAATTGAACCTGGTAAAAGGATACTGAACAAAATATGTGTCTCAGTATTTTACGAAAGACCCACCAGACTACTCACAGAATGTATGATGAGCACTCACGGGAACTCACGGCATTTTCTAGCGTGAGTACTTTTTGAGTACTCGCTTGATGAGTATATTCACTAGGGTTGTTGTTATTTTACTATAATTTTTTATGGCATCAAATGCGAGGAGCATATTTTTTACCGTCTTGTTAATAATGAAAATCCTCTGTTAGCCTTAAACGATTTTGTATATCGAGTGAAAAAAGGTGCACTATTAAAGAAATATTGGATTTTTTGCGAAAGAAATGGATGCAATAGTTATATACGTACGTACCGATATAAAAAACGATTTTTCGGAATTGATGTTGATTAATTATTATAGATGGCTTCTCACTTATCATAGCCAAAGAAAAGAAATATCTCCTTTTTATTAATTTTATTACTAATTATATTCCTTTCACTTCATTTGTAGGTGTACGTAAAAGTCTTTTAGACCATAAAAATTCGCCGTGTTAGTAGTCGAAAAATATTACAACGAGTTTTTCAACATTATTTATTTCACTGTTTTTTCTTTTGGCTAACTGACTGTTGCCACGACAGTGTGCTCGTGGTCACCACATTCGACATTCGAAATTATATTGTATACGACGATTCTTCTATCGAATTTCGTATCTACCAAATCTATCATAATTATGTACGATATTTCAGATCAAGATTCATTTATTTCTTAGATACACCCATACCATTGTTAATAAGCACCTTTTGAATTACAATTATTGGAAGTTAACCTATTTCGATTTTTAAATTTTTTGTTTTGCTAAAATTGGGTCCAATTCACCTAAAACGAATTTGTAAACGGTCTTTTAACAGACAAAAAAAAGCTGGCTCTAGGTTTCTTACGAACATTTTATTGCGGATCAGTCCAACGAAGTATTTTTGCATCAATAACTAATTTTCATTCTTGTATTTGCAACAACAAATTCAACAAGCAACTTTTCTGTAGTTTATTACTCTAGCGAACTATGTTGTACCGCGTTTGTGTTCACAAAAAGCAATACGGGTTGAAAAATGGATTGAAACATATTTTAATTGGCTCGTGAATTTGGAATAAAAATAGCTTCCAGTCCTTGTTCGAGTACCCAATAAAGATTTTTCAAAGAGAGAGCAATGCAACCTTGAGTCGGTTGCATATCTGATACGTGAAGAAAAATAGCTGAACCTCTCCCTGGTATCACTGGATCATCATTATAACCAAGTACACCAATTATATCATATGATCGATTTTCTAACAATAATTTTTCATGCCTAGCTGGGTGTGGAAGACGTACTTGAAGATTGTAATCTGGATGATTGACATCATCGCACCAACCATCACTTTCAGTCAGTGGTTTGCTTGTCAAGGAAGTAGGAGGCAAATGAACACGATCAGGCCGATATAATAAGCGACGTAATGGCAGAAAGCCCGAAGGAGTACCTCCATCACCTTCACTTTTATCCGATTTCACACCAGCTCTACCAATGCAAGCTGGGATACGGCGACCAGCAAAATGAAATATAGCACAAGATCCAGAGATAACTTCAATTTCAGCTACTTTACTAGTCTTATCGTTCTCATTTTGCGCATTGCCAGCCATGCTTTCTCTTGTTTTCATAAAAAGTAATTGAAAATCAAAGCAAAACAGAATATTACGTAGGAAAATGTCACCTGAATAAATAACTTTTACATACTATTGTAACCTGGTTGGCAGGAATAAATAAATCAAGTTTGATAAGAAATAAAAAAGCCCTCATTTATATAAACGAGATCGAATTACTGGCTGATTCAGAGGATTTCTTCCACAAGCAATTTTCGTTATTAATATAATAAATGCAATATCTGTGCGTGCTCTTCATTCATATTCATACTATTGACATTCAGCTATTGTTTCAATGAAGATTTCTAAAAATTGCAGCTACTCAGAAGTAGAATGACTCGTTGAAGCATAATGGAATGATGGTATATTAGTACATATCTTTTTTCAGATCAGAATGTAGATGAAACACAAATCATTAGCATCATAAAAGATCTAGAATATCTAGCATTGCTCAGTCACATATTTTCAGTATATATTGACTCAAAGCACGATATCTCGAGAAACACGATGCAGTGGCTATTCAAAATCTTTACGAATATTAGTTATAACTCATTAGCATGAAATGAAGCACCTATTCGTGTATGTATAACAGCGAAGACTAAAATTAGTTTTCAAAATAAAAAAATATGTTGATACAGCTGTGAAACCGAATAATGGTTAATGTAATGTTATGACCGTTGAAGCACTCTCAATCTCAATGGCTCCATTTCCGCCAGACTTTGAATCAAAGAAATGTTGGTGTGATTCAAGTTGTGCTATTATAAACGGGCGAATAGTAGATGGTCTATGTAGAAACTAATTGCTTTAGCTAATTAGCAATTCACAATTTTTAATATTTTGAAATTAATACCTTTATTAATTTGATCATTCTCCGTTCCTTTTCTCAATATACTTGTACTAAAATAAATTATACTCTTATACCTCGATCTACGTCTATTATATTTTCCAGTATCATAGTTTCTTTTTCGATAGAAAATCCAGCACATAGAATATGCAGTGAGCCCAGCTCGTCAATTTTTGTCGTTTGGATTTATTTTCAAACAAAATTTTAATCGTAAAAAGTTACTATTTAAAAGCTTTCAAAAAACCTAATGAGTTCTTGAGATTGAAGAAGTCGATGATAAACGTTAAAGAACCACTTGAATTGTTGTTTACAATATTGTTTAGAGTTTTCAGGGACATCCGAGAACCATATGAACTATAGTTTGATGCACATTGAATGGAAGTTAAATAGTCAATACAGTGTGGGTGTGGGTGTGAATGAAGAGAATGTCTACACCTACGATGAGAGCCACGTTTTCCGGAATACACCAATATATACATGGTATTTCTTTGAAACCTCTTTTTGAATGTGTCAGAAATAATGAATATCGATTCGATTCAACAGTACAACTTTACATTTGAATGTATATTGATTGATCATGTACATAAATTTGTTGACATTCATCATCATTATCATAGACTATGAATAGTAATGCCATACTTATTTGTCGGTTTCGGTATTGGCATGAATTGTCATAGTAGCTAGATGGATACATACATACATTATCATCACTATTGATTTCATTCCAAGTACGGATATCGAGTCCACGATTATAATGTCACGATCAGGAACTTTTTTCAATATGAGCTTCATCTACTTTTACGATAGTATGCTGTCCATGTAGTTAGTAGTTGCATTATCATGTAATTACGAGATGATTGTTTACCAAATTTGATTGGAAGAGTTGAGAAAACATGTTCAATTTCAATGTCAGAACAATTATTATGGCCTCTGCATGACTGGGTGAGTGTCTATGAGGCATGACATCCAAAATTTTCATCTATTACTACAAAGTAATGAGCTTCATTATCTCCAAAATGTTGAACATTCAAGCAAGCCACGTTTTGATGTAGTATACTATCTTCTTAGTAACTGGTGGATTTAAATGTATAAGACCAACAATTATTTCAACCCTTAAATCTAATTCGATGGTTAAGTAAACAATAATACTCATATTTCTAGTCGGCATGATCAATACATAGTCCATGTTCCGATCCAAGATGCTATACTTCGATATTAACTTCACTAAGTTTGAACCGTTGCAAAGTGACGGATAATCACTATAATTTCTTCCCGATTGAAGATATGACAGGAAATCACATATGGATGAAATTACATAATGGTTGATTAAAGCAAATATAATCAGGTACCAAAATTTTCTCTCAAATAATGATTTCCGTACAACAAGCGAACATAATCAGAATAAACTGGAAGAAAGAGTTGCTTTCCTCGAGAAATTCGTAATTTGAGTTGTACACTCTTGCCAGATTTCACACAAAATTCTATTTACGTACACGCCAATTACAGTTAGGCAGATAATATTCATCCAACATTTTCTGATAGGCTACCTTAGACTGTAAGTGCATTAGTAAATACTTCATGATAGCCCATTATTGCAAACGTGAAATTAACCACTGCATTGACCATCTTTACATGGAAATATTGTATAGTGCTTCTTGTGCAATTATGTTCTTCATGCAGTGTAATGTTACATTTTGAAGTCATATCGCACCATTGAACATGTTGATATGTTTATTGGATCGATCAAGAGAATTCGCATTGCATTTTCCCTTTTCCCAAAGACTACCATGGGTGCAGAATTCATTACAGCAACATAATCTATTGTTGTTGTACTCATTCATTTCCATTGTGAAACATGATTCTTTATCGATATTGTCATCAAAAGAATCAATAATCCTATTGAAAAGTGTACCCTAATAGAGACGCCAAAGCTCTTCATAATGATTACATTTCAGAAGAACGCAGCGTGGTGTATTGATTATTGTATCTGCCGACTCAATAATTGGCATTTTACTGAGAAATATAGTGTCACTAATTTGTTTGAACGATATTTCTTTATCAAAGTTTAACGAATATTGATACTTGAAACCAAATCATGGCTCATTACACTTGCAGAAATGCATGTTCAATGACGATTTCGATTCATTGAGATAATATCGATATTGTTCGATCAGATTGATCGAAACCAACCAATTGAGATAATGCTGCGCAATGATATTTACCTTGGTTAGTTCTTGAAAACTTAACCGTTATGCCAGCTGATTGATAGGAAGGATTTTTACGCTAAATATAATAATCTAAACAATCAAACTGTAAATCATTGTATATGATTGTTCAATCCGTGTCATCAAAATTGAATGGTGAAGTCATAATGGTTCATCGACATAAGACTGCTATTAGAAGTTGAAATGTTATTTTATTTTCCTCAAAAACCATTGCGTTTTGCATTGATTGACTTCTACGTCTACGCAACCTCATATTACTGTATGGCAGCTAAGATTTAACTATTTTCTAAATAAAATTATATCTGAGTAATCGACTGACATCATCGATTGGTTTCTCTATGAATAATAGAAATTGAAACACGTTCAAATGACTAAAAAATCATGATATTTTATAGTCATGATACTTTCATGGAAATAAAATCCTAGATAAATCACTGAAAACAAAGTTTAATATTGATTATTCATCTTTATATTTATATTGCGTATTGTGTTACTAGTTTCTGGAAAAATGAATAAAAGTCACGAAATATACATGACTGGTAAAATGAACAGAATTACTGGTGTCTAACATAATAATATGCTATGTTCTAAAGAAGAGCACAGCCAAAATATGTTTTTCAGTCAGATTACAACCAAAAAGAATATCAGGGTCTGGGTGTGGGTCTCACCGCAAATTATGATATTTTCTTCAATCATACACTCAAGGTGACCACATAAAACTCAATTCTATTTATTTTCTATTGATCTATTACATTTTTTCTAGGAACATACCTAAGTACAGCATTTTCACCATAAGTAGCTGACTACTGAATAAAGGGTGTGACAATGACTGAGGGTGGATGGGAGTATGGACATAGGAGAAGATATAGACAACATTCACATTCTCAATTTACTTAAGAGCGAAAATGACTGTATTATTTCAACATCACTGAACTTTTTTTAGAATCTTCAGTTAATTTCTTATTTGTTGAAGTCAATTTGTTTTGTATTCAGCCGTAAATTTAGTCAGAAGTTTGAATAAAAATGACTTATTAATTGAAGAAAAAATATGATACAACGCGTCGAGTGTGATATTTTGATAGACTATAAATCCAAATGACTTCACGTATGCAAAACAAGACGTACTATTATGATGTGAGTAAAAAAAGAGACGTATCGTATGTGGAATTGATTATGACGAACGGTGATTGTTGAGTCAGTTTTCTTATACATAGTGTGTAAACATAGAGAATATGCTTTCTCTTAAATATTTTGGTGTAGGCGATAAGAACAACTTTCTCTAAAAGTTCTCTTTTTGACGATTCGTTTAGTCATGATCACTACTTCACTATATTGACAAAGTTAGAAACAGTTTTTTAGAAGTGCTCGATAAAATGGCAGCCACTTATATGACTCTACTTTGGTTATAGTCAATAATGTGTATCGTTTGATGTCTACATAGCTCTATCATCGCCACAGTTTACTAACATACAAATATAACAATCAAGTTCGATTTACCTTGTTTAATTAAAAAATATTTCTTGTTATACTTACATATGGCAAGACAAGAAAAAAGCAATGAGTGTTTCAAGAAAATAAATTGAATGTTTCTTGTCACGTGGGATCAGTATTCATTATTTTTCTCTTTTCATTGCCAATAGTAAATATTGTTCTATTCGATAAAGGTTCATCTGTTGGATCAGAACCTCTCTTGACAATAAGCTTTAATGATTATTTGTGACGTATTGTTGCTTGAATTCATAGTTCAATCGAAATTTGAATCCATAATTCTCAATTAAATTATGATTCCATCGGAATTGTAAGCCACATATGGTCTTTGATATATACAATTACAAACACATTACATATTGAAAGAAGAAAATATCATATGATAGAAAAGGAAGAATATATACAATGACGCATACTTAAGTATGTAATTGATTTGAATAATGAATTTAAATATTTCATAGGAGTTCTATACGATAACCGCCAATAAACTTTGTTATAAAATCGTCAATCTAAATAGAAAATCGATTAATATTAATTATCATTTCATTTACAGCATTTTACTAAGAATTTTGAATCTTCCAAAGCGTAATGTTGAATATTAACATCAAAGATTATAAATTCGACTACTCCTCGAGCCGCTTCTATTAATACACCTAATTTATATATAAACATAAATTTTGAACATTCAGTACGAAAAATAACTGAATTCAATCTATCGGAGTGGCAAAATCGTGATCTGAATAGCACGTAAAATGGTGGAAACAACAATGACCAAGTTTATGGAATATGTTAGATAACATAATTTAGGCGTATTTTACGACACTATCCTGAAGATCACTCTGGACCTGTTTCCTTTTTTCTATCGTTGCATCATCCATACACATTACATCAGAATGGGACATCAATATCTGTAGCATCTCGAAAAACGATTTTGGTACTATTCTATTAGTTAATGTATCTTTCATTTCCATCATAATTGATGAAAGCACAACACTCTAAACAAAATACAAAAAAATATTGTTCAGCATTGCTTTTGGAAATTCACTAGAAACATTCATGTATACTCTTTGAATGAGATCAAATATGTGCTCAAGTTAACTAGAAGATGATCGTTCATCAAAATTTTCGATAAAGAACATACAGCAATATTTTATGTCGGACACGTATCAAGATGATTTTTTCAATTTCAACTGTGAAAATATATTTATTTGACATTACCAATTTAAGTATTAAAAAATATCTAGAAAATTCTTCATTATAAGCTTCGATCTAAAATACACTGAAAAATACACTAAAGCTAAAGTTGAGTTAAACAAAGCTTTTAATAAACTGTGGCCTCAGCATTTCTTCTTCATCCAAACGGTATGAACTCCCGACATGAAATAGTGAAAATCGTAATATCGAATGAATTGCAATTGCAATAAAAAAATCGTATTTGAAGATTGAAAGATTTCGACATTGATCATTGTCTTTCACTGAAATACAGGCAAAATATTAATTGAACAACTGGTGAAATATGCCTATATTCGATAGATTTTCAGATTGATTTTTCAATCATATTTGTGTTCATCATTCATCATTGATCAGAAACAAAGAAGAGCAACTCTAGTTCAGCAGGGGTTCCTCTACCAGAGAAGTGTACCAACTCAGCCAACGATCTATTTTTCAATAAATAGTGCTTTCAGATCTTTTAGCTAATCCATCACTGAATGATACTGTGCTAAAATAATGAGAATAATACCGTCGAATTTACTTGCGATGAACGAATTACCATCGTTTTATTGTTGGTAGATGTTATTTGATTCAATCTACTATCATTATGGTAGCAATTTGGTCGCGGCACAAAAATGTAAGTGGACTCGATGAGCAAACCTTTTCCTACTAATTAATTCGAAAAGAAAAACATTCGCGTACACTAATTATCCAACTAAGAGAGCGCACACACAAGCACGCACATATAATTTGTATACATACTGAGTTCAACTCGCAGAGATAAATACAGGAGAAGAGCGTCAAAAGAGTACAGTGAACTCAAGGATGAGCGCTAGTAGAAAACGAAAAATAGAATGGGCAAATCAACTGTGGCGTTCATTCGTTTTACTCAGTTTGCAAACAAAATTTCAGACAATGCTTCTATTCCACGTTTGTCTTGAAGGGATCAGACAGCTTGTCGTCAGCACCTTGATGCTCTTCCTCTTCACCAACATCCGCTTCTTCGTTGTTGTCGTCATTGTTCAAACTATGAGGCTTCTGCTTGCAAACTGTAACTGTTACACTACCAGCAGAAGCACCAGCTGTGAGCTCGATACCATTAACGGAATCCGACTGTTCATTGCTAACACCTTGATCATCTTCATCTTCATCTTCATCTTCAACTAATTCATTATCGTCATTGTTCGGACGACGAGCATTCGTCTTGCAAACTGCAGCTGTTACGCCACCAGCAGTAGCACCAGCTACGAGCCCCACACCCGCGGAAGTCGATGCAGCTACCGCTCCAACAGCTCCAGCAGATTGACATAAAGCAAACAGACTTCCAGATACGGTCGTCGCTGTTTGCATTGATGCTGCAATGCTACCAGCTGCCACGCCAGCCGATGTAAATCCTACCACACCTAAGGCAGGTATTATGGCTAGTGGAGCCGCTATAGCAGCCCCTCCGCCAATGATACATACTTTCGAAATTGTGGAACTCTCCTTCCACCTTGTTCTAGCAGAATCTGCTGTACTTTTGACAAGATTTCCAACCTTTTGTGATTGATTCATAATGGAAGATTTCAGATTTTCGCGTGTGAAATATGATGCCATTTAGCGAATAAACAGTAATAGAGAATATTTGATAAATGTAATGATCTAAAACAGAGATGTTGGTCTAATGTGAGGAGTGACAGAATTTTCACTAGCAAAACAACAATAATTCTGCACTGTTAATGCCTTTATGAGTTTAAGACACAATTAATAGAACCAATACAGAATTCTGTGTTATTATATATACACATTACCTTATATAGAAATCAAAATTCGAACAAGAATTTATCATTACCTACAGAATTGTGCAAGAATTGTGCATTTTCTACACCATTGTGTAATAATTGTGCATTCTCTACAAAATTCTGTGTTATTGTGTACAGTGTATTATTTCGTAATCAAAATTCTAAGGAGAATTTATCATTCAATAGCAGAATTCTGTATCTCTTACACAAGTCTGTGAAATTATATCCCAAAAAATAGCTTTTTTCTAAATAGACTTTCAAAAAGAGCGGAACATAGTAAAAATGACTGGATCGAATTTAGTAAAAATCACATCATGCAGCATGAATACTTTAAAAAGTCAACATCATACCTAAATATGTTTATATATAAATATTTCCTACTTCCACCCTGACCCACTATTGATTATTCGTTCATCTACAAACAAATTCAAAATAAAATAAAAATAGATAAATAGATGACGCTAGTATCAAACACCGTAAATAGTTCTTGAAAATGTTATGTAACATCTACTCTGTTCTACCTAACTCACTATTTATATCTGTAAAATGTAATGCATGGCTACAGCAAATACCTCTCTTTCAAAACCCTCCATTACGTGCACTGTTCTATTGTATTTTATTTTACTCTCTTTGAATTTGTACAACGTATTTCTCTCTGTAACAACAAACTGCTATAAAAAAATGTAAGTGTGGAATGTAATGTTTCTTTTCTTTTTTCCAATCTTACCTCTCGTTATTTACTATTGGTGAATTTCTTTTCTATTATGTGAACCCGAATATGGCGCATTAAAATAAATTGAAAAAAAAAATTATATCCCAAGTGTAACGTTATATACGGAGAGCATCCAAATTCCATCCAAGAGTGTACCGCTCCCGTTCGAGTATAACGTATGCATAATATCTGACCTTATGGTACCATTTATTCTCATCATACGTATTGCCTCTATCTTTCTGTCCTTGATATTTGTCTTTATCTCTCATTCTCCTTCGTTCTCTCAAATAACTGAGCATTTAAGCGTGTGCTTTATATGTAATCGAGGCGATTTATGATTTTAAGAGCTAAATAAAGTGTAATACCATCAACACAGGTATCTTTTCTATCTGAAATCGTTACACCAAGTGAGCGAAAGACGGGTTAGATGCCTAGTCTTTTTCTAGGTCTGTCGCCCCATCACGGCTAGTTTTTGTCTGAAAAAGAACTCGTCTGGGACTAGTCCTACTTTTGACAGTCGTGTACACGCGTCCTAGTACTCTGATTGACCAGTAGTCATGATATCCGATAAAAGTAGTCGTGCCGAGCGTTTCTATCGGCCATTCGAAAATGGTCCATGAGTGAAAAACTAAGGGCGTCTGGGACGACTATATAACCAACTGCAGCCTTATATAGTAGACGAGTTTGGGCTAGTCTAAATGGAAATATGCAAGGATGAAGATTAGATATGAACATGCATACAATGTGATACTTACCCATCGCCAGAACTATTGAGCCATATGACGGAGAGACCATAGTGTATAGCTTATAATCATTCAAACATGTTATTTGATATAGTTTTAATTTACATTTTTTTATTTTATAAACCAATGAAAGATTTTCTTTGATACAAGTGCGATTATTTTTGGAAAAAAATTAATCAAAATAAATTAAGAGAAATTTATAATTGTTAGAGAAATAGTTTTTGGCTATTAATAACTAGGATTAATTCGTTGAGTTATAAAAATTATTAATGCGGTGCGAAGCACAGCGTTTATGTAGTCCGTCGCGAGTTTTTTTTTTGTTTCTTTCTAACTTGAGTACGCATAAAAGCTCTAATAAAGTAGCGCGATGACCTAGAGAACCGTAAGTGATAGAAAATCCATTCAAACTAGATATAAAACTATGGAGGTGGAACTTGTTACATCTTTTTCCAATTTTCAATACTAGGCTTCGTTCGCCTAAAAATATCATTCGACAATGATGATTTTGAAACGTTTTATTGTTTTATAGTTTCGCGCTAATTAAAATGACGTCATCAAGTAATAGTAGCCAATAGTCTATTTCTTCGCATTTGATCTAAGATAGTGAATCATTAAAATAATTAATCGTTCAATGAAAAAAATTGTTAGACAACTGGTTGTTACATTTTCAGAGAGATTTCCTAGTGATGAATTTCAAAATGGTCGATTTAAGAATAGTGAATGCGAAATTTTTATTCAAAATTCGTATACGGAAATTAAAAAAAAATAAACGTTTGTAATGAATCTTAAAGTGAATCATTTATTTTTAAATCTTATTCTCGCTACTTTCGAAAATTCGGCTCGTGTGCTTCGCACCGCATTTCGTAGTCGAGTGAAACTCGAATACCATCTAGTTTATACATAAAAGAAGCTAGACTTTTTCTTACTATATTATTGTTTAGTTTTACACTTAATTCACCGTAGATTCATCTAACAATTAAATTATCTTCGCTTAATTTCAAATTATTAGAACTGGCAGCTAAAATAATCTAAAATATACAATGGGGAACAAACTGATTTCAATCTCTGAAATCAAGTTGAAATCGCCCGAAATCAACTGAAATCACTTGTAGTTACTTAAAATCAGTTCTTTCTCCTTTGATTTCATACGACACAGTGAGAGGTCTTTGGATTTGAAACTAGTATTTTTTAAATTGTTTATCTTTGTTTCATGGGGAAAAGATATATCAAATCCGTAGTTCTTTTCTTATGTGAATATAACAAAAGACATTGACTTCACTATGCGTATTTTCTGCATTCTAATATAACCCCGACTCCTAACAAAATGACCAAAACGACTAAAAGACCACGTGAAATACAGTAGCGACAGAACGCAATAAAAAATCCTTGCATATACTACTCTTTTACACGCTACTATATGTGTCCCCTTTTTTGTGTAACACGCTTATGTTCTTTATCTTTCCTTTCCATTTCAAAACTTTCGCACCACAGAACACAATAAAAAGATATACTCGTCTGTATAGATATTCTTTAGTTTTTCTCCAAAAAATTTCCCACTTCCCCCTCGTCCACTCTGTCTACAGGGAACGAAAGAGGGCACGAGAGAGAGCATATCATTATATATTTTTACACCTAACAGAAAGAAAAGAGTAAAGAAAATATTTGAATATAATTGATGCAGTGGAATATTATGTGCTAGTCTCATGAGTGATGTTTTATTATAGAAACAGCAAGAATAAAATAAATATGATGAATAAGAGACAAACGATACAGTGATCAAAGATATAAGAATACTAAAAATAGAGACAAACCACGAGGTAATAAGCAATGATGAAATGAGAGTAAAAAAGCAAGTATAAACTATAAAACTACAAAAATGACGCTGTGCAATGTTATACATAATATAGACTATACCATGACTGTCACATACCAGGATGTAATTGAGACGCTCTCCCGAATATCTTTAAAATTAAAATAAAAGAGTAAATCAGCGCCGATAGGAGAGGTTCAGACGATGTGATACAAGAAGGAAAGAGAAGTCAAAAGTACAAAAGGAAATATTGAGAGTTACGAATAGAAAGAAAACTGGGAAGTCAGTCGATGATCAGAAAAAAAGAAGAAAGGCAAAGCAAATGAAAACAACTGGAGAAGAAAATAAAAAATGATTCAAAAGAAGAAAAAGAAAAAAATGGGAGGTGCTTTAGTTTTTCACATATACAATGAGTTGAATGTATAGCGATCAGAGACCGAAATCAAATCGTGGGAATAAAAAAAATTGAAAAAAAGTCGAATCGAATCGATTAGTTTTGTTTTTTCTCAGTTTCATTCAGCTATTGAAAATCATTTTCTTTTTTCTACAGTGTTCTGGTCGAGGGCAGTTGACTAGTATAAGAGATCAAGAATGAAAAAGGCCGTCCACTGTTTCTCCTTCTTTCTTTCTGTCAGTCGTGTTTGTTTAATGGGCATCCTTGTTCTGTTATATTCATGTCGTTATCAGGGTCAAGGGCATTTTGATCGGCATAAGAAATACCCACTTACAACGAACGTTCCTTCTTTTTTTCTTCAGTCATGTATATTTAGGCTCCAATCACATTGAGAAGTAAATTAACATTATAGTTGAATTAAGAGTGGCGTAATCTTTTAGAGGTGATTTAACTCTTAATATATCAATTAGATTGCTTATAATACGACTTTAGCTTAATTCACATTTCCAGTGTGATTTGGGTCTTAATATCAATCTCTTGATTTATTAAGTATGGCTATGATCAAGTGTAAATATATAGATCCATATACAGTAAATGACATTATTTTGTTTTCGTTCTATAGAAAATAAACTTATTTAATTAGTCTACTTAGATGTGTTCATTAATTTTTATTTTGTGTATTTTTTCTTGAAAAAAATGAATAATTCTTATGCATATATTCATAAATTATATTTATTCAACATATTTCTATACAAGATCGACAGACTACTCTCATCCTAAGAAGATGACTATCTGAAAACAACAATACTATGTAATAGTGAGTACCATATTTATGTAAACCCAATTTGAGTCGAATCCGAATCCAGGCCCTAAAAAGCCGAATCGAACCGAATGACACTTTTATCATTCGTTTTGGCCTCTGATAGCGATTGAACTAAGAGAGGGCATGAGTAAAATCAACAGGATTGATAGAAATATTTTCAAGATGATTTTTAAATGAGTTTTCATTTTGAAGCATTTATGTGTCTGGTCAGTTCCCAGGTCGATCAACTTTTGTCGTACGTGGCCGTTTGGTATGCAACGTATTACGGTCGCTTTTCATCGTGCCATAAACGATCGGATACGGTCGTATACTGAAATATCCGACCACATTACGGGCAGTAATACGGTGCATGCCAAGACGTCAAATTACGGCGATTTACGATCGCATGAGATCATTGTAATGTTCGACCTGAGTTATGTTGATTTTACTGATACCGATTTTACTATCAGTCGGTATAGAGGAAAATGCTGTTTTAAGATCTTTATACGAAACTTGAGTACTGTTACCACTCTTTTTAGACTGTCTTAATTAAATAGTTTGTAAATAGCAAAAATATTGAGAAAAAAGTCAATTGAATGCAATTATAATCGATGATCTCTTACTCATAAAAGTTTCTTTTTGAAATAGGATATGTGAATCAGTAGAATGAGTCTTATTTATTTATTTTTACACTGAAATTAGCAATCAAAAGCAATTGTGAAATATTGTTCAATGTCTATCTTAAATAGAAATTGTAATGTGGGCTCTCTAGGTTTTCAATTTATAAATCAATAATCGATTTTTTTAGTAATAATATAAGAATAAGTATAATAATTATTTTATAATACCAAAACCATGTACTAGCATGATACAACAGTTTATCGCCATGAAATGATATATAGAAAAAAATTGTTGCATTATTATTGTACCTACATGATTGACTACTAGAGATGAATGTCGCAAACAACGTTTATGATGATGTTATGTTCAATAATATTACATAGGAATATGTATTTTTATCATAAGAAAATGTATTCACGCATTTCCGATCACTGGGTCCTGTGGGTCCGTTTCCATTTATTTCCTTTAGTTGATCAACTGGAATATTAACACATTTTAGGAACAAATTGCTGAACATGTTTATGATTAACCACAATATAGGGTTAACTCTTTTTCTGTATAAACAGATCGCAGATTCAAGAGTATTATTTCTTTCGTCACCGATTCTTCCCTGAAATTTAATCCACTGTTGTTCATGCATTGGTAATCCTGCATATAAACCAATTAATTGAAATTTTTTCAAAAGGTTTCCATTCGAGTCCATCATTTGAAATTGTATTAGCAACAGTAAATTTCGACAAGTAGTAGTTTCGTTTTTCAAGACTAATCATATTACTATGATTTATATTCTTAATATGAGAATTATCGTATGAGGCACGCAAATTAAGTGACACAAATACAATCGGATGCGTTCGATTATATAGGTTTTTAGTGGTAGGATTAAAAAATGAACAATACCATGCTGTTCATAACCGTATCGATGAAGCTTTAATTTTCCATTCGATTCAATGTACAATCGTACAAAAATTCTTTCTAAATCTCCTTGATGGTGCCCATATGTATTTAAAATACCATTCATACTTAATAACCTCAAAACAGTATCTAATTGAAATACAATTCCACCACTGTAGACATACAAAGGTCTATGGTGAATATCGATAAATGTTTGATTGATTTGATTAACAGCAATATAAACGGGTGCATTAATTATATTAACGTCATAATTTAACGATGAAATATTCAAATAATAGTGACTGTCACTATATTGTTCAAGTGTTTCCTGTGAAAGATTCATAATGATAAAATCTTTCTGTTTTCGACTATGTAATGTTGAGTTTTTCAATAAATATTCGATTGAACATAGAAAAAATCTTTCACTTGAATGAAATTTATATATTGAACAATAACTTTTAATATCATCTAATGTTATTCGAATAAATTTGGCAGAATTTATTTCTTGTGAACATGAAAGAAGAATTTCGCATGATATTATTGCACTATTGAGTAAAACTATATAGTTGTTCTTCTAATGAATTTTGCTGAAACGCATTCTAAATAGAAAATAAAAAGCACCTTTGTTGTTTATCATTTGTGAAAGAATATTGTTGAATAAGGACAACTGCCTCTATTAGTCTCTTGTTATGAAAATGCATTTTGCCAAATTTTCGTAGGCTTTCTTTCATAAAACTCTCTCAGTTCAGGATTAACCGCTTCTGCCACTTCCCATTTTGGTGCTAAAATTTTGTCGTTTTATTTAAGAAAGTTTGAGCGTGATTGAGAAGGGACTAGATCGGAAGGAAGTGTTCATTTAGTGCAATATCAATGTCAATACAGGATGAGTGTGATACCGATTTTATTGTTTCGCTCCTAATCACATCCGCACCTCAACGATAAGGATACCAATGGGATTGATAAGAAAGTTTCATTTATTAGTAATCAAATAAAAATCACGGTTAAATTCATTAATTAATCATATCGGCACACGATAAACAGAGATGCATATTGGTTCCAAAACAAAGAAGACAGGCAGCGTTAGCGGATTGCTTAAAAATCAATAGTTGCAAATAGTCAAGGCTATTGAATAGTCCCGATGGTTTTCATAATAGACAAGTTTTATTGTAATATCTTGTATGATACAGTATCTTTTTGTTGCAACGTTTGAACGGTGACAAATGTAAGTACGTCCACTCGACGAGAAGTTTCATATCATCGGATCCTGATTTTTTTGTGAAACGCAATTAAAAAGACTTAGTGAAGTATATGGGGTACAAATGACCACCTCGCAGTTTGTGGCAGATAGTTTAGATGCAGCATTTTAATTATGCTTCACATTTTAACTCTGCAGAGATTTCACGAAAAGCATTTGATCTTGTTGATTTTCACATTAAGAACCTGAGCGATTCAGTTCTAACATGTTTTTCTCTATTTTTTCTAGGTGTGGTGTCGGTCTGTTAGAAATTTGCCGCATTCACAACATACTCACTCTCATATATTCACACCGCCTTTGTCACAGAAATAGTCGATGAAGAGTTTCTGAAACATGCATCATGACTATTATAAGTCAATGACAGAGTTATTCATGGTTTTAGAAGTTTCACTGTGTTTTTTTGTTTCTAAAACAAAATGGCATCTGCTGTTCTATCTTCGAAATGAGAGCAGCGTATAATTTGGATGTAGAAATCAAATGCTGATACATGGGAACACGTGCAGCCAGGTGAGTGGAAAAGATATTCGGACATTGGAAATCGCATTATCGAACGCGCATAGCAAGATAAGAAGAATAGAAAATTAGAAACGAAACTAAAATTGTCTTGAAAATATTGTTTTATCTTTTTTTGAAATGATCCACTTCAGTTCGAGGCGACAAAGTGAAACGATATTCGCTTAACTTTCACGTTGCCTTCCTAAGATCTTCGTTAAACAGAATGTTTATTTTTGTAGCTGACACAAGAGTAATACAATCACTAGTTGACATAATAGAATAGTTCATACTCTAAAATTAAAAGAGTCATTTTCCTCTTATAGTAATGCTCTGTCTTGTCAGCCAAGTTGCGTTGTGAGCACTTCACATACACGTTGCTCTTTTTCCTCATTCTGTCGTCGCCCAGAGAAAAGCATTTTCTACTTGTTTTTCATCTGTTCTGTCAAGGGCATTTCTTCTTTTTCTGATGTTCCTAGTCGGATGGTGCCATCATCATATGCGATCATCGTTTCTAGATTTTTCTCTTCTTTTTCTTCCATTGGTTGCCTCTGCCTTTTTTCCTCTGTTTTGCGCCCTCATTTTCTTACATGGTATAGATCTAGACGTACAAAACATGGGTTTGGGTAATAGTGCTCCATCGCTGTTATTTTCCTATAAAGTGAATTTCACTCGTGAGATACCAAATGATTTTTATTTGAGTGGTGATCGAGTTCAGGGTATTATTCAAATTGCTACAAATGATAATGAAAATGATTTGATCCAAAAATACGGACCATTGTATGTTGAACTCATTGGCGAATTGCACGATTTCAAAACAGATACTCATCAGCATTACACAAAAGGTGTTCAAATATTTTTTCGAACACGAACACAAATAATACAGCTACCAAATGACAATCAAAAACTGGTTAGTAATTTGAAAGGATTTTTTTTGTAGGAACAAAGTGTTCGATGTTACTTCCAATTTTGTTTTCTTTACCAGTTCTCAAGATAGAAAAAAAATTCATTTGAGTCTCAGCTTCAAAAATTGAAGATTTCGAGCTCGTCAGATCCGATTTTTTCAAGTTTTAACTTGAAGATATCTATTTTGCAAAGTAAGACTCATGAATGTTGCCGTAAATTACACGTTTCTATTTTTTTCCATGCGTGAAATTCTCAATTTTGTCATGAATCTTCTCTTAATTGTTATTGTTTTTCTTAAGGGAACTAATCATCTTCGAAATTATAGATGGGCATTCGATGGTTCATTAGATTCATTGCTTCCTTCATCATTGCCACCTGGTGATGAGTGTGATCCATGTATTTGTTATTATGCTCTTGTTTATCTTCGTCGTGCTGATAATAATGATTTTGCTCGAAAGTTTCCTTTTCTCGTCTTTACTCGAGCCTCAAATCCGATTTTCACTCGACAATCGCTACAGAACAATATCGTTGACGCCCGTGTACGACATAAAGGTGTGACAGTTTACGGTACGCTTTCAAACAATGGACTTGTTGTGCCAGGTCAGACTCTCATCTTGCAAATTGAGATCGACAATCCAATGAAAGTAACAATGAAATTGATTCGAGCAACACTCAAGCAATATCGACATATCACCGATCAGGACACTGATTTTACTGTTTTTTCTTTCATTTTACCCGGATTTAAACCGAAAGGATTCAATAGTGAATATCGTCAAAGTACATATGAACTACCGATACCAATGGAAAAATGTCGCCTCATGCCACCGACATCATCGTATAAAAGTGTCCGATATGAACTTGATATTCAATGTCATTTAAATTGTTCATTTAATAATCAGTTTACATTAACATTACCGATTATTTGTACCACTGATCATCAACAACCATTAAAAATCCTGGATGAATTGAAATCTGTGCCTGAAATTCTGAGACGTCTAACGATTAGAAAAGAAAAGAAGCAACCACCAAGTTATGAAGATTTTATGGCCAGTGAGATTTTACCAAAGTATGAAGATATTATTCATTAATTATTGACCTTGTTTATTATCTCGAACGCATACATATTTGCAATACAAGCAAATTTCTCTGTTTCAACGGTGTACTACTAAGAAATAATTATAATAGTAATAAATCGATTTTAGCTATGTGTATAAAAGTTATACGTTCATCGGTTGAGTGCTGGAATTTGAAATAAGGATGCAATATAAATGTAGGATGTTTTAGGTCACAATTCAATTTTGTCTTAACGGATTTGCGCTATATCTGAATTCTAAGTGAATCAATGATTCAAGCAGTAAATACTCTATTAAATTTTTTTTTGCTCACCACTATTAACTATCAAAATAATCCAGAAAATCGAAACAGTTTGCGGGATCTATCATGAATAAAAAGATACAACAATTATTTAAACTCCAATCTTCATTGACTCTGAGGTGAGAATTTTTCAAACTGGCATTTTTTAAATTATGTACATATATTCAAGTATAATTAATAATTAATAACAATTAAGATAAAAATACGATCAATAACAGATGGTTTGATACATAAAATGTTTTGTTTTGGTGTTAATAAGGAAATTAGAATATTTCCTGAATAATATAAAAAAGTTGGTTTTGCTAGGAAAAATCTGAATTAAAAAACGTTCAATCACGATACATATACGTTTTGTTATCAAACCTGGCATATTGCATTTGCAACGAATAAGAAATAAGAGACGGTCGACAAGAAGAAAATTGAACTTCATCATCGCAACCGTACCCTGAAAAAATTACAACCCACGACTGTTTTATGATTGCAAATAAAAGAGCATGATGACAAACTTATCAATCTAAATTTTTAGCTTATGCTATAAAGCACTGATGACTGTTTATGAGGTTAAAATTGAATGCACATTCAGCAGGTTATAAAAGAAGAAAAATTGCATTTTATTGAAAATTTGATAAGCTAGTATTTACTCATTCTCTTCATGATATATAAGCAGAGATTTTTTCGAGTTAGATACTATTTGATAGAAGAACAAAGTTCATTCTGCAAAATTGTATGTTTGGGTTTTCCCTAAACATTCCTTTTATAGAAACTTTACAGTTGAAAGTTGAGTAACCCTGTACAGTGTTTGTCTTTATTTCCGCATATTCTTCGCACACATGTTAACTCTGAGCTCTCTTTTAACAAAAGATTCAATTAAAATTTACTAATCAGCATTGAAAACTACACATGATCACACCCGCACTCTGAATTCAGCCTAGGAAAATAACTTATTTTGAACGTTGTTGTAATATACTTTTTTGTACTTGATTTTGTCAAAGACAACGAAATGGAAATAGTAATAATTTGACAAGAGCAACTACCAGTGTACTAACTTCACAACTTACAGTAATTAAACCCCATAGACGTCCTAATCCACCAACAAATATAAGCAAAGCAACACGACGTAGTTCACTTCCGTCTCGATCAATTGTCGGTAAGCTACGTAGTAAAAGTATTCCCATGAGCTTTTTCTAACATATGAGGGCCACGAAATATGCCACTTAAACCGAAAAATATTCGAATAATGGAAGTATTACCAATGACAGTCTGGAGAGCCCAACGTTGATTTGTTTTCATCATTTTGTTTCTACTTTCGAACAGTGCAGCGTTCTATGTGAAACTGATAAGTAACAAAAGTCAAGTTCTATCTTATCTACTCGTATCTTTATAGATGTTGTTTTTTTTTTATTAAAACAGCTTTTGTTCCTAGGTAAAATAATACACAAATAGTATCTGAAGTTGAGATTTTAAAATATTTCCCGTAATTAATCAATAGATTTCAGTTTATTTCCTTTCGTACGCAAATATGATTAATTCGAAGTTAAAAGCACGATTCATACTTGAAAAAACAAATTTGTTTTATATGCATTTCGAGAAATGAAAAGAATTTTTTTCTTTCTTTCCTGTTGTCAATATCTATTTCGTAACCTTGTCTTACAATAAACCATATACATAAATATGTAGATATGAAGCGTCGTTTCGAAATAAACTCTTTCTTTTTCTAAGTATGAAGCAAATCGAAAACAATTTGTTTCCTTTGTTATTGTCTTTTATCACGTCGATAACATGTCATTGCCAGTAAAAAATCTTATATCTGATAAACATAAGCAAATTCTTTACAAGTTCAAATTAATAAAACGCAATGTCAACGATTGTGTTCAGGTATCGATCAATTAACTGATTCACTCGAACGCTTAGAACATGCATCGCCTATATTTATACGAGCAGAAACACGTCCTATTCTTAATAGTCTTTTTCAATGTCTTGATGATTGTAATGATTTTCTAGAAACATTACAATATTCTGATCGATCATATGAAAATGAGCGTGAAAATTTTGCAGAATTAAGCAAACGTCTATCACAACTAGGGCAAGACTTATGTCTTGCATTGAATATTCAAGAATTATTCGAACAAAAGCAAGATCGAGAAGATCAACGACAAGATCCTCAAGAATAAAATAAAATGCCAGAACAAATATTGCAACAGCAACAAGACCAAAATTAATTAATGCATAAAATGATTCATGAAAAATTCGAATCTGCTTGTCATCATTTAGAACAAAAACTATGTATTCCATCAGATTCAAGTCAAGAAAAATATGATTTTCTACACATTCCATTGAAAGATTTATCTATACAGAAAAATCTTTTAGGTACCGGAGGATTTGCTCATGTGTACAAAGGTATTTGGTTCACATACTATGATCAAGTCGCAATCAAAGTTTTACGGATCAATGATCTATTAGACAATTCAGAGTCACAAATTCAATCTGATTTCTATCAAGAAATATCTACTTTGTATAAAACACATTATGAACATGTTGTTACAGTTCTCGGAGCATGTATTGAGCCAATTTTTTATGCAATCATTATGAGATATATGCCTCTGAGTTCACTATATGATGTTTTACATAAAACAAAGCCAGATATCACATTATCTTGGTTGGATCGATATTCTTTTACTTGGCAAATGACTAAATCAATAAATTATTCACATAATCTCAATCCATCTATCATTCATCGTGATATAAAATCAATGATTTTTAATGCAACTCAATGCATCGGAACAACATAGATTTCTACTCAAAATTTGCGATTTTGGTTTAGCAGAATTTCGTCATGTAAGTTCGTCAAAATCAATCATCAATTCAACATGTTATCAAAGTGTTGATTCATTTGCATGGAAAGCACCATAATTAATTATGCGTCGCGACAAACATTCAAAACAAACCGATGCTTACAGTCTTGGAATAACCATGTGGGAAATAGCAACTGGCTTAAAACCATGGAATGAATGTGTACAATGTAAAACAGCGAGATAGAATGAAAAGAATTGTTGGAGATATCGATTATCAACAAAAAGAAAACCCTCAGTAAGTGTTAGACAAAATGTTTATCGTAGCTTTGAATTTTTCATTGGATTAGTTCGACAAGAATATCCATACCAGCAGCGGAAGAAAATCGACTAACAGGTAGATTGCCAAATATTATAATTTTTGATAATCGGCCAACTGCGGAGGAGTCAATGACTACTGCATCTTCAACGTCTACACTAAGTAGCAAGCCTGCTTACATTTCGGCGCGTCATCGATTTGAACGGTTACTATCAAAATCTGACGGAGATGTATCGATAAAGTAAATCCATATAAGTAAAATAGTTATAATAGCCGGTATACAATTCCTATATAGTGATAGTCAAATGATTAGCAACGCCATTAGAAGTCTATCGAACTCAACCACCGGTACAAGGTAAAATATATCAGTTAATAATTATAATAAACATCTTTCTTATTTTTTAGTAGGAGTATTATTGGCGCGATCGGTACATCGTCAGATGATGAAGATCTCAGTAATGATAGTGTGACTCTTACCTGTAGATTTTAAGAAATATGTTTTATTCATACTTAAAGTTGATGCACAGTTTTTCTTTCTTTATGAAAAATGTATTCTCAATTTTCTTGATTAATTGCTCAATACGAGTTTATTCAATCGCTTGGATATAAGTATAAATAAAGTGTGTAAAGTCGCCGATGAGTAACCTTTACAAAGTTTTTTCTTCAGCAAAAATTGAGAAGCAGTCAGACCGATTTTTCCTATATAATTCTATATGTGTATATGCAAAGAAATTTGTAAGTTCTTGACACCTATAATGCGAGCAGAATCAGCAAAAACTTGTAGTAATAAGAAAACCTATGACGTCATCTATATTCCTGTAACGGTTATAGTTCTGTATAGACTATGTGAAACAAATGGTAATTGCCACCTGCGGCATCGTGCAGAGTAAGTGATATCCTATTATTTTAACTGGCAGACAGACGAGATAAAAAGAAAACTTGATTTCATAGTTTTTTGATGTTAATTTTTGAAAAAATGAAGAACACGAGAAAATAATGAAAGACAAATAAAATCCCAAAAACATTCTTTCTTTCTTTCTTTCAAAAACTTGATCAAATGATTTCACATAGGTGTAATTTTGATAGGAATCTAGCTCTAATTAACACACAGAACCAAACAATCACAAGCCACAGCCGAGAAACGCCTATATTCACATCCATAAATACCTTCTTCTTTTATCGATAGTGACTTTCAATTTCGATTATTCATTTTGAAATATACTATAAAAATATTGCCAACAGTCAGTGTGAATGTTTTTTAAACAAAAAATCTTTTTTTTTATGACTGACCTTAAATTTGATTTTGCTTTCTATTTATGTGGCAGTGTGTGCGTATAGTCGTTTGAATTAAATGAAATATGACGAAACCTGTGTTTCTTTTTTCAACAAAAGCAAAAGTTCATTTCTCTATTTCTCACACATCGAAAGTATTCTTTTATTAGAGGACTTCAAAAAAATGTCTTAGCTAGTAAAATTTGAAAAAGCACATAAGCTCATCTTGCTATGTTTCTCTATATTAATTGTTGCTTACATTTTGCATGTAAGCATATTTTTCTTCGTTAGTCAATATAATATTTATTTCAGGCGTTGATAAATTTTGCGAAGCCCACCAAAGCAAATAACTTTAAAATAATAATATCAATCAATATATCGTCACAGTTCAAGGTTTGAGTTACACCCTCATTGCCCTCGATTTCGTACTTGAATGGTTGTTAATATTAAAACAGATTTTACCCAGATCAAATCTACCAATGAAACAGAGTTCAAGCGTAAAATTGATGAATACAGCTTATTTTCGCCTCGAGTATGGCACAATAGAATTTTGTTTTTGAAGATATGCTGTATATCAGTTTGCATCCTTAGTTGCATTAATAAAATTGAAAAAAATACGCAAGTGATAATAAAACAGACTTCGAATTTTGTTTTCTTTATTCATAGACGACACATCCGTATTTCGTTTTATCATTCATCTTGATTTCACTTCTGGCTCTAGTCAGCATCCTAATTTATGACGGTACTCTCGTTTGAAAACTGTCATTTATCTTTTTAGCAATCAATAAATCGATATCCCTTTCCGAATTTCCAAGACCACTCCTTGACAGCGGCTATTGATGCATGAAGTTTAAAATCATTCATATTTGTCTCTGGCGCAGACATCAATCAATTCTACATTAAAGACAATATTTTCGATAGAACACACAAACATTTATGTTTCAATAGAAATAAAACAAATTGAGTTTTGAGAAAAGGCCAAGGAAGAGCTAATATTATACATTCATTCGACAGTTAATGTTTTCGATTCAAGAATCGATAAATATATACTAAATATAGAAAATGCATGAGTGAGAGAGCTAGACAAAACTATCATATCTTATCTTTACAATGAAATAATTTCAATGAACTAGTATACAGACAATAGTTGAATATTTCATATAAGTTTAAAGCAATTTTTGTACATTCTCTTCAATAAAACTTGTTTTCATGTAGCATCCTTATCAAATATTCTGCGAATTTTTATATGGTCGTTTTATAAACTGCACGAACAAATTTCTTTTTCGTTCTCTGTTCATCAAAAATCATAGAATAGTCGTTTAGCTGCATTGGCATCCAATGCAAACACTGCTTATATATAAGTATACATTGCCATCCAAAAAAAAAAAACAATCCTTATTTTTTAAAACAAAGTATAAAGTCCATCCAATCCAAAGGAACCAGGTCACATTCTCCATTTTACATTATCTTTTTCCTCCTCCTGTACTTTGATCAAACTTTTTAGTCAACATTTTTTTTTCTTCTTGCTCGTTCTATAAGTGCACCGTCTGTTGAAGTAAGGTACATGTATCGATAAAATACCTATCATTTTTCTTTTTTTCTTTCTTTCTTTCTTTCTTTCTCCGTTTCATTTGCAATATATTGCCTTTTATAACTTCGCTGCACTGCAATAGTGCATTACACTTCTTTAGTTCGACGCCATTTCTTATTCTATTTTATATCCATTATATCGTAATTCATTTATCAGTTGAGAAAATTCATCTGCATTCTAAATTTACATTTCGAGGTGAAACGAACAAGTAATATGCACTACCATTCGCATTACTTTCGACGCATAGTCATTTATATATGCCGACACTGTTTTCTTTCTGTAATTAGAAGTCAGACGTATATATGAGGCATAGACATACACTTTTACATCAGAGAAAAATAGTAAGATCCCAATGGCATCATGCACACTTCTAATGAGCTATATTTTTTTCTTCAATAAATTTCTTTTACGCAGTTTTTCAATTTCTTTTAGATTGAATAATAATAAAAATGGACGATATCAACGTTCCTTTCGTCGAAGTACACTACGTTTCTATTCAAAAGTTAGGAGATATTCCAGTAATTAAAGGTGATTTTCATTCACTTCCAAATACGGTACAAAAATGGATTGCCCAAATGGTACGACACAATTTTTTCAACATTTTAAAAGTCCAAAAATTATTTTTTTAAAATGTACTCTAGGTACAATTGTGTACACCACGAGGTGTATATATTTGTGATGGATCTGAAGAAGAAGCTGATATGGTAACACATAAACTTCTCGAACGTGGTACACTAACAAAGTTAGAGAAATATGAAAATAATTATATTTGTTGGACTGATCCTCGAGTAAGATTATTTGTAATTTTTTTTTCAAATTTTATTTCATATTCGACTTTTCTAGGATGTTGCTCGTGTTGAATCAAAAACATTTATTGTTACTGATGAGAAATATGCATCTGTACCACATTCACGTGAAGGTGCTAACTGTGTTCTTGGTATTTGGATGTCGCCGGCGGAAATGAAAAAGGAACTTGACGATCGACTTCCAGGATGTATGGCTGGACGCATGCTTTACGTTATTCCATTTAGGTAAATAAACACAAAAAAAGTCGACGATAGGAAATTCTATTAAATCTTACTATTGTAGTATGGGGCCGATTGGTTCACCATTAAGTAAAATTGGTGTACAAGTAACCGATTCGAATTATGTTTTACTTTCAATGCGAATTATGACTCGCGTTTCATCGGAAATCTGGTCTCATCTTAAACATGATGAAGAATTTGTGAAATGTCTTCATTCCATGGGTAAGAAGAATTTATTTTATTTTGAAAGAAAGCAAAAAACTAAACAACCGATTTAATATTAATTTAGGTTGTCCTCGTCCACATGCGCAAAAAGTTGTTAACAATTGGCCATGCAATCCAGAAAAAACGCTTGTAAGTTAATAATCATAAAATATAAGTAGACTAGTGTAAAAGGGATTCCGAATTTCGAAACACTTATTATCTTAATTTATTTAAAAAAATTTTCGATATTGACTTGAAAATTTTTTAAATAAAATTTTCTATTTTAGATCGTTCATTTTCCCGATATTCGTAAAGTAATTAGTTATGGTTCTGGTTACGGTGGCAATAGTTTACTTGGTAAAAAATGTTTTGCTTTACGTATTGCTGGCCGCATCGCATACGATGAAGGATGTATGTAATTGAACATTTGAGAAAAAAAACATCATTACTGTTTTTCCTTCACTTCTAGGGTTTGCTGAACATATGTTAATTATGTCAATAACAAATCCAAAGGGCGAAGAAAAATTTGTTGCTGCTTCGTTTCCATCAGCATGTGGTAAAACAAATTTAGCTATGTTAATGCCCACCATGCCTGGTTATACCATTAAATGTGTTGGTGATGATATTGCATGGATGAGATTCGATAAAGAAACTGGTGAATTACGTGCTATCAATCCAGAAGCTGGATTTTTTGGTGTTGCACCGTACGTAATCTTCAGCCTTTTTTTTTTATAAATTACAATAATTTTCTAATCAGTCAATTCTTTTTAGTGGTACAAACATGAAAACAAATCCTAATGCCATGTTAACTTGTATGAAAAATTCTATATTTACAAATGTCGGTGAAACTGCTGATGGCGGATTCTTCTGGGAAGGTCTTGAAGATGAAACACCCGCTGGCACAGAAATTTTATCGTGGACAGGTGAACGATATAAATTAGGTGAAGATAAAACAAAAAAATCAAGTCATCCAAATGCACGATTCTGTTGTCCAGCTCGACAATGTCCAATTATTCATAGTAAATGGGAAGATCCAGCTGGCGTGCCTATTTCAGCTATTATATTTGGTGGACGAAGACCTGAAGGTGTTCCATTGGTTATTGAAGCATTCGATTGGAAACACGGTGTTTTTCTTGCTTCACAACTTAAATCTGAAACAACAGCTGCTGCTGAACATACAGGCAAACAAGTTATGCACGATCCATTTGCTATGCGGTAATGAAAATGCTTTTGAAAAAAAAGTTCTTTTAATTTGAAATTTTATTTTAGACCATTCGTTGGTTATAACTTCGGGCGTTATATTCAACATTGGCTTGATTTCGAAAAGGATCCAAAGAATAAAGTAAATATATTTGTTGCAGCTGATAAAATGGAATTATTTTACGAACAATTCTATTTAGTTACCTAAAATCTTTCATGTCAACTGGTTTCGTTTGGATGAAAATAAGAAATTTCTTTGGCCTGGATTTGGTAAATAATCGATCGAAATTGTTTGATAAAATAATTATGACTTCATTTTTAGGTGATAACATCCGTGTACTTGATTGGATTATTCGAAGAACTAACGGTGAAGATATTGCTGATGTTTCGCCAGTTGGTTTATTACCAAAGAAAGGTTCAATTAATCTCGATGGTCTTTCGGTTGATTGGGATAAATTACTTAGTATACCAAAAGATTATTGGTTAAGCGATATTGAAGAAACATACAAATGGCTCGATGACCAAATGGGCGATGATTTACCACAGGAAATTCGTGCACAAATTGAAAAACAAAAACAACGTTTGGCCGAAACAAAATAAAATCATTTATCATAGAACAATTGCGGCATAGTCCTCTTTTAAAGTAGATTGTAATAATTTCATATAAGCGTGTAGATCCTATAGTCATACTCTTAAGATAAAATAAATTGTTTAAGTTTCCAACGCATATCTTTGTGTATACATTTAATCATATGAAATTCTCATTAAAAAAGAATAATGAATGACTGATTCCTTTAACAAAATATATTTTAAGTTAGATGCAATTTAAAAACCATTTAATGTTTTGTAATAAAAACCTTATGTTCACTAGGTAAAAAATACTGGTTTTTAATGCATCGTTATATGTTCTATTGAGTAAGAAAAGAACAGATTTTCTGCAAAAAAAAATAATAAGTAATGGAGCAAAAAAAAGTCGAATATTAGCGATTGCTCTGTGTTTACCGACTTTTTATTTTCTGGATTAGCTGATCGAGATAGACGAATTTGATGTTGGATGAGTAGAAATAGCATTTCGATGAGTTCCATTATCGTAAGAAAACTAACTCCAATCCAAGGACTAGATAATCCACCTACATTCGAAAAAATATCGAAGGGCTGTAATGTTGGCGTTTGCGTATAGGTTTCAATCAAACTCGATTCGCTGAATAGTTCTAATGACAAATAACTTGAAAAAATATGTTCACGCCATCGAGTTGACCAATCATCTGGCAACGGTATCGATGTATTCTGAACGAATTCTCTAATAAAAGGTATGAGCCATTCTGGCAGTGTCCCTGATAGTGACGATTTTACAACAAATTCTGTAGTCGAGCATTGCTGTAGGCAATGAGAACAATAAAGATCTTGAATCGATTGTGTCAAATCGAAATCATTCATAGCTTTATTAAAACAAGGGTTAGTTACGTTGCATAGACGGGTTGCAATAGTCTTATCTGTTACAGGTAAAACTATCGTACGGGCATTCCACTGTAAAGGACTCACACAACCACATTGATCATTGCTACAAATAAGTAAATATACAAAAGCAACAAAATATTTGTTTTCATTATGTATGTCAAGAATAGAAAGCACGTACATATATGCTTGTGAACAAAGCATATTACGAAGTTCTTCTGAATAGACATACTCTGCACCGTCATATTTTTCGAACATAATTTGCAGGGCACAAGGAATTTCGTTTGTACATGATGAATAAGGTTCAGATAAAAATTGAATATCTCTTTTTACATATGACAATCGATGTTGAAAACCGGGTGCTAATGTCATGCCTGCTTCTTCAATCATAGGTAACTGTGTATTGTCATGAGCCATGGCCAACATCGCTACACCTAAAAGTCAAAACATGTTGATAGAAATTTGCTTCATAAATGAACTTATGAGATGTAAAAATAATCATCTTCTAACATCTGTTTTGTTCTTATATGTCTACTATTGCGTTTAAAATATGAAAACCTACTTTATTGCTCTAACTACCTATATACATCGGGAAGAGATTAGAAATTCAAATAATAATATAACAACTGTAAGTCCAGCCGTTTTCAAACAGAAAACGTTTTTTCTTGATCGAATGTTTTTTATGCATGTAGCTCATCGTTTGATCAAAATCGAAAATCTTTAAAGTAACATCCAATACATTTAACTCATATTTTCTTCGAGATATAAATGTTATTCGAATAGAATGAATCCGAAATAAGATTTGATCCTACCTTCGGTTACTGTAGGAACATATTGATGATCATGAATATAGAGTCGTAATAATAATTTGCCAGTACTGTCTGTTTCATGGTTGTAAAGCAGACTGCCATTTTTTCTTTTAGCATTAAATTTATAACAGCGACCAAATTCAGCGGAGTCGAATCCAATAAAATCGTTGACTGAACATCGAATTCCAACATAGTAACAACTCATCCACATCGATTCCAATGGAAATACATATTGTCCTAGTGATCCGTCTTCATTGACAAGAGATGAAAAGTAAAATCTCATAAAATCTGCTAGTTTGAGTATGACCGAATTACTACTTGTAGCTGTCAGATTTAAATGTGCAGTATATTCATTATATGTTTTGAGTAGTGCATCGGCGCGAATTCCACCAGCATTACAGATAGTGAATGCTGGAAAGTGTTGTATGCGTGCATTTGTAATACTCACTTTTGTTTGCGATGGATACTCGAAATACGCACAGAGCGCTTCTGTAATGAAATACACCATAGCACTTGTAAATGCCATGAATGGTATAGCCCAAAATATACGATTTGGCATACTTCGACTACGAGTGATGCCAGGAATATCATGAGTTGTTGCATTTAATGCAAATTCTCGAAGGATGGAAATTCGTAGGTGGTGGATTGATGCATCCTGTACACTTGGATTCATCGGATTATTGGAGACGACATGCGCAATAATATCTCCTGTTGCTACCATCATTTTTTGGAAACGTATAATCTAAAATATAGCGAACAAATAGTTTGATGTCTTTGTGAAAAACTTGTAATTATGTATGTGATGAAAAGTTGGTATTATTCGTCAGGCTAATTACTAACTAATGAATATTGTTTGCTGAGAAACTGATCTTGAGCAATAACTAGTGAATGAATCGATTTCGAGATCTTATCTAGACATACTAATCTACTAAAATTGAAAACTCGTATTGTAAAGACGGTGATATCGAAGTAGTACGCAATCAGATGAATTCATTCAACATCTTAGTAGTTATTATAATTAAGTTACTATTGTTTAGTGTTATTCTGTTGCCAAGAGAGGCAAAGGAATTCTTTTTTTCAACCTTGATTATACAGCGTTGAGTGCATTCGAAAGAAGATCAATTGCTTCGTATTTGAAAGCCGTTGAAATCAAATCGCTTATTTTTTGTTTTATTTAGAATAATAATTATAGGCAGGTGAATGAACTAGTATTAGGATCTTAACTGAAAAAATATATATTTGCTTTCTTAAGCATATTTTTTGATAGTATGAAATAGATCATTTCCGTGGCTGATTTGAAAGCGAATCGCAGTTCTTCATAAAGCTATTCGTAGCTAATTTTGCATTAGTGCTTTTGTTTTCATCAATAAAACTGCAATTAGAGAAGCAGAGCATATTAATGACGTGACAAGTTGAAAGCACAAAAAATATTGCTCATGGTCAAAATATAAAGTGTGCATATATTATAAACATTAGAAGTTCTCAAGTTCTTCGTTACTATTTGGTTTTCTATTTTTTCATTACAGTTATGCATAGGAACTGTAGTAACAAAACTCAAGTCTATCATATTTTTACTTATACTCTATGTTCTTTTAACCTTTACAAAACCATCGTAGACAAGGACTGTTAAATGTATATGTAGATGATCTCTATTACAAATGAATTACCGTATTAATAGGTTTCATTCTATTGAGACCACAAGTGGTGTGATACTGTAAGTGGGATAAACGCATAGAATGTCTTTTATTTGTAATTACAAAAAACAACAAGTACTTACTGCAAACCGGTGACAATCAAAAATAATCATACAGATTGATATTTTCTTTAGCTTTTTCTGGCAATAGCGTCTCGACTTCTAGGGTTTGACTGACGCGGTAGTGGTTTAAAGCGCTTGTTCAAAGTGACTGCTTTTTGTCAATTGACAACACGTTAAGGTGAAATAGTCCATAAAAATACTATTAATCAGAACAGAAGTGTAGACCTTGAAATGTCTCATGTAATTAGTGGAAAACACTGTCGTAGCTAAAGAATTGAACAAAGCATAGAGCACTACGGTTGTAAAAATACGCATCGCCATATATTGAAAGAGAAATATTTCTATCAGCTTATCGAGAATAATATGATTTTTAAATTCGGGCTAAGAAATAGCAGCATAAGAAATGTTACTAATTCTTGCGTAAAAAAATATTATGTTACTGCGAAATACCAAGTACTGAAAATAACAAAATTATAAAAGATTCTTTGAGGATTTATTTATGCAGATAACACCCAGTTATAAGACTCATTTATTTTGAGATAATTAAACATTTTCACGTATCAAAACATTTTGTTTGGCTGATTTCATCAATGCAATAGTGCCGCGCACATCTTACTAGTTAAATGTTTATTGTTTAATTGTTAGTAACAAGTCATAAATGCCAACGAAGAAAAGTAACATCAAACAATTGTTGTTTCTTTAAAATAAATATTTCCTAGAATTATACTATCATTTCAAATGATATGTATTTTAAATCGTGAAGTTTATGGTACTGAAGTGCATGCACACTCATTGGAAAGAATGAACTACGGTAGTGTTTCGAAAAGCGTATGAATATATATGACTGAACTGCGGGCAATATTTGCATATTTCACAAGAAATAATTGCTTTTTTCTAGAATACTCTTTATTTTGTGACAAAATTATACGTAATAGTTATTATCATTTGAGAATTAAGTGAATGGTTTATTGTCTCTTCTAACATTTCAAGCGTTTGTGATTTTCTAAAACAATAATTAACATATAGCTCAGCAACAAACGAACTCATAGGTAGCATAAGCTAGGTAGCCTTTCTAGTAGTTATAAGCCGGTAAACGGACATAAAGTGAAGTCGTATTTTCTATGACATGTTTCTTTTCTGTATATGAGCTATCAGAGGTCCTGCATAGTTTTATATCGAAAGTTCCCCAATTTTTGTTGATCTATAGAAAAGGAAAACAAGATAAATAACATCTATTTTCTTCTCCGTTTTTCAAATACTCATCCATCTTCTTTTCAGATTTGTGTAGGTTCATTGGTGTTCTTTCTTCTCGTGTTGCAAACTCAATCGAGTGAATCTGCTCGCCTGATTTATTTAATTTTTTTTTATTAAGTATATCTTGACGTGTCTATGTGCCGAGAGAAGCTGATTTAGATTAAATTCAGAGAGTACATGACAAGAAGTCATTTGATACCAAACTCAATTTATTTAACTGAAATTTTAATACCTTCCGAGGTGAAATACCAGTTCTATTCAATATCACCCAATCAGATCGCTTGTTTTTATTGGATCTTTTTCACTTTCTTCTATGTTGTTATGTTGAGTTGCATTGAATTTGCTCAATGGTAACATGTCATTTTGAGAAATTCTTCGAGGAAAAACATTTTTTTAAAATTGCGAGTGATTATTTAACATTTATCTACGTATGAGTTCACATCTATCCGAACACCGGTACAATCGATACACTCATTGCTAACACACCCATAAGAGAACAGCTTCTAATTGATCACAGTATTATAGAGAACCATTGGAGTGTGAACATTTTTATTCGAAGATATCCCCCCCCCCTTCCAAAAGCAATAGAATATAGTGCCAAGAATTAAGATTTCAATTTAAGTATAACAACGCATAGTAATATCAATATTTACTTGATTTGATTAGAACTGAAAAATATGTTCCGAGTTTTGTTGTAAAAAAGCAACATCGGAAGACTATAATTTCTGTCTGCTTCACAGAGATATGCGATGCTTATGACAATTGATTGATGCAACGAATCCACGTATTTTCTTAAAACTTGCTTGAAACAAAAGAAAATAGAAAGAATTCTCGTTGAAAGCAACAGATAACTTTTGTGTTATCATCTATCACTGGATATTGCATGCTATAGATCTCTCCTTGGTTGATAAGTTCGTACTTCGAAATAGAAAATAACAATTCAGTCAAATCTAATTGATCATCAATCAATTTTTTAGTTAAGCCATATGATACTGCTCTTTGTTTCCCAGTCGACAAGAAGACACATAAACTTTATATTAAATCATTGTTGAATATTCTTTAACGCTCTCTTGTGTTCTACAATCATGTGAAGCCCTATAATTAGTCTGTTATAGTAAACTCTTTAAAATAAAACCCGTTAGTTTTTATTATTGAGACATTGTTGAGAAATATTCTTACAACTGATTATTCATATATTTTAATCATGATACATTTTACATGATGGTTCAAAATGTTTTTCCCAATCGGAAACTACGATTTTACCGCTGTCATTACTGCTTTTCTGTGAGTATTTTTCAAGTTTTGGATGTGATTCCATTGGTTTTTGATATAAGATATCTGTTCTTAAGACATATTTAATACCTGATTGAACTTTTGATCCTTCATGGAGAATATTATGAATATTTACCAAGGCCATTCCTTGTTTCGGTTGAACTATATGAACAGCTTGTTTATTTTCAATATCTCGAAGGAATCGACAATGTTGTTTATCGGGATAAAATTTCGTTGCACCACCTTGAAAGTCATCATTCAAGTAGATTAGCAATGTTAAAAACGAATGTTGCTTGTACGCTTTTTGTGATTCATTATTATATGTTATAGTACGACTATAACTACCATCCATATGTTCAGGATATTCTTCGTCTTTATTATACTTATAGAACCGTAGACGATCAACACATCCGGCAATCGACCATTCACGACCTCCAATATCTTTTGTAAAATAAGCATTATCTGCCATCCATTCTAAAGTTCGAGGAAGCACTGGTGATACCCGTTGAAATAATTTATCAGCTAATGATTGATCAGTGATAACTGTATATTCATTAGTTCTGGCATCTTCGCGATGTGTACGACCATGGCCACCACCTATAAGTATTTGTCTCACTTTTATCTGAACTGCAGCTCAAAAAGAACCACGAGTATGATGTAGATATTTAAAGAAAAATAACAATCTATACACGTGTTATGACATTACCTGAAGGAGGACTTAACTTAAAACCAGATTCTTCTGCTCGTGCAATCAATTGCTGACATTCAACTGCAGATAAAAAATTTGAAATGGTACTGATACGTTCTCCATCAATTCGTTCGCGTTCAAGATGCAGCATGTTTATTGTTATTGCTCAGTAAAATGCATCACTATTAAATAGTCTGCATGTACCATATGATGAAATTACTCATCCCCTTTTTTTCTTCGTAACAACAAATTGTCATAAACATGCAGAACAGAAAAAATAATTGCACAATTACTATGCAAGATAGTCTCGATTGATTTCATAACAAAAAATAAGCACGATGAAAATTAATTGCTTGAAAATAGTTTGAATAAGCAGTATGATCACCTAGGTATCAATCAATAAAGAAATATCGAAAGAAAAAAAAGATATGAATAATATTCGAAAATTAACATCGGTAACAAATATGAGCTGCGTTACTTATTTAGACTATTTATTATATTTATTTAATTAAAATGACTAAGTTGCTTTTAGGGATCTATTGTGATTAGATTTTTGCCCAAAAATATTCTTCCCTAAAAGGAAAACACATAGTCGAATAAGTGTCGTCTGAATGTATTTCGAATAGTTCAAAGTTCGCTTATATTTTTCTGAAAGTTGAAAAAGTATTTTAACAAGCGACATTGATGATCAAGAGTAGGCATGCTTGTGTGTGTCTGTTCTTATCTAAACCACACCCAGCATCGGAACACACGTGCTGTATTATACTGATAGTGAAAAAAGTAAGTAGAAAAAAAATTATCTTAGTCCAATCTTTTCGATCGAGGCATTATTCTTCGGCTACAATTTCTTTCACAGAAAAAGAAACCTGACCTTCGATTAGGAGTAGAAAAAGCTTGTATAATTAATCTTACTTGGCAATACTCTAACATCGATGGCTATTATTGTTTCAGGTGATAATTGGATATCTCATCAGAGTAGAGAATTAATAAATGTCGATACTACCAGGTTATTTTATTTTATTTTACAGCACCACGAAGTTATCCAAGTCAATGATTTGCTTTCTGGAAATTTTTATAATTATCTATATTAAAGTATGGTAGCACAATTTAAAAATTTTACTTTGTTACTTCTGAAAAGTATTGTTGCTGTTAATTAGTACGATTATAGACTTGAATGATTATTTTCCTCATCAGTTATTATTGGAAGAAAATAAAATTGATTGTACGCTTTTTAATGAGATATTAGCACATTCAAATTATATTTTATTGTCTTGTTCTACAAAGTTACTCTATATCACTCCCCTCGAAAGACGTTTACCGTCGACTGTAAGCCTCAGTGAAGTACTAATAAGCATGACTTGACATTATTTATCAAGCAATATATGATATATAATAATAGTAATAATAATAATAGCTCCCATAGGCTTATCGCTCGTTGGGACCAGCGCTGGGCTCCACGTGCGCTAGTTTCTTTCGTCTTTTTCTTTTTACGGGCAATGGTATCTGCACTCCTTTCCGTCCAACGCTTCTCCCATATGAGTTGGCGATCATCATAAGTATCACGTAATTGTGACATCTATGACGGGGTTGCTTTTGACTCTGTATATTGACTAGCGATGCAATCAATACACTATCGGATGAGTCATCTGAGACAAGTAGCCGTTCGCGATGTGTCCAGGATCATTACATAACTGGTGGTACTGAGGTTTGAACACAGTATATTGTGAATATGTGTCGAACAACATATCCACTCAGTCATGTCGACTCAATATATGATATAGCAGTATGATTTCTCTTCTTCTTGTCAGATCTTCGATACGCCTGCCAAGTATTTTTTCTCTCTGGGCCACATTCCATCCCTTAGGTGTTCAGTTATTTTATCGTAAATGACCATAGCATTTTAATTTGATTCAACTTCGCTTTTTTTTACATATTTGAGTCATATCGTCATTACTTGACAATTTTTTCAGTATCAGTTTGTTTCTTATCTCAATCGCTGACGTAAAATTGACCCATATATGCAGAAGTACATAGACACACGAGAATCGTAAAATAGCTGAGCACAGTTAAAACTGATGGTACTTATGACATCTTGCTATGGCGAATTTATTAAAATGAGATTGTTAAATTAAATACATACGTATAATTCATTGTAATTTTCAGATCTTTAAATCAAGTCGATTTTCTTAATAAGATTTTATATTTGTTTTTTGCAGATATTCTTTGGTAAATAATAATAATCATGCTGCAATCTTATCTTATTAGATCGAGAATAGTATCGGTTATATTAATCCCTCAATCTATTCTCTTCAACCAAGTAAACACATTGACTTATAAAGCACGTATTCAACGGTTGTACAATGATGGATCAGATTTAAAACAACAAACGGTTGAAATAAATTCTACAGAACACATTCGCCGATGTTCTCTTCATAAAAATGATGATATTTGGACTTTATATAAAACAGTACATCCCAATGTAAAAACGCTCGGCGATGCTTTGAATGAAGGTTATATTAATTCAAAAGATGGACCATGCGTAGGCTCTATTCAAACATCAAATGGTATCGATTCATTACAATGGCTTTCCTATTCTGAAGTTGCGGAAAAATCTCGATACATTGGCTCATATTTATGGGCAAAAACGAAATTAATACCCATACAATCGAAAGTAGCTATTCTATCATCGAATCGTTCTGAATATCTGTTCGCTGAACAAGCCTGTTATCAATATGGATTTGTTGTTGTCAGTCTATATACGAGTTATGATTTCGCAACTATTTTAAGTGTTCTTCAAAGAACACAAGCTGAAGTACTCATCGTCGATAATCTACAACGTATTCGAACATTTCAAGATGATTTATTTAAAAATAGCCAAATCAAAGAGATACTAGTTATGGATGACGCAAACCACGATGAAACGAGCACAATTCGTTCGTTTTCAACAATATTCCAAACAATGAAGCATACGGATTTATGTGAACGACCAACAATTGATCCAGATAGTATTGCAACATTTATTTTGACAAGTGGGACAACAGGTAAAATTCAAAAATACCAATGAGTGAGCGTAAATATCAATCTGTTTTGTTTTGCAGGCGAACCCAAAATTGCTATGATATCCCATGAAAATCTCTTAGCAACTGCGAAAGGTCATATTCTACGTCTAGGAAAAGCTAATATAAAAGCGCCATTAACTGATCGCCACTGTTCATTTTTACCTATGGCTCATGTATATGAACGATTTATACTCTTGGAAGCTTTATTAGCTGGTACACAATTAGTATTTTGTCCTGAACCTGAAAAACTTCCATACTACTTGTCAATTGTAAAGCCAACTCAAGCTTCTGTTGTACCTCGTGTTTTGAACAAAGTTTACGATGCGATTATGACGGAAGCTAATAAAAGTACAATAAAAAAGTTTCTAATTCAACAAGCATTACGTGAACGACCATGGTTTCTATCATATTTTGTATTTCGTAAAGTCAAAAAACTGTTTGGTAACGATTTAAAAGTCATGATAACCGGAGCAGCACCAATCACACCAGATGTCATGCATTTTTTTCGTATTGCGCTTGACATGCCCATTATGGAAGGATACGGCCAAACAGAATCAGCCGGCGCCGGTACAAGTACACATCCAACAGATACATCCTACGGTACAATAGGCTCACCAGTGCCCGTTACCGATATTAAACTGGTCGATGTACCCGATACAAATTATCGAAGCGACAACAATCAGGGAGAAATTTGTGTGCGAGGTCCAAGCATTTTTAAAGGTTAATTGAATTGCATTGTTTGTAGAAATGATTTTCAAGATTTTGTTTCTTCTTCTTCTTCTTCTTCTCCTTAATAGGCTATTATGGTGATGAAGCGAAGACAAGAGAAGTGCTTGATAAAGATGGTTGGTTGCATACAGGTGACGTCGGAGAATGGACAAGTAATGGAGCATTACGAGTTATAGATCGTGCGAAACATATATTTAAACTAAGTCAAGGACATTATATTGCACCAGAACGTCTTGAAGATGTTTATATTCGTTCTCGATGGATCTCACAGATTTTTATTGATGGAATGCCTAGTGAAGCCACTTTAGTAGCTATCGTTATACCCGATGAAGATTATGTTCGAAAGAATTATCAATCTGTAGTCGCAGGAAAGACATTTGCTGATTTATGCAAGGATGAAAAACTAAAAGAAATTATTTTATCTGATATAAAACGATTGGCGAAAGTGTACAAAGTCAAATTTTATGAGACATTGAGTAATATCTATCTTCATTCTGAATTATTTTCGCAAAACAATGAACTTCTTACAGTAACGCTAAAAACACGACGAGCAAAAGCTCGAACACGCTTTGAACCAATTATTAAATCACTTTACCAAACTGAGTCGGCCACGAAGAACAAATTTTCCTAGAAATAATTTTTTTAATTTTAACTACTGCTAATTTTTCTTCGTGCGCTTCTGTATGTTTTTATTATTTTATTTGAAAAAAACGTACTATTTAATCATATTCGTTATTTTCTTTGATGCATGACTGAATTATAAGCATTGTGATAGCGATGGCGAAGAGCTCTAAAATTGATGGACACTTGTTAATATTAGTCCCACGCTTATGGTAGCACTTGCTACATTTCTCCATGATGCCAATCAGGCTCAACAATTATCAAAATGATGAAAGGTGCAGATAGATAGCAGTTATAATTAATATATATATATGCTTCGTATGCATCTATCTTCAAAAAGCGAACTGAAACGAATGATGACTATTGTGCGAAAACAAATTATGGAATTCTCTCAAAAACGTTAGCAATCCAAAATGATGAATCACTATCTTTTTATTAAAGTTATAGTCGATTGAATTTGTATAAGTGATTCGAAAAAGAACGCAAGAAAATGCAACGTAGTTTCCAGATATTCCGATAGTATTGGTCACTGGTTGGATAACAGAAAAATATTGAATTTCGATTGAAAAAAGTATTTTATAGAATTCTAAGTAACCATTTGCTTGTTATGAAAAGTTTTACGATGAAGCATAAAGTGCTGCTCATATTATGTTTCTATTCGACAAAAAATTCATTGCTTTGTTTCGTTTTGGTTTTCTAATATCAGTGATGTAGAATAAGAAAATATTCTTTTAGTGGTCACTGTTCTTTTTTATGGAAAAATGATCATTCATATTTATTCTGTTTCCAGAGTAAAAAACTACTTCATGTAGTTGTATCAACAAAGGTATTGAGTTTTAATATCTGTATCAATTCATGGCTCAATTGACTTCTGAAAAATAAAAGTTTATTTGTAATCAAGTATTATACACTTTGAAGTGTATAAAAAATAAAAGTTGCCGATTTAATGAAAAAAAAAACAACACAACTATTCTTACAGACTTCGTTTTATTCAATGTAGTTTAGTTATTTTAATACATTAGAAATCGTTCTCCATAATCAAAAATTGCTGCTTTGCGCTTAGATGCGAATTACAGTCAGTGCAAGTCTTTTAAGAAAGAAGAAGTGTGGTCATTTTACTTCTCTCATATTGCTCTGTTGACTTTGACAAGGTGAAAAACACCGATAAGAACTTTTTACGTGAAATAAGAGCTAAAAATGAATCTCTGAACTTTGGTCGACAGTAAAAATGTTGACAGTAAAATGTCGAAAAAAGTAAAAATATCGAAAACTGAGCAGGTATTCATGAAAAATGTCGTGTTCAGAATTGATTCATTATTAAAAGAGATTGGCCCTTATTCGAAGTAATGAAATATAAATCACTGTTGATGTTGTGTGTCGATTCCGTGGCGGCTTCCATATGTATATTTATCACTCGAATAACGAAAAATTGAAGAATAATTTTCTTTTTCTTTTCTATTATATTGTGCTAAGTGACCAATGTCTGATAGAACAATGATAGATGTAAATGAACATAAGTCGCCATCGATCCTACAAGTAGTGACGGACCCAGAAAATCTGTTAGGGGGTGGCGCTCCAGACCAAAAACGGTTTTTCAAGTCTAGTCGAGACAGAACGACTATTTTCTGTGTCAGTATCTGCTGGAGAAAATCGAAAAAGTTTCTTAAGGGGGGTGGCGATGGCCGGGTAGTCTAACTGGTAGATCCGCCACTGCCTACAATAATAACATATTCATCGAATATCTTTCAAAACACTTCTTCTTTTAGATTTTTTAATTTTATTTCTATAAATTTCTTTCGACATTTTTAACTGTCGACCAAAGTTGAGTTTACCCTAAAAATAGTGTTCAAGTAAGTAAGTAGATAATCTTTGATCTTTCTCATGGATGATTGTTTCGTAGAATTTCCATGTTCAGATAGAATAGCTTTCCAAATCGCTAGATCATACTTATTTTAATTGACAGTCTGGTAATACATATACGCACAAAAAAAAGAATCCAAAGAACAATTTGTGGATAGTGCCTGATTTTCTATACCAGATGCTGAAGACAATAGCTTGTGGTCATTTTTCAGAAGAAGCTTTCCAAAATAAAATGCCGATATTAGCACTCTCGTGACACTATCTTAACTATTGAATGGTTTTGATCTTGATATAAACCCGTTGGATAATATGCATATATACGAAATTTGTTTTTCGATTAGCTCTAGTAGCTTTCTTTTTTTTAAAATTTCGCTCTATTTATTCGTGACATCCTTTTTTTAAGATTTTTAGTACGGTTTTTTCGGACGCTTACGAGAGAGAAAGATAACGATAACATACAGAGAACAAAAAACAAAAAAACTGGAGAGGCACTGATGACGAATCCACGTGTATTGAATTGTTTTTTCTTTCTTGACTATTTCTCCATTATCGAATATCTTTGAAACCAAAACACCGTGCCAGGGTAAGGAACCGGACCTTCTACTATCTGACTAAATCAGATGCATAGAACCACTACGCCATTCCTGACTAGCTCTAGTAACTTGTTCTTATCACATCATCATCATCTAATACTTTCCGTTTTTAACGTTCGTGACATAGTTTTGTTTGATGTATTTTTTCTTGCATTTCGTTTTATATTGACTAAAGAAAGAAAACCATTAGTTATTGGTGAGGTTTTTTCACATTTGAAAACAAATATTTTTCAGTCTTATGACTTCTGCGATTTCGAAAAGATTGTGTTTCTCATGTGCCAAAAATGTTGGACAATTCAAATGTGAAGGTTGCGGAAGCACATTTTGTACAACACATACTAGTGATCATCGGCAAACATTAAATCAACAACTAGATGGAGTTATTGTAACGATTAATAAGACTCTGTTGAGTTTATATCATATTGACAAACTGGATAGAGGTGGAGTAGCTTACAGCCACTCACGGCAATGATGTTTATTCGTTTATTCACATATCCAGAGTGTCACAACTTCATACATAACACACGTATATATAGGAGAGAGATAGAAGAGAGACAGGAGAGAGATATATTATAATAATGGAAAGAGAATGGAAGGAAGAGGAAGGAGAATCATCGAAGCGTGCCATCAATATCGGCACAACATGACAACAGACAATTATTCACTAATAGCACCAATCTTTTTCGCTGTTGTTGAATGTCTATGCTCTCAGCGTGCTATCAACATGATTAAAGGTTTAGAGTCAAACTTTTTTCAAAAATTAGATGAAGGTCAAATGCTATTTCTTGACGCAATACCATTATATTTAAAATGGTATTGGGATTATGGTCATCCTGAAATTTTCATTAAAATTTTAAGAATACTATTGAATGAATTTACTTCATGGTTTACGAGTTGTCAGCCGGAATCTTACCCGCAGCGTTCTTCTCAAATTGATTCGATGATTGGCAATATAACTCATGTTCTCATTCGACCTACTGAATTTAGCAATGTGAGCCTTTTTAGTGAAGAATTTTATCACCACTACTCTACATTAGTTTTACATTGGTCATTAATTCTATCATCAATATTTTCATATCCCTCCTGTTCAACTGACATCATATCAAGCACACGATCGAGCACTCGAATTTTGTATAGCTTCACATTGCATTTAAATATAGTCAATTTTATGAAAAATATACCGAATTTAATTCTAATACTTCTGAAAGCAATTGAACTTGATGATGATGAAATACAATTGAATGCATATCGTTGTTTGGGGAAAATAATGATTGAAGCAGATATTAAAACAATGGCAAAGCCGGAAAAAATTGTTGCCGTATACGTAGACTTCATTAAGAATACTATTGATAATCCGAATAGGGTAGAACGATTTTATAGTCTATTGGAAAGTTTGAAAAGTACGCTATTGTCCATTTTATCTGTCATTATTAAATTGAATAATCATTAATTTTTTTCAATCTTCTCTAGATTTTGTTCAGCATGATCAAGTGAAATGTGAGTTAATAAAACAAGAAGCTCTTCCTCTATTAATAATGTGCGTCGTGAAAAATCATTTCGATCCAATCAAAGTGCAACTGCTAGCTCTCGAAATCCTCTTTGTCCTCTCATTTCAAAATGAAGCCTGTCATATTCTTAGACAAAATGAACAATTCATGATTCATGTTCGAATCTTAACTCAGAAGACTTATGAGAATCAACTTAGTTTACAACGCGCTGCCGAAGGACTTCTCTGGAAATTAGAAAAAGAAAACGAAGCTGTTACTAAGCAGATTATATTGAATTCGTACAAATACAATATCATGTTAAGTTATTCGCATAAAGATGAACAGTTATGTCTTAAAATTCATGAACAATTGATCAAAGATGGATTTCGTGTCTGGCTTGGCATAGACTGTTTGCGTGGATCTACTATGGTTGGTATAGCTAATGCCATCGAAAATTCTGAACATGTAGTCATATGTATGTCAAATATGTACAAGCAAAGTGTATATTGTCAATCAGAAGCTCACTATGCATTTGAATGTCGTTGTCATCTGATTCCAATCATAGTCGAATCAAATTATAAACCTGATGGATGGCTTGGCATTATTGTGAGTGGCAAAATCTATGTAAATTTTGCCAAAGACGAATTCAGCAAGGCTTATGAAAAGTTAAAAAATGAAATTAGCGAACAACGATATCAAAATGAAATTCAATTATCAATAAAATTAGAAAGAAACCATCAAACCAATACGAACTCCATGACTTCGGAACGTGTTGAATTAATTTATCAATCTACTGTGTAAGTTTCATATGTTCACCTTGTAATTTATAATTACGAAGTTGTAACAAATTGGAATATGTATTTGAGTAGTCTAAATTCAAAGACAGTCTACTATTTTCGAGTTCATTCGGTTTATCGTTTCCCACGGAAATGATAGAAAAAGAACTTCGAACTTTTCCGATCCCTATACGTCTACGTCCTTTCTATAAGTCTTAATCTTGTACATATCTATCTATATCTCCTAACCTATACATCCAAATCTCTACATCCAAATCTTTACGTCTTAATCCTTACATCTTAATCTATACGTCCTAATCTATACGTCTTAATCTAATACGTCATACTCCTTACATCAAAATAATACAGATAAATCCTCACACCCCTTCTAGGTTACCCTATCGGGTGATCCCATGGGATTTTAGCAATATCACCTGGGATGCTAGCAAGATCACCTAGACTTCTAGCAACATTGCCGGGGCCGCTAGCGACATCATGTAGGATGCCAGCAGCACCTGTGAAGCAGCTGCATTCGAAATTCGCATGTTGAACTCCACGATGGTTAAAGGTAGATGCCGCTGTGTACACAACGACAAGCGTTGGTCGCGACTCTGCGGGGGCGCGCGCGCCCCCACGCCGCAACACTAAAATAAAGGGTTGTGTGCTTACCCATTGTTTTCCTCTGCATGATCTCGCATTACTTATAATTGTTCACTATCGTTTCTTTTTTTCCTGAGTTTGCCTGGGATTTAATTCGAATTTGACAATTGATGTGAATCTCAGATAATGCCTCTAGCATTCCAAGTGAGGGTCAGGTGAGGGGATACTCATGGATGAACATAAAGATTTATCGATGCTGGTTTAGACGTGCTAGATTATAATGTACAGATTAATACGTACAAATTAGGACGTAATGATTAAGACTCATCAGATTAGGACGTACATATTAGGACGTACTGATTTACACGTACAGGTTTGGATATGATAAATAAATTTGTACCTAGAAAACAATAACTGCGACCGAAGTATCGGTTTATTGGAGATATTTAGACGTACTTTAGACCTCCTCCCGAAATCATCGTCTTCTTTTCTATCAGCATTTCCCAGAGAAACCATAAAGTGGATTACATGCTATTTTCAATGTATTATAGCAGTGATAGTTATGAGCTATTTGTTTGACATTCCAATTCAAAAAAGAATTCTATTTTTATTAATTCGAAAGAATCATACATTGTAATGTGCTTACATTCTTCAGATCTAAAACCTTGTGTAGTTCCTTTTATGAAAAACATCAGACTATCTGTTGTAGTTATTGTCTTCAAAAGAGATTTTTCTAGGGGTCAATCGAAAACTCTATATGCATTGAAAAAACAGAGAAAACTGATTCTTTACTATTTGATTGCTCATTAGAGATGCTCGAATTAAGTTGACGTAAGACTCTGCCACACGATAATTAAAAATGAAGCAAATTATTTTTTTCGTCAGAGAAAGCAAATTTCAAAGCAGTAATCGTGTTTGTGTCTTACAAATCTCTGCGAAGGGTGTAACTTAATTGAAATGCAATATAATCAAAACTTATTTCTTTATTGAACTAAATGTTTCTTGACAGAGCTGTAGCTTATTCATCTTTATAGTGACTTGCCAAACTGCATTACTCAATGGACTCATGATCATACTAAATCTTTTTTTCTTCGAATCGGACTTGGTAACACAATACTTCAACTGTGTAAAAGCATCGATGGTCATTGTCTTCTACAACTCTATGAAATGTGTTTGATAAATCGGGAATCGATGTATCAATCGTTGAAATTTGAACTCAACGAAAGATACCATACATTATTACCTATTGCAAACTATCTCAATTTTCTTCATGAAATCAAATTGTATATTCCATTAACTTCGACTAATGTAAAAACTATTTAACTTTCTTTTTTTTCAGCAGTAGTAAATTTTCACTAGAAAAAAAATTTAGACATTTTTTGAATTTTCATTAAAATTATTTGCAGTTTGAATGAGAAGTTGCCATCATGAAAGACAACGATGAAAAGTAAGGCTTTCTCTTAACTCGTACATATGCATGTATATAAAACGCAAAATGGAATAACATTTCTTAGTGTTGTGTCAGCAAAACGAAGAGTTTTCAACAGTATCAAGCGAATTCTATGTAACAATAAAATTAACTTTATGCAGTAAGTTGCACACTCACATTTCCTCATTTGAAATACAAAAATTATCAGAAGTTATTTTTTCTGTGACTTTCCAGTTATAACGACGTCTTTTATTGAACCATTATAACTTTGATGATATTTTACTACTGATATACTTTTTCCGATGTTTTGAACTTTCTTAAACTAGATGTTTACGTAGCAAAAAGTCATATATTGTTTGAACGGGTTGCTTCTGTACTCTTCGATTTTTTTCTATTAATTATTCGCCTTTAATTTTCATTATGGTTAAATTCAAATGACTATTGATGATTTTAAATTCTTTTACAATGAGCAAGTTATGTACAACTATTTTTGTATTGCTCCGGGAGACCACTTTAGTAAAAACAACTTAAGAGTACACTCGGTACCACCTGAATATGTACAAAAAAGTTTAATCTAACTGTTGGAAATGCTTTGCATACAGTTCCCGTCATTTATCATGATTGTAATTGTGGTTTGTCTTCAAAATGTTTCATAAATCTTTTTGGAGGAGTAGCACTTGGTTGCTATACATTTAAGGCTCTCTACAATCAGGAATATATCGATAAAACTCATACATGTGAGGTTCTCGTCTGGGGATGTGTCAAATGGCTTCAACCTCCGCTATCTGCGAAGGTTAAATTGACGTTTGAGGGGATATTAGTGTGTTCTCTATTGAGAAACTCACAATAAATAGCCTACCGTGACCTGATGATGTTGCAATGAAAATGGTGATGGTTCGAGATAGGCTCGATGAATGTTTTTATTAATAAATATAAACTATTAATATAATATGTTGATAGGCTGAGAGGAGCATAAGAGGAAGATCATGGATAGCAAGAGGAAGACGAAAAAAAGGAGAAAAATAACGGGATGATAATCGTTAATCAGATGAAAAAAAAACAAAAGAACAAAAAAAGGATCAACTCACCACATATAGAGAAAAAAAAGGAAAAAAGCAATAATAAAAGGGAACGACGCAAAAAGGTTATCATGATATTGTGATGAGTGACTGTATAATACGTTCAAAGGGTTAGCGTCATAAGGTGACATCCGTTGACGCTAACAATGCATATTCATCATTAAAGATTTCCGTAAACTCGAGCCATTTTCCTATTTAGTTGATGATCGATCAACTAATTTGTCCTATACAAATTATTTAACTTAATGCGCACGTGCATCGTGTGTATTTTCATATATTGCAGACAGCAAACTATTCGAAGGTATAACAATACTGATTCTTCTCTACGCATTGTAAAAAAAAGCCGTATATTAATATACCTTTAAGGAGTTTATGATACGTTGCACTTTCATAAACCCTTCCAAAGGGTTTATTACGATTCTCATTCAGACACGCGCCTAAAAAACTCGTTAACAAACTTTCAGAAAAAAGAATCCAAAAACAAATGAGCACACTGTGATTCTTTTTCGTTTGTGTTTACTATGCACGTCACAACGTATTTTTTGTTATTTATCTACCAGATTAAAATTAAGGTTTTGGAAGTTACTGCGTTGCCCTAGGTTCGATTATGAGATGAATTGGTTGATAGTCCAAGATGCTATCCATTCGGGCAGTCGTACGATATCAAGATGAAGTAAGAAATGCTACTTAAATCGAACGAAATTTTATAGGAAATTGAAGGTGATATAAAGTTAAGCGGAACAATTGTTATTACTGTGCCGATATTGGTGGCATGCATTGATGATCCTCCTTCTTCTTCCTTCTGTTCTCTTTCCATTGTTATAATATATCTCTCTCCTATATATACGTGTGTTATGTATAAAGTTGCTACACTCTGGATATGTGAAGAAGCGGATAAACATCATTGCCGTGAGTGGCGGTAAGCTACTCCACTTTTATCCAGTTTGTCCTAACGATACAAACCAAACAGAGTCCCATATTTATCGTTACAATTACATTTTTAATTTTCATGAAAAGAATACAAGTGTCCGAATAATTTTTTGGTTCTAAAATCCACTGATTCTTAGAAAACCTTCTAAAACCTTATCAAAACTATATTATGGGAAAATTATTTTCTATGCAATAGAAAGTAGAGATGATGACATATTGAATGATGTAATCGGAGTTTAAGAAATATATTTCCTTTACTCAGAAATTCACTCAACAAAATTGTTGTAGTAGGGTGTTCGAATAATTCTTTTACATACTGTATATATATATATCAGTTGAAAAAGTGTGATCCTTTGAACGAAGAATAAAAAAAAATTTTTGATGATGGCGTAGAACAATAAATCCCTCACCGTAGAATAAAATACTCTTTTTAAGAAAGTAATAAAACCTTTTATTGAAACCGTAGGATAAAATAACCTTTGTAAAAAAAAGTAATAAACCCGTCTCTCGAAACCGCATATTAAAATACCCTAGGATATAAAATCATATACCCTCCTCCTTAAATCTCAGATTAATAAACCCTTTTTTTTCTAGTATCATCTTTTTTTTCATATACCCTTCGTTTCATAAACCCTTTAAGGGTTTAGCATGATTTGTAGGAAGGACAAGGGTTTATTATTCTATTCTTTTCATTTACAGTGCGGTGGTGTGATGATAATCTGTCAATTAGTTGTAGTGATCATTGCCAAATTATTACGATTTCGATCGGGAAGAGTTAATCAAGTGATAAATGACTTCCAGGTTATTATCGATCAGTCGGTTCTTGTTGGACGGGTTATAATTCCGATGGCACGTGGTGACCGGATTCGGTCGGTTAATTTCTGGTGAATTCCGATGATTTTCTTTGCTTTCTTATGAAATCTGGTTACAGGATTCGCCGAGAACCGGCCAGATTTACACTGCCGGAAAATATCAGGTCAGATAATA